CCCCCCCCCCCCCCCCCCCCAAGAATTAGTGCCCGGGTGGGAACGTCGATCCGGCACCTCCAAGAGCCGCTCCCTAAAACGGCCCAAAGCACCGCTCGCTCGGCTCCGTCCCGCGTCAGTTGCAAAAGGTTTCTCCATTGTCCGTCTCAAATCCTTACCTGCTTTTGCAAGCCGCTCGACATCCCTCGCTCTGGTTGGCTGCCTCGTGAGAGCTGTTTGATATCCCAACCGCCAAGGCTATGAGTGTTTTCTCAAGTATCACATTTCCTCGCCATTTGTGGTCATAAGTCTTTAAATTTCGCCTCTTACTGCACATCTTCCACCTGCCTTCATCGGCCCCTGGCAGTGGTCCAGAAAGCTTCATTGCGCATCGCTTGCATTGGTACTGCGCATTTCTAAAAATGGACGCGTCTCTTGAGGTTGACTTTTAGCCAGCGCCCGCTGCTAAATAAAAACCACATGTCTTGCAGCAATTCTCTCGGGTTCTTTACGCTCCCTGCACCTTGAAAGTGCGACCGCTCGCCGTCTTGCGCTCCTTCTCCTCGCTGTCTGGTCGTGCACGGCGTAGAACTAGATAACATTAGCTTCTCTGTGATTTCATCATCGCCGCAATACTGCTTACCCTGGAGGAAGTCTGCTGTCCTCTTGCGCATACGCGAGTGGATGTAGGCCTTGGAGGCCTTGATGTGGTAGTGGAAGTAGTCGCGGAACGTCTGGATGTGGGAAATGACATCGGGCATTCTTTGAGGAGTGAGGTGGCGAGGGAAAAGAACTTCATCGGTCAGCATCAACAATCGCTACACTGTCATCGCGGCTACTCACCAAAGGTGACATATCCGATCTCACCGGTGCCAGTGTCTCTGACTCCGGGAACTCCCTGCAACTCCAGAGGAGGGTCGTTCCTGAAAAGCACCTGTGGTGCGTTCTGGATGGCTCTCCGTCGGGCATCAACGAATTCCTGGATGAAGATCTTGCCAAAGACACGATCCGTCTCCTCGCGGAAGATAGTGCTGAAAATAACGGTGACACGGTCGTGACTGGCCTTGACGTAGATAGCCTCCTCCTCGCGGTAGTGGATAGCCATAACGTCGCCGCCCTCCCGAACACCCTGAGGTGCCTCCTCAGAAGTGTACTTAGACGCCTCCTCCTTCAGCTTGTAGTGTTCCTCGTACGCGGCCTCGAAGGGTGCAGCCATGGCATTGCGCTTCAGCAGCGCCATCTTCATGATGAGTGCATCACGCTCCTCTGTCCTCTGCGTCAGCCAGTGCAACGTTCCCATCCCGACGGTACTGACCCTTCTCCTCCGGGAGGCTCTCGAGATCGATCAACACCGAGAAGTCGTAGCCGGGCTCAGGCGGAACAACGTATTGGCCGTATTCCCTCTGGAGCACCTGCTCTGCGCCGTACTTCACCAGGTCCTTGTAGCATCTTATTTGGATGGAAAGCTGGATCTTGGTCTTGGTCTCGGGGGTGGAAATATGGTAGATGACACCGTCGAAGTCGGAGACGGTCTGGTCGATGTGGGCAGGAGGGGCACTGCCTTGCGAGTTAGCACCGGCCGGAACGAAGCTCGAAAAATGCCTGCATACCCGGAGAACCTCTCGGTGAGCACCGACTGGATGAGGACGTTCTGATAGTCTAGGAGAAGCATCTTGTCGGCGTTGGCGAGCAATTGCCAATGTCTCTTGGTTGCGTCGTTGTATTGCTGATGATGCCTCTAAGTGGGGCTTGACGTGGAGGTCGCTGTCGAGAGCTCGGTGGCTGTGAAGCTGGCACCGACCTTCCGCACGTGACGTTTACGAGCTAGCACTGGCCCTCAATGTAACCAATCACACTTGTATCCCCATATTTATTCTTTATCGATAAGAATCTAAAAAGTTGCTCGAGGTGGGAGACGGTTCAGAAGATGTTCTTCTTCCTGTCGCAAAGCATTGAAAAGGCTTTTGGCGCCAGAAATCCGCAAAAATGGTCAAGTCATACTTGTAAGTCGGGAAACATCTAGTTCTCTACACTGACAGCTCACCAATTGTCATTATAGAAAGTATGAGCACAGCAAGTCTTTCGGCATTGTCGCATCCAACACCTCGAACCTCGTCTGGAACGCCCCAGGTCGTGCCGGCAACGGTGCCGGTCAGGCAATCGTAGCCGCAAATGAGGATGTCTTGTGCTGGGATATCAAGAAGGGCGAGCTTGTGAACCGGTGGAGGGACGAGAGGAATACCGTTGCAGTCACCGCGATCGCGCAAAGCAAGGTCGACAAGGACGTTTTCGCCGTCGGATACGAAGATGGAAGCATTCGGCTGTGGGATAGCAAGATCGCGACGGTAATCGTCAACTTCAACGGCCACAAGTCTGCGATCACGACGCTGGCATTCGACAAGTCCGGCGTACGACTAGCCTCCGGCTCCAAGGACACCGATGTCATCATCTGGGATCTCGTCGCCGAGGTTGGTCAGTTCAAGCTGAGGGGACACAAGGATCAAGTCACCGGACTGCAGTTCGTCGAACCGGAAGCGCAGGTTGAGGATGAGGAGAACACACAGGCAATGGTGCTGGACAGCGACCCGTCGGCGGAGGGCTACCTGCTTACGACCGGCAAAGACTCCTTGATCAAGCTCTGGGATCTGTCCTCGAGGCACTGCATCGAAACCCACATTGCGCAAACGAACGGAGAATGCTGGGCTTTGGGACTTTCTCCCGACTATAGCGGGTGTGTCACGGCCGGAAATGACGGGGAACTCAAGGTGTGGTCCTTGGACACTGTAGGACTCGCCTCCTTAAAGGGCCAGGTCGACGCACCTCAATCGGTGAAATTCTTGCGTGAGAAAGGAACCCTGTTTCGCCAAACCAAGGACAAGGCCATCGAAGTGGTCTTCCACCCTCGCCGCGACTATTTTGCAGTACACGGCCCAGAGAAGGCGGTTGAGGTATGGCGCATACGGTCGGAAGCGGAAGTCAAGAAGTCGTTGGCGAGAAAGCGGAGAAGAAGGCGCGAGAAGGCGGCCAAGGACGGAAAGGCGGAAGAGGAAGCGGCGGCCGAAGCCGACGAGCAGGCGGATGACCTGTCAAGCGCAGAGGCCAGCGACTTCTTCGTCTCGTACGTGATGGTCCGTACTGGTGGCAAGGTGCGATCCGTGGACTGGGCTGCCACCAGCGGCAGCAAGGAAATCAACCTGCTGGTCGGAACGACCAACAACCAGCTCGAATACTACAGCATACCGACAAAGGAGGGCTCCAAACTGAAGAAAGATGAGCAGCCCGATTACACAAGATCACTAGCGGTGGATCTCCCAGGACACAGGACAGACGTCCGCGCCGTATCACTCAGTTCCGACGACAAGATGCTGGCGACCGCCGCGAACGGTAGTCTCAAGATCTGGAACATCAAGACTCAGGCGTGCATTCGAACCTTTGAGTGCGGCTATGCCTTGTGCTGCGCGTTCCTGCCAGGTGATAAGGTTGTCGTGGTCGGCACCAAGACCGGAGAGCTCGAGCTTTTCGACGTCGCTTCTGCAAGCTTGCTTGACAGCGTCTCTGCTCATGAGGGGGCCGTCTGGTCATTACAAGTGCACCCGGATGGCAAGTCTGTGGTGTCTGGTAGTGCTGACAAGTCTGCCAAGTTCTGGGACTTCCGCATCGTCCAAGAAGAAGTTTTGGGTACCACGCGAACGGTACCAAAACTGAAGCTGGTTCAGTCAAAGACACTCAAGGTCGCCGACGATATCCTCTGCGTGCGATACTCCCCTGACGCCAAGTACATTGCCGTCTCACTCCTCGACAACACCGTCAAGGTCTTCTTCACCGATAGCCTTAAGCTCTACCTCAATCTCTACGGCCACAAGCTCCCTGTCCTGAGCATGGACATTTCCTACGACAGCAAGCTCATCGTCACCAGCTCTGCCGACAAGAACATCAGGATATGGGGTCTCGATTTCGGTGACTGCCACAAGGCCCTCTTCGGCCACCAGGACAGTATTCTCCAGGTCGCCTTCGTCCCCCACAACTCAGACGGCAACGGCCACCACTTCTTCAGCAGCTCCAAGGACCGCAGCATCAAGTACTGGGACGGCGACAAGTTCGAGCAGATCCAGCGCCTCGACGGCCACCACGGCGAGGTCTGGGCCATGGCCGTCGGTCACGCCGGCAACTTCCTCATCACCGCCGCCCACGACAAGTCCATCCGCGTCTGGGACGAGACGGACGAGCAGATCTTCCTCGAGGAAGAGCGCGAGAAGGAAATCGAAGAGCTCTACGAGAAGACTCTCACCACCTCCCTCGAGCGCGACCCGGACGCCGAGGACCAGGACGGCGAGGTCGGCGCCGCCACCAAGCAGACCGTCGAGACCCTCATGGCCGGTGAGCGCATCGCCGAGGCCCTCGAGATCGGCATCGCCGACCTCAACCTGCTCAAGGAGTACGAGAACGCCAAGAAGACGAACCCGCACGCCCCGCTCCCGCAGCGCAACCCCGTCTTCATCGCCCTCGGCAACATCACCGCCGAGGCCCACGTCATGAGCGTGCTGAGCCGCATCAAGGCCTCGGCGCTGCACGACGCCCTCCTCGTCCTCCCCTTCTCCACGGTCCCGATGCTCTTCACCTTCCTCAACATCTTCGCCAAGCGCTCCATGAACATCCCGCTGACGTGCCGCATCCTCTTCTTCATGCTCAAGACGCACCACCGCCAGATCGTCGCGAGCCGCACCATGCGCGGCATGCTCGACGGCATCCGTGCCAACCTCCGCGCCGCCCTGAAGCGCCAGAAGGACGAGATGGGCTTCAACATCGCCGCGCTCAAGGTCGTCGGCATGCAGATCCAGGAGAGGAGCGTCAAGGACTACGTCGACGAGAACTGGGACGAGGGCGACGACGAGAGCCGGTCTGTCAAGAAGAGGGCGTTTGTGCAGGTGTCTTAGGAGACGAATAGGCAATTAATTGTATCTTGAAGCTTGAAAAGAGGAGGTGTCGAGAGGAAGGACGGTGGTGTTGGTATTTACGAGATTCCCTGTTTTCTATCTGCTGTTCCTAGATATTCGCATCGCCAGGTGGTGGACTAGCATTGCGTCGGCTTATAAAAGTGTCTTCAAACTGTTCACTAGAGTACCGGCCATTCCCGACTGCGCGAAATATTCATTGTTGCTTCCTATTGTTACACGGGCTCTCTGTTTGGAGTCTCTGGTATATACACAGCCATTGCTAGCTAAATGACTTATCTACTGGCTCTTGGCCTTTGTTTTTGAGTTTCCCCTGGTGGGCAAAATATCGCTTTGCACAACCAACTGCAACAAGCACCACAGGTAGCAGATGCCGAAGCCTACCGCACCCAATCCCACATTTGCGACAACCCAGAGGTCGGGCTTGTCGACAGGAGGCAAGACGTTGTTCTCAACCACATGCCATGCGGCCATGGCAAGGTAAAAGCCGCCATGAAGGAGGAACGTCGCCCACTTTCTCAACGCTGACTGATCTTCTTGGAAATAGGCGCTCAACGATGTCGGCGGGAGTCCAAGGAGGTACGCCCACAGGAGAGTGAGAACGGCGTAAGGGACGCTGAGGTTCACGCGCTTGAGGAGGGGAAACATGGTCCAAGTGCCGAGGATGTTGGCGAATCCAACCCACGCCCTGATGTCCCGCGACAGCCCCTGCTTGCCGGCTAGGAGAAGAGTCATTGGCATGAGAGGGAGCAAAACGCTCTTCTCGTGGACCTGGAAGCTGAAGAGGAAGAAGCCCCAAGCGGTCGTTGCGAAGGCGAGGGGCAGGAGCGACTTGCGCGGGCGGAAGAAGAGAATGAGGTTCGGCGGGATGATGGAGGCGGTCGTAACCAGGAGAGCGCCACGCTGGAGGAGCTCGGAAGGGTAGTTTCGGAGCTTGATAACGACGTTGAGGGCACACCAAAAATTGGCAACCTTGTCCTCGAAAAGGCCTCGCGCAAAGGGGAAGATGCGGTGGACCATCTGCACAAGCTGCTCAACCACGGGGTAGTAGAGGGCGTTGGTGTCGAGAACGTCGGTCAACCAGGGGAAAAGGGGTAGAGGAGGCGGTGGACCGTCGTAGTCAGGTCGCGCGTCGATACCTCGGCGAGCGTCGTTCAGCGTACCCAGAACCAGAGGTAGGATCAACAGAATGAACGATGCCGCGGTTACCAGCGCAATTCCGATGAAGCGGCCAGGTTTCAGGGGGAATACACAGCTTCCGAGGAGGAAGGAGAAGACAGAGAAGGCGTAGTAAAGCGCCATCTGCTTGAAACCGAGGGCTGCAACGAAGAAGACCGCGGACCAGAGATAACGTCCAGCCAGCATGCTTGACATGCTCGCCAGCACGAAGCCAAGCATAACGGTGTTGTATTGGAAGTGAACATGGTCGATGAGGATGGTGGCAGGTTGCAGCAGAATTGCGACCAGAGCCATCCACGCAGTCCACGTCGGCACGCCACTGTGTCTGGAGAATCGCCGGACGAAGATGACGGCGGCGGGGATGTAGATGAGGTATTCGGAAACGAAGACTGTTGCGCGCATAAATATCTTGAGCGTCGGGTCGTCGGATCCACGCGAGGTGTACAGCTCGAACCAGGTCGGGTCGATCAAGGCTCCGATCTTGCCGCAGAGCCAGCTGTGGTATGCCGTCAGGGGCGGATAGTCGAGACCCCACCATTGAAGGTCATGAAAGTACCATTGTGAGACGGGTATCTGTGTGGTGATCTCCATCCAGTGTCGTTGCGCTTCGTAGTCTCCGAACATGGGCGGTCTTTGGAAGCCTATGAGAAGACGAGTAGTTAGCATACAATCCAACTTTGGACGATGATAGAGGGGAGCGCATTTACCAGAATATCCCCAGAGACCAGCTGCCCATCTGAACAGACCAACCACCATGAGGATCAACGGTAGAACCTCCCATTGCGATACAGAGCCTCGAGCAGGCCAAAGGAAGGATGCCAAGGGGAAGACCGGGACCTTGACAAGAGCTTCCTTCTTGGAGATCTGGTTGTCGGAGCTGGTGGTGGTGCTGCTTCCTCCGCCATTTCCACCTGTCTTCTTCCCTCCCCGACGCCGGGGCTTGTGTGGTGAAGGACTAACCATAGCTACAGCAAGCTCAGTCGGTCTTTCTTGGGTCGAGTCTGGGATGCGGCATGAGCTGCCGTGAGGATTGGTGTGTGCCGGGAGGGTGTTGAAGAGTTCCTGGTGACAGGTCGCTGGAAATTCCAGGGTCCACGTCGCGTTAACGACAGCAGTGGAAGGTACCCACATCCCGGGCCGCTAAAAGAAGGCACAGATCGCCAGGTACCTGCCACCTGCCGTCTGCCCGTTTTATCTCACAACAATGAACGAACCTGAGTAACTTCTTTTCTATACTTTGTACTCTTTATTAGAGAATTTACAATGATATTGAAGCTAATTAGGCTGTTTTGAATTGCTTCTCAATGTGTAATGCTTCCCAGTCATTGTGACACACTTGACCTACGTTTTGTATATTTAGTTTAGAGCTCTTCAAGCTTTTGAATCATCTGGATACAATCTGTCAAGGATACCTCTCGAAATTATTGTAGCTGGGCATTCCATAGCTCAGCTGCATCAACTAATTCCAGCTGGGGAAATGCTGGCTGGTAGAAGGCCACGTGACTGAGTCCGGGGTTGAACGACTAGCCCCAATTGGCTAATCCGGGACAACCAACGTCACAGGTGCTGCTGTCTCACTGACAACTTCCATGTTAGTGGCTCAACGATCATCAGGCAATTGTCCTTCTCGTCAACCTGGACCAAGTATCATTTCCTCTCATAATTGAAGTGGCAACTCTCTCCTCTTAGCTATGCCTTTTCCCTTCGTTCTTCCCACAACTTCGGCCTTCTCGTTCTCAACCAACTTCAACAGCGACAGTCACCCCTCATTGCCCCTTAGCGCTAGCACATATCGCGGGGTCGTCAGGGACGCTCTGAAGAAACACAAACGCCTTCCACCAACATCGCAGTCATCCCACATCTCCACCGTCATTGGAGCTCTCAATGGCTACATCCCCTACATACTAGCCGTCGACGCTGGTCTCAACCCGAACTCTCAGTTTGGCGATGGCATCAGACTCAATGCCAGCTCCTCGCCTTCCATCGAATGGCGACCGACGCTCTCAGATAACGCAGTACCCGGGCGTGAGCGCTCAAGAGTGAAGGTCCAGTCAATTGACCATGAGATTGCTTTTACGCTCTCTACCTTGGCCAACTCGTACACCTTGGTTGCCCGAACCGCTCTCCATCCGTTATTTGTCACAACAGGCGCGGCGCTTGACTCCCAGCAACGAACTGGGGCAATCCAGACTGCAACCAAATACTTGCTAGACGCTGCATCGATATACGATTGGCTAGCTATCCGAGCAGAGAGAGTGCAAACAGCCCCTCCTTGCAGCGATGTCTCTCCCTCGACCCTTCGCGCAATGTCCTCTCTCGCGCTTGCAGAGGCAACACTTCTCGCTGTTCTGAAGGACGACCCTTACCCGGCCATTGTCAACCAGGACCGCAACAAAAATGATCGAGAATGGATGTACAAAGCCCCTGACATCCCAAAGGTCCGCGCCCACCTCTTTGCCCGCCTATGCCTTGCCGCCGCAGAACACGCAGCCCAGGCTTCCTCCCTGTGCCAGGCTGCGGGTCGAGGTACAAGTAAGATCGACGAGGGCCTTCTTCGTTACCTTGAAGACCTACGAAGAACATGCCGTGCGAAGGCTTGCCGCTTCTTTGGCATTGACGCCGAGATCGGGGGCCAAGTCGGCACGGCAATCGCCTGGCTGGAGGCTGGACTGCAGGAGCTCGGTATTGAATCCAAGCACTCAGCGAAGGGATCTGGATTCAGCCGCTTCAAGAAGGAGTGGACCGAGAAGCGTGAAGAGCGTAAGGTCGAAAAAGAGACGGCATGGGGCGCAGACGGCGGCAAGGCTGAAGAGACGAGAGTGATTGAGTTCCTTGAGACTAAGTGGCGGAAGCTCAACGATACCGTAAGCGATGGTCAACGTGAAACACAACAATGAGATGCTAACTTGGTTTTACAGATGAATGTTCAAGTCATACCTCCAGTGGGACCTTTATTGGCTCAGATGCCGTCTGGCCGCGAAATCCACACTCTCAGGCCGTATCAGCCTCCCACATTGGATCGTAGCATCCTAGAAGCTATGCGAGCGCCGCCAGAGAGGAACGATGACTACGGAGATGCTTTGAGCTCTGACGATGAGGCAAAGGGTCATGCCGGTCCCCCGGGAGGTTTTCCTGAGTCGCGGCCAGAGTACAGGAGCGCGAGCACGTCCTACTACTAGATGTCGTAGGGCCTTGAGCTCAGCTGTTTGAAGATGGTTAGAAAGGATCGATGGCACATATTTTGAAAGGTTTAATGAAATACAACCTTGATTTCAGTTCACGCTACAACCATCCAACCGCACCAACTTCTTGTGAAGCCTCACTCTCCTCGGAAGGGGGTGACACGGTACGCCTCCATCATCCGATTCAATCTTTCCACACGAACGGTTTCCTTCTGAACGTTACATATACTGCTGAACTCATGTTCGCCATGCTCGGATGAAACCCGGCCTCCTCCGAATAGCTGTGGTCTTCCGAGCGATCAAGATCCAAATATGTCGGGACCTGTCACAGACTATCCAAAAAGCAAGTCTGGGGCGGCCCGTTTCGGTACTGAGCAGCAGGAAAGAGAAGAGGGGGAAAGCAACTCGGAGCTTGGGCCGCATATATGTCAAGGGCAATGCCAAAGAGACTTTATGCTACACCAACCTTCAAGCTTCAGATGACGCCTAGGGGCTGAGTCTAAAACATGTGAGCTCCAGCTCGCCGGTTTTATTCGACCTCGGATCCTTCCCCTGAAGCTTCCCGCCAAGTAATCGGGCATCGATGCAACGAAGTGAGGAGACGGGAGATTTTCTCCTAGTAGTACGCGGCCCCTCATCCAGGTCGACTTATTACCGCCCTGCCTCGTGGTGTTCCACTCCACGTTCTCTCGTTTCTTCGCTCACCAACAGCACAGGTTTCCCCGCGTTCCCTGTCTCCAAGGGGTCCGATGCGGAGGCATTCAATTGCCCAGCCCGGTCGGGAAGACTACTCCCATCGACGAAAGGTGTCTTTCTCTCCCACCATGATCAGCGCGGTCAGCTCTCCAGTTACCAGCACCATTACGACGGCGAGCAACTCTTCCTCATCCACGACGAAAAGCAACAATGACTCCAGCGAGCCGCGACATAGTATTCTCGTCAATGGCCTTCCTCCTCCCTCGCCATCACTGCCACTTCCGTTCAATCTTACAGACAGGGGTCTGCTCAACAGCGAATGTCATGTCCACAACGAATGGGTCGGGTCTCGCAGCAAGAAACGTTTTGCCGTTATCGATCCAGGCACCGGCCGGGTATGGTCGACATGCCCGGACTGTACGAGAGATGATGTTAGCCCGACCGTCAAATCCGCCCACGCCGCGTTCTTGGGCTTCTCGGAGGACACTTCGTCTCGCGAACGGGCTCGCCTTTTGACGGCCTGGAGTCAACTCATTCTCGCTGCTCGCATCGACTTAGCTACCATCCTCGTCCACGAGACAGGAAAACCGCTTCATGAGGCCCTGGCAGAAGTCGACTATGGGGCTGGTTTGGTGAGATGGTTTGCCAGTGAAGCTGAGCGCTTTCAGCAGACTGTCGTTCCAGTTCCTTCGTTTCCGACTTCTCCTCTCTCACCCCGCTCTCCATTCTCACCTCGCTCTCCATGCACACCAGCCGCGGCCGTTGGCACCCCTACCTCAAGCACATTCAAAAGCACATTCAAAGGGAGACAACCGGCAATACTGAAGCAGCCGGTCGGCGTCGTTCTTGCCCTTGTGCCTTGGAGTTTCCCACTTGCATTAACTCTCCGCAAATCCGCCGCGGCCCTCGCAGCAGGATGCACCGTCATCGTCAAGCCGTCGTCCGAGACTCCTTTTTCCGCCTTGGCTCTTGCATGTCTCGCCAATCGCGCGGGATTTCCAGCTGGCGCACTCAACGTCATAACAACAAGCCTAGGAAACACGCCCGTCGTCGCCGAAGCACTATGTATGCACCCTCTGGTCAAAGCAGTCAGCTTCACGGGAAGCCCCCGTGTAGGAAAGAAGGTCGCGGCGACGTGCACGCGAAACTTGAAGCGTCTATCTCTCGACCTCGGTGGAAACTGTCCCTTCATCGTCTTCGAAGACGCAGACTTGGAGACCACCGCAAAAGAACTTACGGCGCTGAAGTGGCGGCACGCGGGACAGGCTTGCATCGCGCCGAACCGATGCTATGTGCAACGGAGAGCATACGAGACATTCTCTAAACTGTTGGTAAAGGAGGCAGAGAAGCTACAAACCGGACATGGAATGGCTCGAGATACGACACTAGGCCCGTTGACCACAATCCGAGGGCTGTATAAGGCCGAGGCGCTGTGTAAAGATGCCGTGGAAAAGGGGGCTGTCAAGCTGCTGGGTACAGGCCGGAGGGAGCTCAGTGACGGGTACTACATGTCGGCAACTATATTGGGCAACATGACGGATACGATGTTGATGTGTCGAGAGGAGATTTTCGCGCCGATACTCGGGTTATACGTGTTCGATACCGAGGACGAGGTCGTCAAGAGGGCAAACGATACGCCAGTCGGATTGGCCGGGTACGTCTTTACTAAAAGCTCTGATCGGCTTGGGAGGATGTTTGAGCGTTTGGACGCCGGCGTTCTCGGAATGGTGAGAACTTCCCTAATCATTTCCCTCTCCGCGCCGCGGTCACTAACTGTCAAAGAACACGGTATCTTTGGTGACAGATGCACCTATACCTGCTGGAAACTACGGAAACGGGTTCGCAGCTGGATCCACAACCCCCACGACGCTTGAGGAGTTCCTCGTCACCAAGTCAGGCGCCATGATGGTTCGTCAATAGAGAAGAGGGATTTTCTCTCGGTATGCTGGGATCCGCAGGAAGCTTGGAGCTAAGTGAGTTGAGGAGTTGGTGAGCCTGGATGCGAGGGCTGTTGGGTGGTTTATGTATTTACAATGCTACGTGTCGAGGCAGATCAAAGATGACCATGACGACCACGGCCAAGAAAGCCAGGCCGACGTACAACTGTCAACTGTCTATCCAAACAGAAGTGCTATCTAGAAGTTCGCCCTCTTCGCCGACAAATTCCTCGCGGCTGAATAAACTCTCATCGCCGTCCTCCAGCTCTGTAGTCTCCATGTCAGCCAGCATCCGCGCCCTCTCGGCGATCACAAGCGTCACCCAGCGCAGCTCCGCCATCTGCCTCTTCTCCGTCTCTTTCTTGTTGCTCACCAAACTCTCCTCGTGACGCTGCTTGATACTATACATGACCTCCTCGCGGATCGCCCGCTCCTCCTCCACCTTGATCTTGTGCCTGGCCACCTCGTCGTGCCGCCATTTGCTCCACGCCCGCCACCCCTCATCCATGTGCTTGCGGAAAACCAGCATCAACTCCCCGATGCGCTCTTCGCCAGACGGCACGCCCGCGAAGAATTCCTCCAACTTCCGCAGGTAGACGTCTTCGGTCTCCTTCTCTTTCAGGACCCGGCAGTTGTAATCGACTGCGAGGGCGTTCTCTTTGGCGGCCAGCTTCTGCGAAGCTTTCTCGGCGAGCTCCTCCAGCTCCGCCTGTTGGCTTGCTGCGAGCTCAGCCGTGGCGGTGGACGCCTCGTGAGACAGGATCTCTACCTCCTTGTCGTGCTGGTACCGGACCATCACTTCCTGGAGGTCATGAAGCTGGTTCATCAACTCGCGTAGCTCTTGGTACTTGACCTCGACCTCATGACGGCGCAAGCTCTCCAGACGAACCCTCTCCTCCAACTGGCGTTGCCGAAGCTCCTCCTCGAGCCTCTCCATCTCCTGTTCTAACAACTCTAACTTCCGAGCCTCTTCGCGCTCAAACTCCTCAATTTGGCGCAGGGCATCGCGAAGTTCCTCCTCAGCCTCGAGATCCCTCCGCCTCCTCTCCTCCCTCCTCGCCGCCGCGCCGTTCTTGATGGCAGTGAGCTGGTCCATCGTACATCCGCACGACCTCCACTGGATCCCGCACACGTAGCAGAACTGGTATCCGCAGCGGCACGTCATGTGCTGGCATGCCTCGCGGTGCTCGACGAGCGCCAGGCACTTGCCGCAGCGCCGCCAGCCCTCCTCCTCGGCGAGGGCGTGGGTGAGGGCCATGTCGCGGTCCTGCGGGCAGTCTGCGTTGTCGTGCTGGGGGCCGCGGCAGATGATGCAGGTCCAGTGGCCGTTCGTGCAGCGCGCGATCTCCAGTCCCCTGTTCACCTGGTCCGGCTTGATCCAGATGCCGCAGTCGGGCTCGCTGCAGTAGATGCGGTCGCCGACGGGGATCTTCAACTCGGCGGAGCGCTCCTTGTACGTGTTGCCAAGGTCTTTGGAGACGTAGCGGAGGATGGTACGGTAAGGTATATCGTTGAGGCAGCATTTGGGAGGCCACTGCTGTTCGTTTTGGACGGCAGTCGCGATGAGGCGCTCGAAGCATTCGTGGCAGTAGCTGTGGCATGTAACTTTGATGACGTCTTTGGGAACGAAGTCGTCTAGGCACGATACGCACTCGCTGATGTTTCTTGTCAGTGGATGGCAGCATAAAAGGAAGGCCATGTACGGTACTTACACGGTGGCGGTCTTCTTTAATTTGGTGCGCGATTCCCCGGATTGCGTGTTGATGCTTGTCTTGCTCGAGTTGCCACCGAAGTTGAAGGGCTTCATTGCGGAAAGGGGCCCTTCCTTTTCACCAGTCTTTTTTTCACTGATCTTTTGAAACATCCTCGTCAGGGCGAACCTGCTTCTCTTCTTCGGCTTGAACGGCAGGACTATCAAGCCCCGTGTCGAACTGCCTTCCCCATTGCCAATGAGCTCCGGGAAGAGCTTCAAGTTTTCATCCTGTGCATGATTCTCCGCATTCGAGGTGGGCTCAGGATTGTCTGGGGGCATGATTACAGGAAGATAAGGCTCCTTCGCCTTGTCGTCGGATCCCTCGGCTGCGTTGTCTTCCTCTTCCTGTTTCTTTGCCTCCTCCTCGAGCTGTCGTCTTTGCCTCTCCTCTGCAATCCTAGTCTGTATGTTTTCGATAGAGGTCTGCAAGACTTCGAGTAGAACGGCGTTGTCGACATTTGGAGCTGTTTTTAGGGCTGCTGGGGGATTATACTCTTCCCATTCGACATTTTCGTCCGTTTCGTTGTTGTTGTCACTACTGGTCGTTTCAGGATCCGACTCCACGATGGAGGGAGCATCTGGGAGGGCTTTTCCTTTGCCCTTGGGGTCACTGTTTACCGGCTTCCTTTTGACTTCCATGTCTCGTAACGTAAGTAAAGGGTCGCCATAGAAGCCGGCGTATGCTTCCAGGCTCGAAGGTAACGTCGAGGCCATCTCCATCTTGACGAGGGTCGCCGTGGCGGTAGACATGAGAGAATCAAGGGATGTTGAATACCGAAATAGAGAGATAGACACCAGACGATCACGCCAAAAATACAGAAGACGGACCGAATCAAATCATCACGGTGCTTCATGGCGTATCAATATTGATGGGCGAGGCGACCTATAAAGCAGCCACCGCGCCAAACGCCAAAACTCTCTGCACGTTATCAGCGAAGCAGAAATCACGCGACCGATCCATGATGCCAGCCGACAACGGATCTCCCGAGAGCCTCATGACAGCATAAGGCATTCCCGGGAGTCCGAATCTGCCCCGGCTGGCGTGGGAAGCCGCACTTTGACAAGATAGCGGCGCGGCCCAAAACGGCTTTAGTGGTTGGTCTGGTTGTCTCTGGGAGAACCACTGATGGGAGTGCGCCAATGGCCGAGGCAGATTTCACCACGATGCGTGCGAGCTGAATCGAAGTGTTTGTAGGGTCGGGGTGGTGGGGAGCCTGTAGAATGATCGGGTGTAGTTGATTGGAAACGGCTCAGGTCGGGCGACAGCTGTTAGTTGGGGGCGGAGTTCGGGGGATTTTAGCGCGGGCTGTGTTGGGCTTGTATTGTCTTGGTCACCGAAGGGATTTGCCCTGGCCGGGCTAAAACGTCAACGTGAAGATCGCATTTGTTGATTGTTTGAGGCTGTATTACGGCTTACAGCAGGCGAGGAAGTGTCTTTGAATATTCCCTTGCTTATGTCCACATGCTGTACGGAGGTAGGCACATGGTGATGTAGAACTCTGTTGTGTTGGTTGGGTGATGTGCTACATTTATCTATTGTTCATGTCTTCTGTGTCAGTATGCAACTTATCTAGGTGGCTGACTTTTTACTTTTGTGTCTTGCGCCTTGTTGAGCAGCCTATGGTGAGAAAGTAGTCATAGATAGATAGGTGCAGGACCGGGAGATACCAACTCACATGATGAGCGATGGACAGAGTGGTATGAAGGAGCTTAGAACGTCACTTCATCGGTTTCTCCTTCTCCCATTTGGAGGCCTGTTACCGCGGCACCACCGTGCCGCGAAACAACGTCGAAGTCGTCTAAAAATGAAACACAATGAGAACCTGCCGTGGATATGATAAAAAGTGATCAATGTCCAAATTGAAAAAATCGGAATTGAGTTCTAATCTGCCTCGCTGGCTGCATGTGAGTTCGGTGGTTTTTGTTTTCGTCTGATGATAATTAAGCTGAGCTTGTTTCTGTTGCTTGAGTCATTTCTAGGTCTTCGCTTCCTATGTCTGTCACCTAGCCATGTCACAGTTAGCAGGTTACCAACCTTTTCATCCTCTGTGTGTGTATCATACATATGAGTCTCTTGATTTGTTGAAACTGCGATTCGTTTTTCACTCTTGTTTCTATCGTAATTGCCTGTCGACGCTGCTGCCGTTTTCTACCTGCTTCGTACTCTTCATTTCCTTTGTAACGCAGCTTAGCTTATCTCTGTGATGGCGACGCTATCAGATTGTTGCAGCTGTGCGATGTATTATGAAACCCAACGGACCGGTTCACAAAGCCACTGCCTAGACAGACCTCTTTATCACTTTTGTGATCCCAACCATTCGGTACAGAATGGGCCGACTGGCCTAGGCCAGGCCATATTGGTCTCCTCACAGGGATCTTAGGTATCATGTGAGCGCAACCAGATGCGCTCACCGGCCGATGTTTATCATGTCTGTTGGTTAGGCCGTGTCGAATTCATGTCACAGCCTCGAAAAAAGTGGTCGCGGTAATTACGCGCGCGCCGTTTCTTGAAAACGACCCAACAACAATCAACTTCTCGAGGACACACCGTTGCTATTTGATGCCTCTTAGACATTTGACCCAGACTGCCAGAGACCCATGCGAAAAACTTCGTTGTTGAAGCCAGTCGACGTTGACAAAATACATTTTGGCACCAGCAAGACTAGGGAATTGGCCTGGGAAGTAGATTAACTGGTCGGCTTGCCCTACCCGTGCGTTTGTCATTAGCACCACACACCCACTCAGAAAAAGCTAGCTGGGCTTGATATGCTGCTGTTTCCATTGTACAATTATGATATACACTATCTGCGCTCTGAATGACCATATGCCCATTGCTTCATTAATTCCAAACGCGCCGAGCGTTGTCCTTGTCGTAGTCCGGTCTAGGCAACGCCAGAAAGGGAACACGCGCTCAACTGATACTATCTTACTCGACATCGTCCATAGTCCACACGGTGACGCCGTTCCTCTCGACATTCGCCTTAAGCTTGTTCAACACGGCCTGCCTCCTGGCCCGCTTCGCCATCAGCTCCGACTTCTCGTCTTTGCTGAAGCCCGAGAGCTTCTTGCGGGGAGGCGTGCCGCGGGCGCCAGCGTACGACGTGACCGAGGACACGAGCGAGTTGCGGAGGGTGCCGGGAGAGGCCGTGGCCATGCGCTCGGGGGAGAACATGAGCGATCGGTTCTTCTGCGGTGTGACCATCGGAGAGCCCTCGCGGCTGTTAACCGAGGAGAAGCGCAGCTTGCGCATCTGGTTCTCGAGGACGTCGATATCGCCCGAGCGCTTCTCAACCATGCTGGTCATCTTGCTGATGGTGCGCATGACGGCCTCAACTGTGGGCACGTTGGAGTTGCCCTTGCCGGAAGCGCTGCTGACGGTGGCGAGCTTGGTCTTGAGGAGGGTCAAGGCCTCCTCGGCCTCGGCCAGGAGCTTGGAGAAGTTGGCGTACTCTCGGCGCAGCTCATTCTGTTGAGCAGCTTGTTCGGCGCTCAAAGGCAGCGAGCGGCTGATGTCGGCCTGGTCGGGGTCAAGCTTGACCATGATAAGCTTCTTCACGTCATCCTGCTTAGACCGAAGACGTGACATTTCGCGAGCAAGCTCGTTACAGGCCTCCAACTTCTCTTCCACGTTTTGGACACGGCCGTACTCCAGTTCGCGGGCAAGTGATCTGTCAATAACTTCGCCGAGCTCGTCGATCTCCGAGAGGACCCAGCTTTCGGGGTTCTCGAGGTCCTCCTTGCGACGGCCGCCGTCCTTGAAGCCAACGTCGTGTCCAATGATGAAGCTGGCCAGTGACCGGGCGTTCAGACCGAGAGTGTCGATCATGGAGTTGATATCGCGGTAGACGGCTTCCACCTGCGCAGGAATGGTCTCCTTCGCCGATGGCACCACGTTCGAGTGCGCAATGAAGTCATCCAGCTTGAGACTGGGTTCGATCTTAGAACTAAGAATCTTCTGGATCTCGTCATCTTCCTCATCCTCAAGCGTTCTCGTTTCCTCGGCCTGTCGCCTCTGGCGAGCAATTCTTTGCTGCTGGATGAAGGGGTCTTCTCCAGACTTGGAGCCGATGATGGACATGCCCACGTTGGAAGGTTGTTTCTTCTGCGCACCCAAAATCGAGCCGAAGCCGGGGGCGCTAACCGAACGGCTTGATTCTTGACGAAGGCGTCCTGGAATTGCAGCCCTAACTGGGCTGGGAGACCGCGGGCTGGTTTGCGAAGGTCGGGGAAGTGCTGGTACGTTGTTGCCAAAGAGCGAGTGACGTGGCCTCTCCTCTTCTGTGCGCGGGATAGAGTAGGTGCTACTGCTAACGCCACCGAATGAGCTTTGAGGAGTCAACCCGGCATTGGGCGTCATGGCCACGATAGACGGGCTCAAGTCTTTGGCAACATCGACACCGCTGCCCTCAGAGCCACCATCCTCTTCCTCATCCTCCTCAGAGTCACTGTCCTGCTCACTATCCGGAACAGTGGGAATAGCGGGGAAGAGGGGCGTTTTGGGCTTGGTGAGGAAGTCTGGCGGCAGCGGTGCGGCTTCCGGCTCCTTCGCAGGTGTTTCACTGACTGGAGTAGAAGACCAAGTTGCTTGTGTCAGAGACTGCTTAGGCATCTTGGGGAAGTCAGGAAGCGCTGCCGGCGCCGTTTGCTTCGGCTTCTCCTCGGCGGGCAAGGGAAGCGCGGTGGGTGGTGTTGTTGATACTGCCGAGTTGTTGGGCTTAGGAGTAGTGAGGAAATCAGGAGGCAGCGGAGCGTCATCCGCCACAGGTGCGCTTCCCTCCTTAGGCTTGGAGGGCTTGAGGAAATCCGGAGGGAGGGGGGCACTGGTAGGCTTCGGTTGAGTGGCCTTCGGGGTCGACATGAAGTCTGGAGGCAGCGGCGCCTCGGCAGGTTTCGGGGAAGCCTTACTTGCCCCGCCTGAGGACGACGACGATTCTCCAAGGGGGTATTCTACCCTGCTTGTTGAGTCAGGAGGCAGGGGAACATCGTTGACATTCTTCTCCTGGGGCTCCAGCTTGAAGCCCGAGAAGCCTGACGTTGAGGACTTCGGCGAGGGTTTAGAGAATAGACTCCGACCGTTTTGCGGTGCAGTCCCGAAGCCAAACAGCCCTTTGCTGGGCGCCGGGGTTTCTTTCGGAGTCGTGGATGGCAGATCGAAAACAGATTTGGGTTTGGGCGTCTCTTCGCTTGTGTCCATGCTTTGTTCCTTGGTTGGCGTTGTCTGCTTGGCGGCATCTCCAAGTGCAGAGCCGAAGCCCCCGCCGAAGAATGAGCCACCACCGCTGGCAGGCTTTTCATCAACGTCAACGTCGTCGTCCCTTGCCGAAGGGTCTGGCTTGAAGCTACTTTCCAACTTGAATGGCTGACCAGCAAACGGGTTGACCCCTCCGCTGCTTGCGGGCTTTTGACTTGGGGGCGGGAATGCGGTATCCTTGTTTGTTGAGAACGGCGAAGCACCCGAACCGAAGGGACTTGACGAGGCGGGTTTGCTTCCGAATACACTGCCGCCCTCATTGGAAGTCTTGCCGAGCGAAGCAAAACCGCCAGAGCTCGCGAAGCTGGCAAAACCCCCAGACGAAGACCCAGTCGCAGAGCTTTGAGTTGTCCCGCTACCGAATGCACCCTTACCAGCAGAGCCGAGGGTGCTGGCTTGGCCGAACGCCGATCCCGTAGTTCCTGAGCCGGACGTGGCCGTCGCCCAAGGAGACTTGGCTCCACCGAGCGAGGAAGACTGGCCGAAACCGATAGACGAAGCTTGTCCGAAGGCCGGGCCAGAAGAAGCAGCAGGGGTGCTGCCCAGAGCGCTGCCACTTCCAAATGCACCACCGCTTCCAAAAGTAGACTTCGGGGCGGAAGTTTGTGCAAAAGGCGACGAAGCAGAGGTGTTGTTGCCAAAGGCATTGCTTCCAAACGTCGAACCAGAAGATGGTGCCGCGGCTGCAGAGTTGCTGGTATTTGAGGTGCCCCACGGCGAGCTTTTAGCACCCAGAGCAGATGTGCCACCAAACGCGGTAGAGCCGCCGGAGCCAGAACTAAAGGGGTTTTGGGGGGCACTTCCGCCCAAAGCAGATGGGGCGCCAAAGGCTGGTGAAGAGGTCTGAGCAGAGCCGAACGGCGCTGGTTTCGAAGATCCCCCGAAAGGTGAGGCAGCAGCCGGAGTTGCCGCCGGCGTTGATGGTGCGGGTGCAGGTGCGGGCGCAGGTGCGGGAGTAGATGTATCAAGAACAGCCATACCGGGGTACGTGGTGCCTCCTCTGATGGAGTCTTCGTAGATTACCCACCAGGAGCTCAAAACACCCTCATGGTTGAGAACCCAGAAGCCTGGTACTGGGCCAGGCGAATCCTCAATCTCCTCGTCTGCGGGCAGTGGCTTGTACACCTTGTCCTTGCTCGACAGATCGAGAGCCACGCCGATTGGTATTGTGTTCTCGAAGTCCTCAGTCATAGGTAGAGACGCACGCTTAGAGTCGTCAAGCAATTCGGTAGTTGTGAAGACATTTTCAATAGTCTCTGCTGGCTTGTCAGCGGCCAGGGCTTTCTTGGATCGGCTAAGGAGGCCGATATCAGGGGATGCCGTGGATGCGACGATCAGCAGATCCGTAAGGTTGGGAGGGAAGTCCTTCAGTCGCAATATTGAGTGGTGAGGCGTTTTCTCTGCGCCGAATGGGTCAACGGGGTCTGCAACCTTTTGGAAGGTGAAATCGGATGGGAGCTTTCTGGTGATCATGTGGTATACTGATGTTGGGGGAGTTTCAGACGTTGATGTGTGAATGGCGAGGAAGAGATGGTTCTCCAACCAGCTCAGAGAAGATACTAGACGCAATCAGTTCGCCATGTCATCATCATTCGTACGACAAGAACCTACCGTGGGCGTTGTTCACGCTTGGTGGCCGCGGGATTTGACCCTTCTCTTCGCCCTCAGGGGTCATCTGTGAGATGCTACCATCCGCCAAGCCCGCGACCAGCTGCTTCCCCTTGGTACTCCAGCTCAAACAGCTGACCTGCGTCTTCAAGGCCTGGCTAATATTTCTCTCGTTCAGGTTCGCGATGTGGAGGTTCCCGTTATTCGTCACAATGGCAACCAGTTCGGCCTTCTCGATGGTGGGATTCGGTACGAGCGCCCTCAGCGTCTCGCCGTTCGTCGCAATCTCGAACGCAGCTTGCGTGCCGCCGTTGAGCAGGCTCTGCGTCTCATAGACAGCCAGGCCGCCACCGCTCTCGGCGGAGAGTATCAGGTAGTTCTCGTCGGCGCTGAAAGCCAGCTGCGACACCCTCATGGGCATGGGCAGCTTGACCTGGGGCTGGAAGGCGCGGACGTCGGAGGCATCGCTCTCCTTGTTCTCGGCCTCGAAGCCCTTGCGCACGGATTCGGTCGAGGCGATCGCGATGCCATCGGGGCCGGCGGCGGCGACGAGTCCCCGGCGGGGGGCGATGCTGAGGAGGGAGGCCGTGTCGGCGGGGGCTGGGGACCATGCGGACGTGAGGCGGAGCTTCGCGTCTCCCGCAATCGATTTGAAACCAAGCGCCTGGACAGTAAGTTTAGTTGGTGTTCTTCGTTCAACGTGTAAAAGACAACGGCATCGACGGTGTCGGTGACCAGATCTCACCTCGGTCTGGATCACCTCCAGCTCGGGGCCTTGATTCAGTCCTCCGCCTCCGGCCGTGCTCCCGAGCATGGCGTTTCCTTGGTTTGAGAAGCCGAAAGCCATGATGGATAGCGAATTGGCCGGTTCGTTGGAGGAGTGACTTGTCGGGTCAGCTGGGGGTGCTTATTCGCATTCGTTGTGGAGGGCCGCGTTGCTGATATACACGGGTTGACTTTTTTCTTTTTTTTTTCTTCTGTTGTCGCAAGCAGCTGAGGGTTGGTTGCTGCAGTCGCAACCAGAACGGCAGAAAGTGGAAAAGATGAGCCTAGAATAGCCTGCCGAGCGCCAGAATTTTGATAAAAAAGAGAGTATTGTAATTCCACACGTGAAAACGCGAAGAAATCGGTCAAAAGGCGAAGGGAGAGATGCCTTGGGGAGAGATGTTGCGCCTTCTGCCTTCCCTGAACTCTTACGGCGGACGGACTGCTCCCAAAAATTCGTATGGAGCTCTGCTGGTTGCTGGTTTCCGTCACCCCGGTCGCCAATCGATTCCAGATCACGTGAAGCTTAGGCAGCTCCAGCTGGGTGCAAGTCTGGCCAATCAACGGCAGCCTCCGTTGGTGTCAGGGTGCCTCCCGCTTGCATGAGCTCCCCCAAACAGCGGGCGACGACCATTGAAGGCAGCTTTTAGCCTCGTCATCAGCTCCTGCCTTTACCACGTCCCTTCAACCTCCCCACGTCCAGCTGAATCCCCAATTACAACACCATCTCCCACGACTGAACGACCGCGAAGCTTCACACGAATTTTGACGACCCGGGAAAGGAACAGAGGAACAGCACACCCCGGGATTGGCCAGCCAAGTCAGCAACCATGCCTGGCTTCGACTTCTCGAACTACAACCGCAATGCGGCCCTCCACGCCCGAGGTGTCCCCCTTCCCAAGGCGACGAGCACAGGTACCACCATCGTGGGATGCATATTCGACGGCGGCGTAGTGGTGAGTACTCCCAAGCTCAGGATCCCCTCAATGAGCTCGCCCCCTCTGCACCGCCCTATCGATACCAGACCGAACGAACCCCTCGACGAACTCCCGACCGCTAACACATCTACGCTATCTAGATCGCAGCCGACACGAGAGCGACATCGGGCCCCATCGTAGCCGACAAGAACTGCGAAAAGCTGCACTACATCGCCCCCCAGATCTGGTGCGCGGGTGCCGGAACCGCCGCCGACACCGAGTTCACCACGGCCATCATCTCGTCCAACCTCGAGCTCCACGCCCTCTCGACGGGCCGCAAGCCCCGCGTCGTCACCTGCATGACCATGCTCAAGCAGCACCTCTTCCAATACCAGGGCCATATCGGCGCCTACCTCGTCGTCGCCGGCGTCGACCCCACGGGCACCCACCTCTTCACCGTCCACGCCCACGGCTCCACCGACAAGCTCCCCTACGTCACCATGGGCTCCGGCTCCCTGGCCGCCATGTCCGTCTTCGAGACGCAGTGGAAGCCCCAGCTGAACCAGGAGGAGGCCGTCAAGCTCGCCAGCGAGGCCATCCAGGCCGGTATCTTCAACGATCTCGGCTCCGGAAGCAACGTCGACGTCGCCATCATCACAAAGGACAAGACCACGCTCAAGCGCGGCTTCGTCAAGCCCAATGAGCGTACCGCCAAGCTCAAGAGCTACGCCTTCCCCAAGGGCACCACCGCCGTGCTCAACGAGAAGATTATCAAGAAGAACGAGATCGGTCGCTACGTGAGCGTAACGGAGGTGCCGGCCGGCGAGGAGATGGAGGTTGATACCTAAGCGGTTGATGACGGGATTATGACAGGACGGGTTTTAAGGGGCTTGCTAATGAACGCTCCCGAGATGTGGAGGCATTTGTACCAATACAAGACGATGGCAATAGAAGCATTGACACATTGGAAGCTCACTGGTTTTACCTTTTCTGGGGACGGGATCAGGCAAGGCGGGAGACACTTAGTAAGCGGAGATATGTCGTCCGTCAATTCGGAACACATGGCTGCTAGGTGAGGGCAAAAAGCAGAGACAGGTTCTACCCAGTTGCTCCTGTCATACAAAACGTGGCATTGTGTCGGTCATTGTATGTGTGGAAATGTTTTCCATTCGCCTGCTCGCCACTATTATGCGAGGCAAGGCCCTTTTTGTACGACAAAGGGAAACCCCCCTACGGAAGACTCTACCGTCTTCCCTCAAGTAGAATTGGTATATACATAGGAACCCAAGGGTATGTTCAATCAAGGTTTGTACACGCTAAACGGAACCAACACTTTTTACCTCCTCCTGTAGCTCAGAGCAAAGGACTCGTCCCTTGTATGGGTATTAGGACAGCCCTGTCCTCCCTCCGCCCACATAGCGTACCTTGTTGAATGCAGAAAATGGCACAATTCCCAGCCATGAAATTTAAATGCCCAGTAAAAACAGCCGCGCTCCGTAGAGCCGGCTTCCCAGAACTCCGAAGATGCGGGGTATGAAGGTGATGTGTTGATGCGAAAGGTCATGATCCGTGAAATGCCGCTAGACGCTGCGCGCAGAAACAACTCCAAAAAGACTCAATCACTAGCCGGTCTTCTTGCCAAACATGGTGCGTGTTCTGGACTTGCTGCGTGACTTCTTGGCAGTGCTGTCTTCGTCATTGTACTTTGACTTGTGGATCCTGTGAAGGGTTAGCCAGTGTTTGGTTTCTTCAGGAAATTAGGGATAAAACATACCAGCTGTTGCCAACCATGTTCATTCCCTTGGCTTCAGCTTGCCGATAGAAACCGGCAGCCTTCTTCAGGTTCTTCTTGCATCCGATGCCCTGAGCATAGCAGAAACCTGCCTCAGCCAACGCATCAACATCACCCCAAGCTGGTTGTCTGTCAGCAAAATGAGTCTTTCACAGCATGTGCGATTGCAACTTACATCCAGCGATCTCAAAGCAACGCAGGGCAAGTGCTTTGTCTTGCTCGATACCCCATCCGTTCATGTGGCTCACACCAAGCTCGTAAATGCTGAGTGCGAATTGTGCCTTACGCGTCCTCCTCTCCGTGGCATCCACAAACTTGCCCTCTTTGACGTGGTCTTCGTCATCAGCAATTTCAAGGCTTGCACTTTCAGCCGCCTTTCTCAGCCATTCAACACCCTCGCGCTGGTTAGGTCGCATGCCCCAGCCATGTCTACAGGCAAGCGCATACAACAGCATACCCGTGGGGTTGCCGCCCCGGGCAGCGTGGCGGAGGTGGTAAGTAGACTCCTTGACTGAGCCATTCTCGTGGCACTCAATGCCCTTGGCCAAGTGCTCCTCAGGAGTCATGTCTGAGGTGGTAGGCGCACCCGAAGCCATAGATCGGGCACCCTTGAGCGTGCTGTTAGAATCAGTGGTAGCCATAGACATGGCAGTCTGGCCACGGGCGGCCTCGTGTGCGGGTGAAGTCAGACCACGGCCTCTCGGGTTCTCCTCCGAGGGTCGGCTTTCAGTAGACGGACGGCTAGGGTTGGGGGATGGCTGCGGCGCGGGACCGCCGCGGTTCATGCCAGACTTGGCCAAGTTGAGGTCTTCCGGAGCACCAGGTTCCGCTGAGCTGGAGGGCCGGGTCGGAGGAGACGGAGGCGCCCCGTGGGCGATGGCCTGGACGTTGCTGGGTTGCGTCATGGGCTGCTCCCAGTGGTAAGAAGCTTGGGGGTGAGGATCGAGAGGAACTGATCGCTGAATGATTTTGCCTCTAGGAAGCGAGTACTTCGAGTAAATGTACGAGGGCGCCGCCTTTCCATCGTCCAGCATTTCGGGGAAACCCTCGCTGTTCATGCTGATAGGCGTGTTGGCCGAGTCGTCATTCGCAAAGACGAATGAAGGCTGGCTATCTGATGAAGCTTGGCGGGTGGGTGTTTCCAGTCCGGGGGTACCTGCGCGACTCATCGGTCGCGAGAAGTTGAAAGAAGGCCGTGGCAGAGCCATAGAAGCTTCGGAGCTGACCGATGGAGAACGCTGGAAGGGACCTGGACCAAGGCCGGGAGACACACCTGCCATTGCGAAGGCGCTGCTGCTCGAGAGCTTGCGTGGAGGAAGAGACTGGATAGAGTTGCTCATCGAGTTGTCGTCGGTGGCATTGTCCAGAGGCGAAGACATGGAGCTCGTTGATCGTGCTATGAAGTTGGGTCTCGGAGGAGCCAGACCGGGGCCGTCGAAAGAGCGTCCCTTCGGCTTGCCAGGGGATCCCGTTAATGAGTTCTCGCGTGAGCGGGCAGGCGAGCGAAGAGGCAGAGAAAGGTCCTTTCGCGGGGGTGAGGCCTGGAGGTGGGAGTCGCTCAGCGGCTGCTCCATGGGCGTAGGAGATTGCTCCCTTCTGGCACCAAACGTAGTCTCGTCCTCATCTTCATCAAGAGCATCAATCGGGCGTCCGCGCATCGTGTCGAGCTGTGGGTGCGAAGGTAAAGGAACGTTCTCGTCGGGCGTAGGCGGGATTCGACTCATTCGCGGGTGAACTGATCTCGGGCGGTCCTTCTCGGACGGGAAAGCATCCTCCATCTCTGTTCTCAATCCCAATCCCGGGTTCTGAAGCTCAGGAAGCGCCATCTCGTCGGAGCCAGAGTCGTTGGACATTGAGCGGAAATAATCTGATCGGCCTTGGACCACGAGAGGGCTCTCAGTCGTCAGAGGTGGGAGTCGGCTCATTCGTCTTCCGTCGCCACTGGCAGCAGCTTGCAACTGCCTCGCCAAGAGGCGACTCTGCAAGGCGAAGGCATCGAGAGGCGATAATTCGGGAGGTGCCTCGCCTGCAACATGAAGTCTTGGGGATCGCAGCGGTCTTGAAACGTTGGACATGCTCGAGGGGGCCCGAAGGTCGATGAAGTTCGGGCGATTGGGCGACATGGTCGGTCGGTTTTGTACCGTCTCTTGCTCTGCGTTTTCCATGCAAGGCGATGGAATTGTGGTGCGCGTCCGGACTGGAGTGGGCTTGGAAGGTCGACACCAGATCGGGTGGTGCGATGGAGAGGTTGGTGGTTGGAATCCTGGCGGTGCAAGTCGTGTCTCGGTGGAAGGATCGAGTATGGCGTCAGTCCAGACTAGAGGATTCCGGCATCAAGGTCGAATAACAGGTCGATGGCCAGATGGTGGTGTGGCTGACGGGAATGCTACGGGCGGCGCATGAACGATGAGGTCAGGCGTAGAAAGGTCGCGGTAACAGGCCGGCGATATTGAAGATGAGGTGGTGATCGACGTCGGATGGAAGTCGGGTTCGAAGTTGGATGTCAATAATGGAAACGAGTGTCGTCGTCGACTCTTGAGCTGCGGATGTAAACAGAACTTCCAGCTTGTTTGGCAGACTGAAAGCGAAAGGTAAGGCGCAGGTAGATGGTGTAGATGCAGAGGTCAAAGCAGGATAGGCAGGCCGCTAGTGAAAGGGCGCGTGTGCGTTTTTAGTTTCCTGCAGTTGGATTGATCTGGTGTGGTTGGTGGACGGCGGAGAAGGAAGGCGCAGCAGCCAAGAAGGAAGTCGAGACGAAAAGAGTGTTCGAATGGTAGTTGTATGTGGTGTGGAAAGATGTATCAAAAAGACATTCGATTCGGAGAAAGCTAAAAGAAAAGGGTTGGGTTCGTTCCTTGACGGCAAAGTCAGTTTGATCGGATGGACGTTTTGATTCCTTGGTGGTGGTCTCAACCCGAGAAAGGAGCGGGACGTTTTCTCGACGATGCCTGGCACCGATCTGTCGCAAGAGGCAGATTTAGGACACACGGGCACGGAGGGGGGGAAGGTCGAAAGAGAAAGGGAAAGGAAGGAAAAGAGAAGGAGAATCAGAAGCGAAGCGATCTCTCTCTGTTTCTCCCAGAATCGGATACGAGGAGGAGAGAGCCCGGTGGACAAGAAGGTCAGGTACGGTACTCGCACCGTTTAGTTGACGGGAGACGCCCAGGTACGTACCGTTTTTAGCTAGGTACTGACCACTAAAACACCTATTCAGGGACCTTACAGCGGCTTGTCAGCAGGTCGATTCGAAGTGGTCCAATCGTGGGGACAAACTGAGTTGGGCTTAGCATCAGAGCACGCTAAAAGGGGACCTTCCATTAGCACGGGCAGCAGACCAGAGCGCTAGACCGCAAGGGATAAGTTAGCACGACATGTAGTCACGACGTCGCCCAGGGCCCCATGCAGTTGCGGAAGCAGGGTGTTTTTCCCTTGCAGACCTTCTACCTCTTCTTGCGTACGAACCTCTACACATGGCAGATGGCGCTGACTGCGAAAGTGTAAAGGTGAGGCGCAGCTCATGTAGAGACGCCCACGGAACACAGCAGAAAGCCAGCTGCAGGTCCGCAACAAACTTCAGGGTGAATCAAACACCCGTACCTCCTTAGGTAAGGTGTCTTGAGAGGTACGTACCGCGATTTTACCTCGATGCCGTTGGGTGGTCCTTACCTTACCTTAGGTAAGGCACTTTGGATGCATTGGTGCAGCAGCACAGCAACGGCCGACAAAAGTCCAGACGATATGCAGTCCGGGGTGCAGGCATTGCATGGCGACACGATGCACTAACATCTGAAGCCCCAATTTCCCCTTTTCTTCTTTCCCGTCCCGTCGACCCTGGATCTTTTCCCAGCACCTTTCACACACTCTGGACACAAAATGTGCCCACTCGACCACTCGCGACGCCCTGGGACGCCCCTTCAACCTTCAAGCCCTGTGGGCGGCGGTCCCCGGGCGGCGTTCCCCCGGTGTGGCCCTTTGGTGGCTCTCTGTGGCCCTGCTGTCACCTCACCTTCACCTTAACGGAACCATTCACCAGTTTCGCTCGTCAATGTCAATGCCAATGCGCAGACCCGTAGCATGGTGCTAAAACACTGCTACGCTACTTACGGAACACAATCCGTTTTCCTTCTGGACCGTCGCAGGCCACCACACCACCTATGAGCTATGTGGCTTGGCTCTTTTGAACCAGTGGCAATCGTCTAGCTCGAAAGGTACGAATAACGATCCAATGCTCGGTCTCCAAACACGAGTCGCTCGTCAGGTTGTGGCCACGGGCATGGATTCTGACGATCGGTCAACTTCAGGTTGAGATGCCTGGTATACGATGGAAGGGGATCGCCATCCGTGCCTCAACACCACCACTATAATGATGGTGTAAGATGCGGTGGGCATGAAGCACGTCAGGTGGCCCTGTATTGGCTTTGACACGATTTGACGGTAAGGTAAGGTAGGGAACGGATGCAAAACGTCCCTTTTCGCATCTAGGTAAGATGAACACGATGAACCGGCATCCTTAGGTTGCCTGTCTTACCTCACCTTATCCTGTGTGTTCCATTGTTGGAGTTGCACAGCGTACCGCCCAAAGGAGTCGGAGGATTGCTGCTGTTTTCCCTAACCAACATCCAAGACATTTGATCTGATTTCCCCAGAAGACGGGAGGACTCAGAGGAACAGGAGACTGAGAGTTGGCTCCCTCAGTGCAGGTGCAGGAACAAAATGGAAACTCGGTCTTGGCCGGCTTCTGTCCCGCTTCCTTCCTTTCTTTGCCCCGGACATCCTGCGGCAGTAACGGGCCTCCGTCACTGAGAATAGCACCTGCCGTCCAATCTGAATTGCTGATGCTCTGAGCGTTGCAGCAAAAGGAAGGAACGCACCTGCTTCCCGTCCCTCCTGCCTTCTGCCACTGCCTCGTCGTTGTCTCCGGATCCTAAGATTCTCGTCTATCCCCAATAAACCTACATCAATCAATTCCCCTCTCAGCAAACATTCTCATTGCTGCCTCTCTCGTGACGCCATACATATCTCACTCAGACCCAAATCAAAGGCCCTACCAAAAGTAAAAGGTAAGATCGGTGACCGCTTTCCCCAACACCCAAATTCCTTAGCGGATGGCCAAAAGACCTAACTTTAGCAACACTGCCGCGGCACTAACACGGGCGCAGAAAAAAAAAAACCAGCCTAGAACACGCTTCGCCAGAAATCTGGACCAACCGTGGAGTGATCAACGCATTGGTGCAACACAACCAAAGACAGGCACTCGAGCATTATTATGCACAAACGTCTCCTCCCAACGCCATGCCATGCAGATCCTCCGTTTGGTCCCTTCATCCCGGCGCCCAGAAGGTCCAGGCTCGCTGATGTCCATCCAGTCACTGCCGTCAGACACTCGGAGAAGACGGCCCCCAGAGGCCCTCAGAACCCTTCAATCATTCTTTGCTACGACTCTGCGACGGTCCTTCTTCGACCTCCCTGTCGGTCCAACCGTTTTGATGCCTCCTTCTCCAGAATTACGGAGCCGCTACGGAGCTACGGGGCCATTCATCCAACATCGAGACATGGCGATGTGTCGTCTTGATCGTCGTCGGTCATTGTCGACGGGGAAGAACCGCCTTGGAACGTCCCCCCGTCACCCGTTGCCGGCTCTCAATCTGCATTCTCCATTAACAATGGAACGGAACGGCACCAAAACAAAACGGAACCACATGCCACGGACGGCGGTCCAGAACAAATTTGCCGGGCAATGTAAACAATGAACCAGGAGGACACGAGGGACGAGGAGAAAAAATCAACGTCGCACATGACGATGCCCTCACACGGACAACCCTCCTCTCTGTCTCTGTCTCCGAATCTCATATCCGTGGCGAGTGAGAGTCTACCACTTCTTTCCTTCGTCCACATGGTACCCTTCCTCTTCCCCTTCCCGGCATCCACCTCGAGCGGGCTCTAATGATTTCGCTTCCCGCTCTTGCAGCATGAAAGCCCCTGAATTGGGAAGTCATCCCCGCGTTTCATTGGCTGTCCCCATCACCAGCAGCACGAAATATCATCACAGAAACCTTCTTCTGAATAGCTCCCAGCCCGTTTCGTGCTGTCAGCTGCCGGCCCGGTGCCCAATTGAGGGCGCCTCTTTTCTTGCCCTTATTGCAAGTTTGCGACCTTCTGCTTTCTGTTACCTCGAGCGCCGTATGGATACACAATAAGTACAAGCGACACAACCTTATTCGTGTGACGTTGCAACAATACAATATTGCCGGGACCCTTCTTTTGTTTCCCCGGCATCAATCATCAAAAGCAACCAGGCAAATCAAGATGAATGGCCGCGTGCCATGGACCAGATGTCGCCGAACCGGGAAATGCCAAAATCTCTGAGCAAACAAGTGACCTGCGTCCAAGGTCGCAAAATTGCAAAATTCAACCTTCCCCTCGCCTGGGGAAATTGCACGCCCAGTTCGATTCCTACGTCGATCCTGGATGGGGGACGACGCGTCAACGGCACTTGAATCGAATTGGCTTCTTCCAGGACAAAGATCAGCACGCCATTGAAATCTCCAGCTGCAAGGAACCTGGCAAGGCTGATTGACGGCCCAAGATCAATGGCCCGTCTATCTCTTTTCTATGCCTTCGTTCAGTTCTGGGCCCCGCGACGTCACTAGCCCAGCATCACCCCAACCGTACAGTTTCGCATCAACTGTCAAATTGTTTCAGCCCGCGGCCATCATCCCTCCCGCCCGGCGTTCGTCCTGCCTTCATTCGAGGCCTCTCTCAGATGAACCACAAGTCGTTGAAGCAGCGACCAATGACGAGACGAGTGCGCGCTCCTTTCACTGCCTAGTCCCAAGGTCGTTGTGTGGAAGCTTTGACATTGCTCATGGATCAATCTGAGTCCGAAATTTCTTAGGTGTCGCGACAATGCAATATTCTGCCCACCAACGCCGCAACCGTTTTAACCCCAATCATATCCGTTCCAATCCGTTTTCTTTTCTTCTTTTCTTCCTGCGCCCCGCCTCCACATACCCCTGGCTACCGGAAAACAGAAGAAGGCCCAGATTCAGGAACGACGTTACTCTACAAATGGGCTTCTAGCTTCAGTGAGACATGTGGCTGTTTCGTGCAGACTCAAATGTGCGAATGGGGCCATCCACTAAAGAGAGAAAAAATAAAATAAAGGTGCCACAGTTATTGGGTGTCTTCTGATACGAGAGAGAGGTTCAAACTTCGTTTTTCTCGTACTCCGTACACGATCAATGAGGCTATCTGAGTGGCAAATCCAATCGCCCCCGTTACTTGCCTTCAGAGTGTGGGGTACATACGGATCCCAAGAAAAGCGTCCCGGCGGGTGCACGATGGCCTCCTCCGTACCTCACGCCCCAACCGCCGACCTCATCCCATCCCGTCTGCATGACCGTCTGATCTTGCACTGCAATCCCGCCAAGGCCGCAGCTGAACCTTTGCACTCACAGACTTGCCCACCGCATGCCGCCGACAGAACTTACACCGGGAGCCGCACTCTTGGCAGCATAAACTCCTCCATCCCATCCGCCGCAGCAGGGCACTTTTTTGAATCGTGATATCTCCTACTAACACCAAATTTCCAACTGCTAGGTGAACAGTAGGTGTCGGGTCCGGGCAGCCAATCTTCCTTCAGCCACACTCCATCCTACCGGCGACTTAAGAAGCCTCCGCCAGAAAAAGGATGACCCCCAAAAGATCCAATCCCAACAATGCCATCCATCCTCTTTTTGTGATATTTCCAGGTTTTTTCCCACGTTTCCAACATACAGCCTCACCCAGCAATCCCCCAGCAGGGCCCGAGACGCGCACGCGCCACAATCGCCATGCCTTGCCCACGCCGCCCGGAAACACCGCGACCCCTTACTTGCATTATCGCCTCGTAGGGCAGGGCAAACCGACCTCTCTCTCTCTCTCCCTCGATTAGAGTTGGCTTGTCAGTGTCAGGTAGGTAGGTAGGGGCATGGACATCGCCACGATCACGTCGAGGTCCCCCAAACCCTGCCTGGCAGCCTTGAAAAAGGGCCGTTTAAGACGGATCTTTGTTCGGAAAGCTTTTTCCATTGATCTAACAGAGATTCCGAGATGTCGTTCTAAAAATGGGTTTGGGTTGGGTCTGCTGCTGGTTTTGCCATTGTTGGTTGAACTAGCCGCAGCCGCACTCACCGTCGTAGCCGCAGCCGCAGCAGCGGGGACATTTCGCGTCAACGTCGTCAACGGTTTTGCCGCCGCGACATCACCACAACCAACCTTATCTTCATGAGAGCCATACATCACGCATTCTTCAAAAACGCCATCAAGCCGGACCAGCTGAAAAAGTAAAAAAGAACCCCAGGTTTTTGTGTGGTATATTTAGACTTGCTATCGTCCTCGTGATCCCGGCTTTCCACCCAAAAAGTCGACCGGCGGCCCCGCCTCCCACACAGGCCCCATTCCTGGAGGCGCAGCCGCGAAGAAAAACTACGCCATCCATCGTCAACGCCACCTTCCGACTTCCCCACACGCCCGTATGATAAGGCGCATTCAGTGCCTGTGATGTTGGTTGCCCGGTGAGGCTATCGCGAGATTCGGTGGTGGTCTGTCTGTACGTGGGGAAGTTGCGTCATTGTTCGTTGGCGACTTTCGTGTTGGTGCCCCTCGATAGATAGAGCTTGCCCCTCAGTGGCACTTCGTCTCCAAGAATAGCTTCGTGTGCCAGCCCCTCGGTCACGAGGCCGTGACTGTAGACTTCGCGTGCTGAAATCTGTCTTTAGACTCCCATGTTCAAAAGCCCGGTATTATCATGGCCAGGCGATTCCATGTCGGAACCCCTCGTCTTCGAAAGAGATCTCCGTGATTGTGTAGTTTTTAGAACAGCATTCGTTGGTTCATCGCTAATGTGACCAAACAGAGTCGAGGATTCGTTTTCCCTCATGTTAAATGGTCCTATGCCAATTCAAGATGCCACTTGGCAGCATGGTGGACCTGAAAAGCTTAGCCTTGCACGTGCGTGACACGACTACGGTTCTCATCGTCTCTGGGCACCGAACTGTGCCCGCAACGCCAAGATCTGCTGCCTCTCGGCCTCGGGAAGCATGTTGATCGTCTCCATCGGCAGCTCCAAAACCTGGCGCATGAGCGCTTCCGGGTCTTGTCCCATCGGCGCCGCGGCGGCAGCGGGAGGCGGCGCTCCATAGGCGGCCTGCTGCGGGGGCGGCGCGTACGGCGTGCCAGCTACCGGAGGAGTGTTGTCAGCACCCGGCACCGGCACAGGAGGAAAGCCGGGAGCAGGCTGGGGAGGGAAGCCGATCGGCGGGGCGGCTTGGGCTGGTGTCGGAGCGGGAGCACCACCGGCCTCAAGAACGGAGTGAATGGCCTCCGGGGAGACAAGGCCCATGAGAAGGAGGGCTTGGAAGACGGCGTATGCTAGTTGAGGTGCCTGTTGAAGCAGCTCCGTCGCGCGGGCTGGGTCGCTGGAGGCCAGGGCCTTCATCTGAGTGAGGATATCCAAGAGTTGGGAAGGAGGCAGGGTGTTGAGAGTACGAGAAATGGCGTCGGTGGCTGTGACGTTGGGCGGAAGCTCTTTGCCGGCGGGCAGAGGAGGGAGGGTGCCCGACGACGCGGGGATGGGAGTTGGGTTGTATCCGTTGGAAGGATGGGAGACATTGCCGCCAGTCTGCGCAATGTCAGCGTGAGTCTTTATAACTCAAATGTAGGATCAAACGCACATGACCACTATGTCCATCGTTCTCGTCGCTTCCTCCTTCGTTAGAGAAATCGACTCGCAATTTCCTGCCCATGATCTCGTAGTCGTTCAAGTTACGGACGGCCGACGCAGCGGAGTCTGTGGTTGGTGTCAGCCTTGATCAACTAATCAGGGCGCGGATGTGTTACCATTGTCGGGGTATTCTGCGAAACCAAAGCCCTTAGGTCGGCCGGTCTCGCGGTCATAAACGAGGCGGAAGTTAAGGACTTTGCCGGCGCTGCTGAAGATGTCGCTAATTTGCTCTTCGGAAAGGCCTGTCAAACGTTTAGCGCCGCGCTTTCGATACTCGCTATGCGCACGCACCGTAGGGGATATTTCCCACGAAGACCACTCTGGAGGGCGGCTTCGACATCGTGTCGTCGATTCGAGAAGCCGAGGATGGAGATGTATGGACTCGCTCGTGACTCGCTCTTCAGTATCCGTGAGAATGTAATCGGTAGGGAAATATCACGCGCCGAATGTCGTGATATCTGTGCTCTTTCCTGTGCAGGCCCGTTACTCGGTTCGGTTTCGAGGTCGTGACGCGACTTTTTCGACGTTGGTTGTCGAAGAGTCGGTTTCTTGATAGTGTCTGAGAAAGTCACTCCAGTCTTCCAGAGGTTGCAGTTTTTTGTGGGGCGCGGTAGCTCAAGGTAAGCTCGGCTTCTTCCATCCCATTGGCTGATCGGGCGGCATCCACCCTGCCCCGTGCAGACCCCTGAAGCCGCGTCTCCTAGCGCAAGTGGCAGCTGAGGGACTGCGTGGCCAGAAAATAAGTGAAGGTGGCCTCTACGACTTGCGCCCAGAGCCTTTCGCTTCACCTTGACTGACTTCCTTCTGACAGCCGCAACAGCTTTTGGTGCGAGCCTCTTGATTTTGAATTTCCGTTCTCTTCTCATGGTTCAAGCGGGGTTCTTCACTTCTTGACATCATCTTTTTTTCTCCCAAAAAAAGAAGCCCACACTCCTTTCCCATCCCTTGGCGCATCCGAGACTTGCTTATTCCCTGCTTGACGCTTTCACGAGGGCCCGCGAGGCTGTACGCAACTTGTGACAAAGATCGACAGCAGCATATCGCCAACCGACCTTCACAATGCCTGCGAAGTCGAGATTTACAAGGCTTGACGCCTTCACCAAGACGGTGGACGAGGCGCGCATTCGGACCACCTCGGGCGGAATTGTCACCATTGTGTCGCTGATTGTCGTCCTTTGGCTGGCGTGGGGAGAATGGGTCGATTACCGGAGGATAGAGATTCACCCCGAGCTGATTGTGGATCAAGGAAGAGGTATGAATACTACTGAGCCTTTTCACTGCGTTTGTGAGGAATTCGGAAGCTAATTGGCACTTCTGCAGGCGAGCGCATGGAAATCCATCTCAACGTCACTTTCCCCAAGATGCCCTGCGAGCTCCTCACCCTCGATGTTATGGATGTATCTGGCGAGCAACAGCACGGCGTCATGCACGGTGTCAACAAGGTCCGTCTCCGCCCTCAGAAGGAGGGAGGCGGCGTCATCGACGTTAAGGCGCTGAGCCTGTAAGTTACCCCTGACTTCAGCCAACGGCGCGAGATCGCGAAACTGACACAACCCAGCCACTCCAGCGACGAGGCTGCCGAGCACCTGGATCCCAACTACTGCGGCCCCTGTTACGGCGCCCCGGCCCCGCCGAATGCGCAGAAGGCCGGCTGCTGCAACACCTGTGAGGAGGTTAGAGAGGCGTACGCGCAGGCTTCGTGGGCTTTCGGCAAGGGCGAGAACGTCGAGCAGTGCACCCGCGAGCACTACGCCGAGAAGCTGGAGGAGCAGCGCAGGGAGGGTTGCCGTATCGAGGGTGGTCTGCGCGTCAACAAGGTCGTCGGAAACTTCCACCTTGCCCCCGGCCGCAGCTTCAGCAATGGAAACATGCACGTCCACGACCTCAAGAACTACTGGGAGACCCCCGACGATGCTCAGCATGACTTCACCCACACCATCCACACCCTCCGCTTCGGTCCTCAGCTTCCTGACACCGTCACCAAGAAGATGACGAAGCGCGCCTACGCCTGGACCAACCACCACGGCAACCCCTTGGACAACACCCACCAGGACACCAACGACCCGAACTACAACTTCATGTACTTCGTCAAGATCGTCCCTACCTCGTACCTCGCCCTCAACTGGCAGAAGACTGCCTCCTTCCAGGACGACGAGAGCTCTGGCCTGGGTCTTCTTGGCCACTTGAGCGATGGCAGTGTCGAGACTCACCAGTACTCCGTGACGAGCCACAAGCGTAGCTTGGCCGGTGGTGATGACTCTGCTGAGGGACACCAGGAGCGCCTCCACTCCCGCGGTGGTATCCCGGGCGTCTTCTTCTCCTACGTGAGTATTATTTACCCCTGTTTCCATACACACAACTAACATATTTCAGGACATCTCCCCCATGAAGGTTATCAACCGCGAAGAGCGTGCCAAGACCTTCACTGGTTTCTTGACTGGTCTTTGCGCTATTATCGGTGGTACTCTTACTGTTGCTGCTGCTGTTGACCGTGGTGTCTTTGAGGGCGGCATGCGCCTTAAGAAGATGCGCTCAAAGGACCAGTAGGGGGGAGATGTGGTTGTATGTAGTTTATATGTGTTGACATTTCTTACACGCTGTGCATCAAAAGTGGAGTTTGGGTGGCTTGGTAAAGAGGTTACTACAGTTGATCAATATCACATGCGCCATGGGCGTTCCATAGTCTGCATGTCCTCCTGCTTGTGCTTTATGATATGCTCATATGCCTCTAGTATCGATGAGTCCTAATTCAACCCTAAGGAAATGATAACTTCAGATAGAGTGACGCCTTGGGAATCCCCGGGCTTCGAAACAGACAATATGTCGTCGCTTGTCATCCTTGCCACCATAGATCTCCGAATCAGCATATAAGTGTCCGATGTCTTTTCCTGATGTTACCTCTCAGCTGTTCCCTCCGTACCTCTAGTCTTGGTGAAGGCCATTGAAGGACTCAAGGCTTGAATCAAGCAAAAAGGGGTCCGACCATTCTGTCGATCCCTCTATCGATTCTTCTATCGATCCTTCTACCGACCTTGCTACCGACCCTTCTGACAGAAAATCAAAATCCCATGGTTCGAATCCATGTGCCGTCCAGCCGGCGTTTTCAAGGCCATACAGTGCAGCGTCCCCGAGGCCGACCGCAGGTTCAGCGTGCGCTTCATGTGGTGTCGATGAGCAGGTTTTGGCTCGAGGACCCCGACGAGGCTGCTCCAACTCCGCGTTCGGTGCTTCAAGGGCTTGATCAATAGCCGTAGAGAAGGCTTGAATCAGCCGTTCGATGGAGCTGATGACGTCCGTAGCCAACGGTCGCAACGGAGATTTACTTCGCAGCTCGTCTGATGAAGTCGGTTCGCCGTGATGATTTTCTGGCTGGCCCTCGATGATTTCTCGACCTTCGTTCAGACAGAAATCCCGAAAGATCGACAGCGTCTCTTTCATAGTGGTATCGATATAAACCGAGCTGGGATGCGGCCTTTCGGGAAAGAGCAAGTCCCACATAGAAAACCATGCGTCGCTGGTGCCCATGCCATTAGGCGTTCTCGCGGACATCTTCTTCTGTTGGTCGAGAGTGATTCCTCCGGGTCTGGGATAATCTTGGATTTGGCATTTCTGAACCCTCGAATGCTCCAGCTGTTCTTTCTGGGTGGTGAACTCCTCTCCGCAGCTTGGACAGTAATGCGGCTGAGTATGCTTTCTAACGAGGTGTTGTTTGACGTCCTTCACTCTCTTCAAGTTGAACTGAAGGCAGTCTAAATGCTTCAGCCTGTCGAATTTGAAGAAAGGACAGGCGAGACGACGTTCTGTGTTGTCATCATCTGATTTCGGATGTCGGCGAGCATTCGGCTTCGCTTCCACGGCCCTCTCTCTTGACAACAGATCGTTATCCTCTCCAAACTTCCTCTTCAGACGTCCGTTGCTCCTCTCATTCTGGAGCGTGGCCATCGTAATGGATGTTATGGGGGAGGGGTAGCGTTTTCTCCTATATTTTCCGGCGTAAGATGCAGGCGAGTGCGCTCAGCCGTGAAAAGCTATGGAGGGGAGGTTCAATGTTAAAATCAGGGGGTGAATTAGTCCAAAAGACACTAACCGGTTCAGCTTCGGTTTTGGACAGCGTCGAGCCTGCGTACGTCTTTGGGGCACAATTGTGCGCTTCTACATTGAGGTCGAGGGTTGTGATTGGATCTGTCTCATGCGCCTCAGCATGCATGATACCCCTGTGTTTCTCTTCCGCTGATGTGTCTGCGGCGAATGAGTATTAAGAGACAATTCATAGAATAGCATTGGTCAACTAAAACTTCCGCAGATTGAGGAATATTCTTTGCTTCCATGTGGTTTGCATGGGTTCTTTCAAATCGTTCTTGTGACCAGCTAGAGCACGTCGGCAATTAACAGTAGAAGTAGTAGTCGCTGAGCCTTTTATTTATGTAAGTGAGATTATGTGGTGTAATTACGCCAACAAGAATCATCTTCAACCTTTCATCCCATGCTCTTTCTAACTCATAAATCAACTCCAAGTCAAGCAACTCCCAACTCTCCGATTCATTGACTCCGGCTCCCTACTGGAAAACTGCCTCAGGTATCAAAATATCTCCCAACTCACTGATATCGAAATCCACGAACGCATCCCAGTTCGGCTCAGAGCCTATGCCCAAGTCAGATGTCAAGCTCGCCTCGAAACTGTTGGCTTGTGCCACTGCGGTGCTGATAACCGGAATATCGTTTGTGGAAGACGCCTGGTGCTTCTCGAGGGAGGAGGGCTGAGCTGGAGGCCGGCTGCCCTGGTCTGTAGCAATGGGCTCTTCTGACATACTCTTAAGTGGACAACACTCAGTTGAGGATTGTCGCCGACTTTGGTCAGCGACAGCGGAGTAAGCTTGGATGAAGCTTTCAAGGAGAGCCTCCATAGTGTCATGAGTAGTTGTGAAGCCCGGCCCAAGTGTTGTAGGCCCCTTGTTCTCACCCGATCCAGCCGGGTAATGATTGTTATGCTGATGGTATGTCATGATCTCGGCTCTTCTGTCCCTCCAAAACTTTTGTAAAGTGGAGAGTATCTCAAGGACAGGCGAATCGACATAGGGCGAAGATGGTCTCGGCCGTCCGGGGAAGAGCACATTCCATATTGTAAACCACTGCTCTTCTGTTTGACCACGACCGGTCCTCGAAAGCGCAAAGATCTGGTCCTCTGTTGCCCCCTCAGGTGTAGTGAAGTCTCGTCTCTGGCATTGTCTATCGTTCAAGTGGTGTGCTTTCTCTTCATCCTGGGATTTGAATGCAAGGCCGCATCGGGGACAAAAGCGACCTTGCACATGCTTCCTTCTGATGTGTTGCTTGACGTCCTTGATCCTTGTGAGACTGAGTTTGTTGAGACAGTCTTGGTGCGTCATGTTGTTGACCTTGTAGAAGGGACATCCGAAATTGAGTTGATGTTTCTGCTCTGTGGTATGTGATCTCATTTTGGTCTTGGTGTTGTTGTGGCTGTGGTCATCCTTTCCATCACTTAGGTCATCTTGCACCCTCTTTCTTTTCCTGGCTGACTGACTGAGGCTGCTGAAGGATTGCGGTAGGATTCTCCCCGTGTCTGAGACTCTGGAATTGCCGTTGTCACGGATTTGAGTGCTGGTTTCTCGTGCAGTGGTTGGAGTAACTGAGACTAGATTCTTATGTGGTAGAGAAGGATCGTGAGAGCTCGCATGAAGCAAATCTGGTCCATTGGAGTACAACAGCACCTCATCCTCTTGGAGGACATGGTAATGAACGCCAGAATCCGTGCCGTCCTTGATGCGAAAGGTCTTGAGTAGTTCGTCTGTGGTACATCATTAGGAACTTCTAGCCATGGATTGGAGCTTTAGAGCCAAATTTAAGATTCACTTCTCTTTAATAGAGGGGCCTCGTCCAAAAAAAGGTCGGAAGAGTGGTTGGAAGTCATCGTGATTAAGAAACGAGACTATGCTTCTTCAAGATGGTCTGAACTCAATGAGGTCGTGGAAGAAAATTAGAATTTGCAGCCTCAAACAAGATTGGAACATAGATGTGTAGGTATATGAGCGTAAGTGTGTGGTACGGAGGTAGCCGCAGCTGTGAGGAACTTGTAGAGACAACGACGAAAATGACTGGTCACACCTCACGTGCTGTAAGAATTGTGGTTGGCACTAGGATTACTAGGACTGCTAGGATTAGAAGCAGGGGATAAGGGGAGCTGTGGAGGCGTGGAGTGAGGTACAGTCTCTGGCAGCGTCTCTGCAGCGTCTCTTCTAGAGCTACAATCACAGACCGCGGCCGCATCCTCGTACTGAGAATCTTCATAAAGAGCCGACACTGTACGGAGTGCGGATACAGCTGCAAGTTGAGACTAAGAGAGAAAAGTGAAAATGACCACACATGCTTGGTGGCCCCGGGGGAGGGGAGGTGGCGGCAATGGATGAGGAGGATTTTGATGCCATCCGGACCTGCACTCATCTGCGTTCATCAACAAGGCTGCGACCAACAGCGATTCACAATGTTTGGACACTTTTTCTTCCAACTGAACCAGATGGTAGGTAGTTGGCTTGGCTCGGCTGGACTGGGCGTGCCGCGTGCGAGAAGCGTGGCTACACAGCCTAGCCGAGCCCAGTGTCGGCGCATCGGAGCGCAGCTGCCTCCATAAGGCGGCGTCCTAGGAGGGGTTCTGACCGGAGCCGCGATCCGCCCGTCATCCGCTGGCAATGAACATAATGTTGGCCGAGGAAGGTTACTGCCGCATGGGATTCGATTTTACCCCCAAACGGTCTTGACGTTGAAGGAATACGCCGACACTAATCTTCATCTTCTTAAATCGAATAACAACTACTCATGTTGCAGTAAAGTGTCCGAAGCCTTGTTAGAGATACGTCATTTGACATTATAAAAATCTGGTGTACAAACACTTGTTCCGTTTACCATCCGTGGATGTACCAATCTAGACTCAAGGCATCGTATGCTTTTTGGCCCTCCTAAACGCCAGCTTCAGAAACACCAGAACCCTGAGCGCGGGCCCTCCTCTCTATACAATATTGTAAACCCGCTTCGCAATCATGTAACACGCCAGGCCGAATGCCAGTAGGCCTGCCGTGATAGCCCAGAACCATTTCAGGTCACCCTCGTACTCCTGACCAGGGACCCAAACGTTCATACCCCAGAGACCAGTGATAATGTTCATGGGCAACACAATAGTACCCAAGACAGTCAGCTTGCCGAGGACATCAGCCGTCTGCTCCTGCCGTTCATTCATGCGGATGTTAATTTGCGCGAGGTAGTTGCCATGAGACCGGGCCAAAATCCTAGAGGGTTAGTGGTTAGCATCAGCTCCCGACAGCTTAGATATGTAGCACTTACTTCTCGTAGTGACTGAGATTAGATGTCATTGTCACAATATGATCTTGGATATCGCCCAGATACAGTCCGATGTCAGACCTTGGAGCGACTTCCCAGCGCTCATTGCAGCGCTTCGCGAAGCCCTTGATGACATCTGCCTTGTTGCCAAGCAAGCGGTAAAGACTCATGACACGCTTACGGCAGTCGCCCACACGTCGAAGCATGTCTCCTTCGGATCCAATTGTAGTCGCAGCGCTGCTAGCCTTCTCGTCGAAGTGACCATCCTTGGAATCCTCGGAATGAGAGTGGAGTCTCAGAATAGCATCATCAATGTCGTCGACCTCATCTTCGATGTTCTGAATCAAGGGAACAAAAACGTCGGTAATATCGTCAATAATGGCGTAGGAAATCCAATCGGAGTTGACGATGAGATAGTCCTTCAGCTGGCGAATTCTTCGGCGTACGTTGGCAGGGTGTGGTGTCATGGAGAAGTGAAAGCTGATGACGCCCTCACGGAACACAATGACATACATGTTGACAGGCTCCAAGTAATCCTCGCTGTTCTGGTCTTGATCGAAAGATCGGTAGTTGACGAAGTAGTAGTGTCGGAATAGCTCCACTTTCTCTCGAGCCTCCTGAACCATGATATCTTCGGCGGTAAGCGGGTGAATACCGAACGCCTTGGATAGTACCTTCATCTCTGCCTCGGTCGGGCTGAGCACGTCGAGCCACCATACTGGTCGCTCACCGTACTTAGGGGTCTTGACGAGCAGTTCTGGGGTTTGAGTGGTCTGATTGCCCACGACCGGCGACCTCACCCCGGTGGGTGTACGGTGAAGGGATCCAGCTCGTGAACTGCCACCAGACGTCTTTTCCGGTGATATATGGCCATGAATTGGCTGAGTGCTGGCAAGAGATGGCTGTCGAGTCGGCGCTCGGGAATCTCCATTCTGGCCACTGTGTGAGTGCTGAGTAGTGGCATGGGATAATGGCACATGATCGCCGTCTTCGTCACTGTCCTCACTCTCGTCGTCGGAGAGAAGGCGGGGTTCAGGGATGAACAGCTCTTGGAAGTTTCCGCCCGGCTGCACGAGTTCTGAGATAGTCTGGCTGTGAATGGTGCTTTGGAACTCCTCGTTGAAGTATGTGAATCGGTAAGGCGACTCTTCCTCTGAGCGGTACCATTCTCGAGTGACGGGACGCAGACGTCCGTTAATGAGCTGAGGCTCTGTAATTCGCTTGACCCGTCGTTCATCAGAACGTCCCTCCTTCTCAAATCTGCTCCATTCCTCGAGGATAGACAGATCAGGCCAGCGGCGACGACGTCGCCTGGGCCTAGGCTTGGCCGTCGGGTCCTGAGAGGAGTGCATTTCCTCCTCTCCGATCTCGGATATCCCACTCGGGAAACAGACGTCCTCCTGAGCGGTCAAGGCGATTGTGTTCCTCCGCGCCAAATCCGGCGACTGCTCCATTCGAGATTCGTGGTCCGAGTGCGAGGCATGACTGTTCCTGCGACTTCCGCGGGGCGATACTTGAATGTTGATCTCGTCATCGTGGATCATAACGTCGCCGAAGCTCAGATTCAACGGGTCGGAGGGTCGGAATTGCGGCGACCCGGGCATGGAAGGAGGATAGTTGACGTTGTAGCTGTCGCCAGGGAAAGACGGCGCAAGCTTCGTTCGAGAGGATCTGCTGGAACCGCGACGGCTTACGCGCTGGCGAGGGTCGCTCGAGCCATATCCGGAGAATACAGGAGCTGTTGCGGTGCGCTGGATTGACCTGGACAAGAGCGGAGCGCCCTCATCCCACGACTGCTCTCCATCCTCTCCGCTTTCACCGACGTAGGCGTTGCGCAGCCGGCTGCTCGTCTGCGGTGTCGCAGTCGGGTACGGACCGGAAGGCGTCATGATAGAAGGCCGTCGAATTCGGAGCGGTTGCTGCTCTCTAGAGCTTGGCATTAGCACGGTTCGCGCCTCAGGACAGGGTGCGAGCTTACCTGTGATCCAGGAGCGCCTCGCTCTCAATGCTGGTGTTGCTCAGATTAGAGCGATGAAGGTAGAAGTCGTCTCTGTCAGTCGAGTGCTCCTGAGCTTCGTCGTGCGACTCTTCGGGCAAGACAGCGAAGGACTTGCGGCGGTTGCGCTTCTTTTGTCCGCCGCGGTGGTTCTTTCGCCGTCGAGGCTTATGCTGTCCGTTCTGGTCATTACCATTCGCATTCCCAGGTGTCACGGGTGGTGGTGCCGTCGAGCTAGAACCCAGGGCATTGGACTGCCTCCGGGGCGTTGGTGTTTGCTGCTGCTGGTGGAGATGAGCAGCCAAAGGTTGAAACTGGTTGCCAGACATGTTGAAGGAGGAGCAAAATGTCACACCGTCTTGTTGGAACGCTTATGTACGCGATTACGGTGGTGCCGTGGGTCGGCGTCAAGCAGACGCAGGCTAGGCCGTCGGCCTACTGCTGGGGTTTTTGGTGGCGACGGGGCTGATTCCACGTGAAGGTGAGGTGTGACTGCGTCGACGGGACTCCGGTTGACGGGGGTCGACCTCAGCCGTGTTTGCTTTTCAGTGGAGCGTGCTGGGAAAGGAGCTCGTCAGGGAGATAACAGCGACGATATCGTTTTCAAGGCTTTGCAAGGGTCGGGAAGGTGGAAAACGTGTGTGTGAGGCGAGCGGTAATACGTGGCAGTGGAGCCAAGTCGAAGGATTCGTTGACATGAGAAATGGTGGAAGTTGAGCGATTGGAAGGCGAAGAGACGGGAAGGAAGAGCGGCAGCATGTAAGGCACAGAGCGTCAGACTGGAGACCTGGACTTCCTCGAGGATGGATGTTTTGCGCGGGTTGGCGGCTGGCAGCTTGGGAAGAAAAGTCTGCCGATCGAATGGGAATTGGAGATAAAGGCGATGCATCCGTTGCTTTCGGTGATGTCAGTGGGAAACTGGAACAACCCAGCGCCTGTGGCTCGCCCAAAGGCTAAGCTGCTTTTAGCGGAGACAGGACCCAGCGCACCCGTGGCACCGTGGGACCCGACACCTTCATGGCTGAGACCCCGCCTCATTGGCTCCATTGGCCTCTCAGAGGTCCGAGAGCAGCTTCCAAGTTCCCTGGCTTCACAACCGGCCACCTCTGAGCATTCGCCTGTCGGTGATTCAGTCCCGCCTGCAGCAAGGAAGCTGATTGTGAGAGCCACTGAGCTGTCATCCCCGCACTCAGCAGTGGAGTCACTGTGGCTCTCTGAACCGGGCACCCCTTCAGTGTTGCGCATCGCTGATCTCCAGGTGTTCTTGTGCTGCCCACAGTCTTCCCTGACGCATTAACTTGCATCCACCAGCCTTCAATCCGTCCGTCTTAAACTGGACCTCTTCTGGTCGTGGCTGGAACGGCACTTTGCCTCACCGCTCGGAGATGGATGCTTCAGGCAGGTGGGCACACGACATTCCAGAGGTCCAAGGCCTGAGTGCCGGTACCATCCCACCAACCGTTTGGAACCATGTGAATTATCGACCGGTACCGGACAACACTCGAGCTCTACCTAGGTAAGCTAAGCTCGCACACACGCCAAAGACGGAAGGATTCTTTACACCTCCGGAAGACAATGTGCCTGAACCAAAGTCGTCCGATTTCACAATCAGCTATGGGTGTGCCACATGGACAGGAGCGGCTTCGGCGGGAGCTAAATCATGACAGACTTGGCTATACTATAGAAAGTAGACTATGAATTCCAGGATAGAAGACGTTTGTAAAAGGTGTTTACATCGGAAGACGGCAATTCGATGTTATGATTTAATGCAGAGACCCGTCAGAACCGATCTCCAAATGGCAGATCGATGGTACGACATGACTTGGCACAGAAACTCAAATACAACTACCCTAACCCACCGGGGCACTCTTCCTTCGTTTAATTTGCCATTCCAGACATGTCAAGAGAATAGCTTGGCTGTTATCAGCAAGCGGATGGGAGCAATGGTTCATGACCATCGAATGTGTAGCTGTTTAAGTCATGGCAATTCTTCACCAATACATCAACTCATCGAACGAATCTCGACTCGTCAAGTATCCTCGAAAAGCGCCTTTGTTCTTCCAGGTCCAAGGGCCATGCGCAATGACGACTTGGAACATCTAAACTTTTGGGGTACCGTCTATGCTTTTGTCCATACTACGCCCCGATATCAAAAATGCCAATTTACACATAAGAAAAGTCCGACAATTGCCGTACCAATGCCCTATCTCCACCTCTTCTTTCACACATTATTACGCCTCCTTCACTGAAAGCTCCACAACTTCGTCAGTAGGCTGTCCTGAACGCCAGACTCTGGATCGTTCGGCAGGAACACCCTCTTGGGAATCTGGTACTCAATCACGGGCGGCTTCTTGACCATCTTGGACATCTCTGCCTCGAGCAACTGCACAAACTGTTAGTCGGTCTTCTTGAAAGAAGCCTTGTGAAGATAACTTACACTGCTGTAAGAGTGGTCTAGGAAGTCCTCAATGTTGTAGGACTGCTTTGTGAACTGCTCAGACATGATCTTGGCAATCGTCGCGACGTTGGGGTGGTAATGCGACTGCAACTGTACGATCTCCCACAGGCAGCTGTCAATCGCGTGTGTCTCCATCGGGTCCATCTCATCCTCCACGAAAGGGTCATCCAGACCCTGCGTCTCCATGAGAGCCTTGACATCCGGGTCTCTCGTCTCTCTGTGGATCATAAAGGTGCACAGCGGGTGCCTCTTGAAGATGTTGTACATCCACGGCACTATAAAGACGATGGCGCTCGGAGGCGCGTTGAGACTGAGTCGCGCCAGCCGCTTGATAAAGCTCGCCACCAGCACCGCCGGCAAGTGAGTCGACGCGAGGAAGGTATCCATGAGGCGGAAGAATCTTGAGCGGTGCTTCGAGTGAAGAATGTCGCGGTCCAACAGGGAGTAGAGCTTCGTATAGAAGGAGGGGTAATCGAGGTTGCGCTCCTTGATGAGGTAGAACACACCGGACAGAGCAAGCAGCGAGATCGAACCGCCGGCGTCGTATGAGTCTGTAAGGAAATCGGCAAGCAATTCCGGCCTGATGAACCAGGGAGCAATCTCAGTGGACATGACGTCCAAGACCTGCTTACGCTGTTCCCTGGTCGACGCCAGCTTCAAAACGGCGAGCCAGGCGTCCTGGCCTTGCCTCTTGTGCTGGTGCAGGGAGTTGAGGTTGTGTGACTTCTTGCTGGGCTTCTCGATGTAGTAGTTCTCCAGTTCTGTTGGCACTTCGCCAATGTTTGACAACAGTTCAAATGCATCGTCAAAGAGCTCCTCTTTTGACGCATCGCCAGCTTCGTCGGCCATGGCCCTGCTTATTGTCAGTACCGAAAAAAAAAACCTTGCCTCTAAGGACGTACTTGATGGCTTTTAGTGTGTAGAATCTGATGTCGTCGTATCCACCCAAATACTTTTCCACAAACTCAACACGAGCATCGTCGCTGTCTGAGCTCAGAAGACCCGCGAGGATGTCTTGGAGGAACTTTTGGGGAAAGGTGTACTCCTCTCTGTCATTCAGGTGCTGCGCCTCGGCCTTGAGGCACCGCATAGCCAAAGTCAACGCCGTCGACGCCAGGTCCTCATCGCCCAAAAGTTCGATGAGCAGCGTCTTGTACTCGGAGTACCGGTCCTTGAGCCACTGTGCGACAACCGATTCCTTCTCACTCATGCCCTTCTTCTTAAGGAGAGCACCGGCGGAAAGTAATCTCACGAAAACTCTGCAAAGAGCAACGGATGCCAGGGTTGCTGACTCGGGTTCATCGTCGGAAGTTTTGGCGATCTGAATCAGCTTTGTGATGTTGTTATAGTTCTTCTTGGACTCCAGAATCTCATTCTCAAGCAGCAGGATGTCGGCCTGAGGGTCGCTCTCATCGCCGCTGCTATCAGTTTCCGACTCGGACTCGGACTTGGCGCGCTTCTTCGAATTTTCCTTGACGGGGACTCGTTTCCTCTTCAGGCCTTCGCCTGATGCTTTGGAGGGCATTTTTGTTGATTTTTCCGTGTGAGTTGATGTTGTTTGATATCGATGCTCTGAACCGATGTCGATTCTCGAATTTTAGTTTTCTAGCGGGTCTGAATTTTCGGCCGTCCAGTGACAGCCCAAGACGGAAGGCGGATGGCCCAAGCGCCCTTCGAGATCCCGAGCTTGGCTGTATCACGTGATTCGCAAGAACCGTAGCCGATTTTTACATGCTGCGCTAATTCATCTTCATCTCTCAAGCTCCCGAGTGTCAACCCGTAATACCCGCATCCCCAGATCATCTCACAATGGCGTCCCGCTTGGCTAGAAGCGCCGTTGGTACGTCCAGACACCTTCTCCGAGCGTAAGACGTGCCAATTGGCCGTCCGAACGACGAAAAAAGTCGCAGTTGGGAGCAGCAGACAGACAATGGGAACTCGGCTAACGCGCAGGACCTCCCTCGATCGAGAAACAGGCGCGAACCTCCTCCGCCCGACCCTGGCCCGCCGGGCCCTTCCCGCCATCTCGGCCTCCGTCTCCGGCGCCCGCAACGCCTCCAACGTCCCCGCCGAGGACCCCAAGAAGAAGGCCCAGTCCATCGTCGACGCCCTCCCCGGCAACTCGGTGCTCTCCAAGACCGCCATCCTCTCCTCCTCCGCCGCCCTGAGCGTCTACGCCATCAGCAACGAGTACTACGTCGTCAACGAGGAGACCGTCGTCGCCTTCTGCCTGCTCGCCGTCTGGGGCGGTCTGATCAAGTACGGAGGCCCCATGTACAGCGAGTGGGCTCAGGCCCAGGCCGACAAGATCAAGGGCATCCTCAACCAGGCCCGCGCCGACCACACCGAGGCCGTCAAGGGACGCATCGGCGACGTCAACCAGATGGCCGGCGTTGTCGACATCACCAAGTCTCTCTTCGAGGTTTCCAAGGTACGGCCCCGCGGAATGAGTGATGACGTTTGAAGAGGGGTTCCGATGACCGGACGACCGGGTTGGAGAGAGAGGACGGAACATGGCTCGGAGCAAGATGCATGGCTAACCGAGACGTCTACAGGAGACTGCCAAGCTCGAGTCTGAGGCCTACGAGCAGGAGCAGAAGACCGCCCTCGCCGCCGAGGCCAAGGCCGTCCTCGACTCCTGGGTCCGCTACGAGGGCCAGGTCAAGCAGCGCCAGCAGAAGGAGCTGGCCCAGAACATCATCGCCAAGGTCACCAAGGAGCTCGAGAACCCCAAGGTCCTTCAGCAGATCCTCCAGCAGTCCGTTGCCGATGTCGAGAGTAAGAGGCCGCCGCCGCCCCCTCCCCCACTATCCCCGTGATCGGGATATCGTCTCGGACGTCCCTTTGCTAACGCCTCTTGTCTTTTCCAGAGATCGTCTCCTCCAAGGCCCAATAGATCACCCAACCTAGAGTCTGAGCGAGAAGATTTCTTTTGTCCAAGGGGTTCCCTTGCGTGTCAATAAACACCTGTGCATTAGCCAATTCAAGAACTTCGAAAAAGAACGACTGGACAACTGCTAAGTGTCGCGTAAATGTTTAATTAGGAGAAACAGCTACTCGACAATGTTGTCACGATATTCAACCCTGGGCTCAGTTTACGATGATATCATTGTTCTATTTGCTGAGTATCTGGCTATCCTACGTCTTCTCGATTGACATGTTGAATGCCAAGGACCTTTGCGGCTGTCCTTTTCCGCCCGCCCGTCTCCACCTCTAACTCCGACCCATTCCGACATTCTCCGTCCGAGTGCACAGCAACCGGCCCGTAACCCCGCCATCCAATCAAACAAACTCCGGAAAGTCAATTACTCTGCGATTCACATTTTAGGTCGCGGCAATATCAAAAAAGTAGAAAATCTGTGTTCAATCTTCCTGTTCTCTCTTTCGACGAGCGAGGCAAGGAAATTCTGTTCTTGGAAATGTACAACAAGCCTGAACGCCTCCTCAAAAGCACACTGAAGCCATCCCAAAGCTCGTAAGCAAGGTATTGAGAAACGAAGAGCCTCCAGAGCCCTCTGTTGCAGCGCGAGATAGTTATTACAAAGAAAATGGTACATGCGATCGTGATCTGTGATCATAAGAACTCGAGTAAAACCCCTTCCCCGGACGTTTCGACGTTATCCATGGCAGATTAATAGATGGGCCGCGGCTCCTCCCATTTCGAGTGGGCGTTGGCTTTCTCTGATGTTTCAACGGAGTCTTCGATCTTCACGTCCGGTCCAGGTCCGAAAGACGTGCGTCCGCTCTTGCGACGCCTGCTGTCTCCCGCGATAGGTCCAATCCACTCCCATGCGCGACCGACTTCACCGCTACGGCCTTCTCTTTGACTGGTTCGCACGTTGCTGTTCTGCTCAACTACGGCTTTGACCTTCTTCCAGATACGATCACGCTCGCCGAGCGAGTGTACGGATCGAAGTACGTCGTCGCGGAGGTTGGGCAGGAAAAGCCAAGGGTCGTCAATCTCCTCCTCGCCGAGTTCCTTCTGCGTTGCGAGCCGAGACAAGACAAGGTCAACGAGAGCCGGGACCTGGGCTGCAGTGGCCTTGTGCGATCTGTACTTGGATCGGACGTAGAAGTAGGTGGCGATCAAGAAGATCATAGATCCAATTGAGAGTCTATGTCTTGCCAGCCCGAGTCTGAACGACCTTTTGATGGCGCAGCCGATTGGAAGCCGAGCGAGAGAGGAGGACGATAAGTAGGCGTCTGAAACTGAGGTGGAATTGGCCTTTCTGTTTCGGGCACATCCGATCTGGTTAGTACACATGTTAGGAGTTGACGGTTTTGATATAGGATACAGTCGGAACTTGTGAAGAGTATGACTGGAGAGTGTGACTTACGGAACGACCTCAACCTCCTCGCGGCCCTTGACATCACCGATTGCGGCAACCCAAAGGTCGTCGAACTCCTCCTTGTTCATCTTCTTGCTTCTCTTCGAGCTGATGACTTCTTTCAGTTTCTCTTCGTCGATCTGAGGAGTCGCAGTCGTTTGGCTCTCTTCGTCAGCGGAGTCGCCGGAGTCGCCGCACTCGAATTGTGCCCGCCTCTCTCGCAGCTCCTCAACAGTCTTGTCGGCAACAGCCTTGACTCTTCGCACCTTCTCTCCATCTGGCTCGCATGTTGGCGGCAGAGGAACGAGACCACCGAGAGCAAGCGGGTGCGGCTTCAGAATAAAGTCGGGCTCACAGCGAACGGAGAAGTCCTCGTAACAGTACGCATGCTGCGGGCAAGGTTCGCACTGAGGTTCAGCCAGTTGCACGGCCCAGTCTGGTACCGGGACATCAGGAGGAATAATTTGTGTTGCAGGGCGACCGAGACCGCAGTATCCGACAGCGACCTTTTCTTGTCGGTACCATGCGCCATATGCGCCGAGCAAAGAAACAGCCAACGCCCAGAAGGGCTTAGCCAGACTTCTGCGGGGTCGAGCTGGTGATGTCTGACGCTGCACCACAGCCGTCTCCCCGCTTGCCGCCATCTCTTGCTCCATTTCAAACTGAGCATCAGGGGTGAATTCTTCGCCCGCCTCAACAGCCTCGAATGAGTGAAACTCTGGCGTCTCTTCGCGCAGTAACTTGCTGACGGGAACCTCGAACGCCTGGGACTTCCTGGATGACTTTGGTCGGTCCTCGACGTAGTGGCCGTCGGTCTGTCGTCTTGTGCCATAGTCGTAGTCGTCTTGCTCAACCTTGTGCTCGGTAGTCCTCCTGCGGCCAGTAGCAGGGGTCTTTATCGGCGCTGGCGAACTGCCGCTCTGAAACGGGTTGTCCTTCGAGAAGTATTCGGACTCTCTTCGCTTCTTGAAGAAGTCCTCTTCCGATTCCTCCGTCTTGATGTGAGGCGTGACAACGCGCTTGGTCCGAACGGACTTGGGCGGCTCCGGCTCAACGTACTGTTCAACGTACGGTTCCGGTTCCGGTTCCACAGGCTGTCGGCTACTTGCTCGAACCTTCCTCTTCGTAGGACTGATAGTAGCCGGCGGCTCGACCGGCTCGTACTCCTCGCTTCTGAGACGGGTAGAGGCCTTTCGAGGGGACCGAGATCTCGTGGTTCTCGGTGGCGGAGGCGCCAGATCGTGGTCATCAAAAGACTCGCTTTCGTTATAGCTTGGCATATCGACGATGCCCTTGCTTGATCGCTTCGCTCTAGCCTGCTTCGCCAGAATCTTCTTGGCTTGGGGCAGGAGCTCGTCGTTGAAAAGCTCGATGAGTTGGGGCTTCTTCGCTGTAGCGGGGTACTGAATGTCGTGCGCCACAAAGATCGATCGCAAACGGGGCACCGTCAGCGACTTGGGGTCGAACCCAGGCTGAAGGTATTCGTACTCGTCCATGCTGGTAGTTGTGTGATTTTTTTTTTTGGTGTTGAAAAGAGACTGAGGGGCAGGAGCAGAAGTGATCAGACGTCGCGCTCAAGGAAGGGCAGCTAAGTTGGTGGGATCCGTGCGGCTGAGACACTTTGCGACGGTGATGTCAAAGGAAGCTTTCAAAGCACCTTTGCAGCTCTCGTCTGATCTGTGGAACTTCAGGACTGCAGGAAAAATGCTGTCGCACTGAGCTTGTTGGCCTAAATTCTGCGGCCTTGACAGGCAGGCACCAGGTCTTAGTGATGAGGTGGTGTTAGATGCAAGTTGTGCAGAGGGCGCGACCAGTGGACAGATGTTGATATGGAAAGCCGAATCAGAAGCCCACTGACGCAACGAAAGCGCCCGCTTCCACCCTCTGGGTGCTGTGGCAACCTGCTGGGTCAGGTGCGAAAAAACACACCTAGTGTGGGGGCCTAGTGCAGGCAGACAGGGATAACATCGATGATGTCGCAGGGATGCTGGCTTTCAAATGGAAGCATTGGCCGCCTAGAGAGGAGGGAAGCACCGCCACATCGAAGAAGCCTGTCCCGCGACCGGGATCCGACCATGTGGCTGAAATGTGGCGAACTTTTTTGAGCTTGCCCTGACGTCGGGTCTGAAGCTACCTACCGTTCGATTAATCGTCCCATGTGATCGACCACACGTTCCAGACTTCAACCGGCCAGAATTCGGCTCGAGAACCATGGCGACTCCTCGGGCCCTGTGGAGGCCTCGCTCTGTTTGCAGGACCTGTTCTCGCCGGTTCCAGGCGCAAACACTACGAACTTTTGCGAGCGCAGGCGCAAGCTCATCAGCTTCCGAACCAGACATCTACGATGTTGTCTGCGTGGGAGGTGGACCGGCAGGTCTCAGCCTTTTGACTGCTCTCCGTACGATTCAATTGGCTTTTTGCAAGCCTCATAGCGTGTACTGATATTCTCTAGGAGCTAACCCGGTAACATCCCGCCTCAGGGTGGCCCTCGTCGAAGCCCAAGATCTGTCAAAGACCCGCGCCTGGAAGCTCCCCGCCGACAAATTCTCGAACCGCTGCAGCTCCCTGACCCCGACTTCTGCGGAATACCTCAACACCATTGGGGCATGGAGTCACTTGAAGCGAGAGCGCATTCAGGATTACAATGAGATGCAGGTTTGGGACGGCGTCAGCGGCGCAAGAATTGAGTTCGACTTGCCAGTGGGTGCTTCAGCGGGGAAGACCATTGCCTACATGTGCGAGAACCTCAATTTGACTTCGGGTCTGCTAAGTCGCTTGGAAGAGCTGGGAGGTGTGTCGGTGTTTGATGGTGCCAAGGTTGAGAACATTGGTTTCGGTGAAGAGACGGAAGACTTCGATCTTACGCAGTGGCCCGTGGTTCATCTGTCTGGCGGGCAGAAACTGCACGCCCGCCTGTTGGTTGGTGCCGATGGCGCGAACAGCCCAGTCCGCACGTTTGCTGGCATCAAGGCACGCGGTTGGGACTATGGAAGGCATGGCGTGGTTGCGACGCTTCAGATGCAGGGAGACGGATGGGGCGGAGAGCACAACCAGATCGCTTACCAGCGTTTTCTGCCTACTGGGCCAGTAGCTATGCTGCCGCTTCCTGGAAACTACTCAACGCTGGTATGGTCAACAACACCCGAGAGGGCGGCGTTCCTGAAGAGTCTCCCTCCCAAGGAGTTCATCGCCATGGTCAACGCGGCCTTCCGCCTCAGCCCGGTCGACATCGGATTCATGCACACACAACCTTCTGGTCAAACGGAAGAGCTCAACTGGAGATTGGAGCACACGCTCGTTGACCGCCGGGCCGTTCCTCAACAGGTCGTCGGAGTTCAAGAGGGCACCGTTGCCTCTTTCCCCCTTAAGCTGCGACACGCGGATACTTACACCGCTGAGCGTGTTGCTCTTGTCGGTGATGCGGCGCACACGATCCACCCCTTAGCTGGTCAGGGTCTGAACCAAGGTCAGGGTGATGTCCAGAGTCTGGTCAAGACCATCGAGACCGCAGTCTCCACCGGACAGGACCTGGGATCTACGCTTTCGCTGGAGGCTTACAATTCGGAGCGCTATGTGGCAAATCACGTCGTCCTTGGTGTCTGCGATAAGTTGCACAAGCTGTACTCGGTCGAGAGTGGCCCTTTGGTGCCTCTGAGGTCTCTCGGCTTGAGCGCAGTCAACGCTTTGGGCCCCCTGAAGAGATTCTTCATGGAGCAGGCTTCTGCAACTGGCGCCAAGCTGTTCTGAAGTACTTATGATCACCTGTATTATTACAACTGTATTGCGAGTACGATGCGGCTGAGAGATCAGGTCTCCTGTACTCCACGTAGTGTATATGTACCACACCATGAATGCGAAAATCTACCGAGGTCTATACTCAGTGATGACATGCAATTTTCAGAAGACGAATTGAACAAATAAAGGGCTGCATTCCATAAAGTCTGGACGGGAGTCTTCTAGAAAAGAGAACATTGCGGTATATACGTCGATGCTCTGTCTCTTCACTCTACAAGTACACAAAAGGAAAGAAGTTCCTGACAGTCGTTTTGGTTTCCGTCCCCTCAAGCATTCTACCGATCAACCTCACCTGTGCCATGGTTAGCTGGAAGTTCTTCACGTCCAAGGGATGGGATACTCACCGAACACCAAGTCCATTGTACCGATAACCGCCACAGCGTCAGCAAGCATGTGACCCTTGCAAACATGGTCGAAACCACCCAAGTGAGCGAAACCAGGGGCTCTGATGTGAACACGGTAGGGTCGCTCGCTACCGTCACTGATGACGTAGACACCCATCTCGCCCTTGGGGGCCTCAATGGCGGAGTAGGTCTCACCAGGAGGGACGGTGTAACCCTTGGTGTAAAGAAGGAAGTGGTGAATGAGCGCCTCCATGTTCTCCTTCATGGCGGTGCGGGGAGGAGGGGAGATCTTGTAGTCCTCGACGCGGACGGGGCCAGCGGGCATCTTGTTCAGGCACTGGTGGATAATGCGAAGGGACTGTCTGAACTCCTCCATACGGCACAGGTATCTGTCGTAGCAGTCACCGCGGACGCCGACGGGAACGTCGAACTCAACTTGGTCGTAGGCGTCGTAAGGCTGGCTCTTGCGGATATCCCAAGGGACACCGGAGCCGCGGAGCATGACACCAGTGAAGGAGAGGTTCAGCGCCTCAGCGGCAGAAATCACACCAACGCCCTGGAGACGCTGGATCCAGATACGGTTGTCCGTAAGCATCTCCTCGGTCTCGTCAATACGGTCGCCGAACTGAGTGGCCCACTGATAGATATCGTCGAGCAGACCAACGGGGATGTCCTGGTGAACACCACCCGGACGGACGTAGGCGGCGTGGAGACGGGCACCGGAGACACGCTCATAGAATTCCTGGCAAACGGGTCAGCCGGACTGTGCCGAGTGATTTCCTAACTCCATATCCGACTTACCATCAACTTCTCACGCTCCTCGAAACCCCACAGGAAAGGCGTCAAAGCACCAACGTCCATGGCGTGCGACAGAACGGACATGAGGTGGTTCAGGATACGGGTGATTTCGCCGAACAGAGTGCGAATCCACTTGGCGCGGTCGGGGATCTCAACGTTCAGAAGCTTCTCAACGGCCAGGGCGAAACATTGCTCGTTCGTCATCATGGAAACGTAGTCGAGACGGTCGAAGTAGGGAAGGGCCTGGAGGTAGGTCTTGTACTCGCAGAGCTTCTCGGTACCACGGTGCAGCAGACCGACGTGGGGGTCGGCTCTGACGATTTCTTCACCGTTGATCTCGAGAATCAGACGCAACACACCGTGGGCGGCGGGATGCTGGGGACCGAAGTTGACGGTGTAGTGGCGGATCTTTCGGTCCTCGACTCCCTCCTCGGTCACCTTCGTGTGGCCGTCAGTTCCAATCGGCCGGGTGATGTCGTAGGGGTCGGCGGATGGGGTAAAGTCGGCGGCGGTAGGCGTGAGCCTCGTGCCCTGGTATTCGGTGGAGGCATCGGCGTATCGGCGGCGGAAGGTCGTCGAGAACGGGCGGACGGCGTTGAACGAGGTAGCTGCCGGGCGCAGACATAACCTCTTGGCGCTGTGGCCGGCGAGTCGGTAGAGGCCTGCCATTGTGATCGTAGAGTGGAGAGACGGCTTCAAAAGAGGTCAAGGAGATGCGTGCCTCCAATTGAGCCTCCTTTACAATGCCAATGGCTGATGGCCGGCTAGATGTATAGAGGGGATTCGCCTTCGAAATATCGGCTAGGATGGATGGAGGGTGTCATGACCCGTTCCGAAATACCTTGCCTTTGAAAAAACCTAATGCTGATTGGCCGAGCGCAAGCCCTCTTTGTCACAGTGCGTACTGTGTAAAGAACGGCCTAAGCTACAAGGATGCAACCTCGATTGGAAGAGCTCTCCAACAAACGCGCCAAAAGCTGCAGTTGGCGGTGAAAAGGTGAGGAAACTTTTCCTTTGTCGAAAGCACAACAAGCAATGGTGATGACTGCCATTATCATTTTTTTAAAAATGGAGGACTCTTCGGAATTCATTGCGACATCTTATTTTCATCACCGCACAACTCGCTGATTCATAGCCGCAGTCAACTCATCGCACACTTGCCAGCGAGAAGAGCGGCTCAGAACTCCCCAAGGAGTCTCAAAAAATGCCATGGCCTTTCAGCTCTTCGGCGAAAGCGCCTCCACCACCAAAACCCGAAGAAGCGAAGTCCACCTCGTGGAATGATCTTCTTCCTCAGCCTGATCCCCCGCTACAGGCAGCGAAAGAATGGGCCCCCGTTTTCTTGACGTCCGTCGGCTCTCTGGCCGCATTCATGTTCTGGCAGTCCCGCCTGCGACGATTTCCCACCACCGCCCATATCCGGCCTCATCTCTACAGAAAGAGGACTTTGCTTGGCCGAGTTACTAGCGTTGGAGATGGCGATAACTTCCACTTGTTTCATACGCCGGGCGGAAGACTGGCTGGTTGGGACTGGCTGAGGAAAGTCCCCAAAGAAAGGCCAGCGCTGAAGGGGAAAACGGTACGAGCCGTCTGAGTGGCTTGCGGGAAAGCTTTGCTGATGAGAAGTTAAACAGTTAGGAGTACGAATTGCTGGAATCGACGCTCCGGAGGGCGCACATTTTGGCCGCCCCGGTCAACCAGGAGCAACGGAAGCTTTGCAGTGGCTGAGGGACTATATTCTCAATCGACGATGCTGGGCCAAAATTCACAAGCGCGACCAGTACGATCGTGTTGTCGCAACAGTCTACGTCCGGCGGTTTCTATTTAAGAAGGACGTAGGGCTGGAAATGCTGAAGCGTGGTCTGGCCACAACCTACGAGGCGAAATCCGGCGCAGAATGGGGAGGCTTCGAAGAAAAATACAGAGCGGCAGAAGCTAAGGCTCAAGGCAAGAAACTTGGACTTTGGGCTGGCAAGGCTAGCGAATATGAGAGTCCAAGGGCGTACAAAACCAGGATCAACGAAGGAGAAGAGAAGAAGACCGCCTAGGTTTTATGAAATGACGGCAGCTGAATGCCAAGCCGAACGAGACACATGAGTACGCATATCATGGTAGCATCAGGCTTCGATTTGGGCCTAGAATAATGTTTCTACGATGAAATACATACGCCTTTGATGACCTGAGGAAATGAGCTGTAATGCTGCACTGAAGTGAGATCGTAAAGCTTGAGTGAGATCTGCCAAAATGCAGCGGTTTCGCATAAATGCATACACTGCATTGACTTATAAGCGTGTCTGATTGGCCGGAAATTTCCTAGATCGTCCCCTGGCTCCGGCCCCTGCACTGTGCCCAACACCTGCCCCTTGTGTGTTTGACCCGAACTCCAGCGTATCAGATGGCTCAGTGGCCAACCTATCCAACCCCGTTCAACCTTCATCAAGCGCGTGAAGTTGAACATAGGACAGACAATCTCCTTCCGACTCATATTCGCCTCCGGTTTTGATACCTTCTACGTATTGCGGCTCAAGAGGAACGACTACATCTTTCCACCGTCTCCGGCGGCGACAACTCAGCCAAAATGTCGCTGTACGTCAGGGGTCCCGACTTCTCGGTGACCAAGCAGAAGGCCCTCGAAGATGCAAAGAAGATGCAAGCCGCGGTGGATGAGGTGGTGACCAAAGCAGGCCAAGACAAGCCGCCTTACCTTCTCAACGAACTCATCGGCAAAGGAAGTTTCGGCCGGGTTTACAAAGCCACCGACATCAATACGAGTATGCTCGTCGCGGTCAAAATCATCGATATCGAGGAAAGCGATACTGTTAACCCGAAACTTGCCGATACCTTCAAAGAATTTTTGGCTGAGGTCAACGCCTTGAAACTTCTCAGTGACAGTGGCGCAAAGAATATCAACCATGTCATCGACGCGTTACCTGTCGGCCAGTCCATGTGGATGATCACCGAGTACTGCGCTGGAGGAAGTGTGGCAACGCTCATGAAGCCGACTGCCCCGGGCGGTCTTCAAGAGAAGTGGATCATTCCGATTCTCAGGGAGGTTGCCGAGGCTGTATTCTGGGTTCATGGCCAGGGCATCATTCATCGAGACATCAAGTGCGCCAACGTTCTGGTCACCGAGGCCGGCGGTGTGCAGCTTTGCGATTTCGGCGTTGCTGGTGTTATCGAGACCAAATTCGACAAAAGATCAACATTCATTGGCACCCCACACTGGATGGCTCCGGAACTTTTCGATCAATCAACATCGTACGGTACAGAAGTGGACATCTGGGCGTTCGGGTCGATGGTATATGAGATCGCTTCCGGTCTACCGCCGAACGTTATGGCGGGGATCGACGTCTATCAACTTGGGAACTACATCAAAGCTCATACGCCGCGATTGGAGGGTGATCAGTACTCCGACCAGCTGAAGGACCTTGTGGGTTACTGTTTACAGGAAGACCCCTCGAAGCGGCCAACAATCGAAGCCGTCCAGAAGCACCCTTATATCGCCAACACAGCTCAGCAGTATCCTGCCTCGTCACTTGCACTTTTGGTCAGAGGTTTCAAACTGTGGGAGTCACAAGGCGGTAGTCGAAAGTCTCTCTTCGCCCCGGGAGGCGCACAAAATGTCTACGATACGGATGATTCAGATTTCTCGTCAACCGCGCTGGCGAACGATGAGTGGAATTTCAGCACGACGATGGCATTCGATCAACAAGTCTTCCAAAACACAGATGCCCAGGCAGTCTACGATGTGTATGGCTCAAACGTAGAATTTGATCCTGGATTTCTGGATGAGATGTCGAGAGCCAAGCCCAAAGGGCGCAGAAGGCCGCCGCCTCAACAACTTGCCGCCATGAAGGCTCCTCTGGAGAAAGTGTTCGACCCAAACACGATATCCAACTACGAAGACAACTCTCGGGCTTACTACGGGAGACCGATTCCACCGCCAACCTCTGATCTCCCTCTGAGGGATGATTCCCTCCAGTCAATGACTGTGAGAGAGTCTCTCATCGACCTTGATGCATCTCTCAATGGCAGCAACCTTGCTAATTTCGTCGATATGAACACCATAAAGGCCGGTGCACCACGCGTTTCAGTCGATTATCACATGGGAGATGAGCCAGACTTTAACAAGCCGCCCTTGAGTGACCCGGCCGACCTGAACCCCAACAGGAGAACCCAGGACTGGAAATTTCCATCCATGGCGCCGCCAGCTTCTGCCAACCCCGAAATGTCCCGGTTCCCCTTCAACGAGGAACGTTCTGAACGTTCGGGGCCTAACTCGGCATCCCGGCCCCAAATGTTCCATCACCAGACCGATCCTGTTCCCGCCCCTAATTATGGCGGCGACTTGATGGTCCCGCGATCGAACTCCCAGATGAACAACCGAGAATCGTCGGGAAGCTTGATCGACCTCGATGATCTTATGGTTCCGCAGGCCAATAACAACAATAACCGCATTTCGACTGGCAGTCTGATTGACCTCGACATGGGTCTCGCTGAACCAATGCCGGACCTCACTCGGCCATCGACGGCCAACTCTGATGTTGCCTCAGTAAGCGGCTCCGAGGCTGGTCTTGCAAACCCGTTCGATTTGGAACGCCATGCCTCCATGTATATTCCGACATCCAACCGAGAACCGTCCATCTACGTCCCCGCGGGAGATCGCGAACCTTCTATCTATGTCCCAGCCGGCGATCGCGAACCCTCTATCTACGTTCCAGCCGGAGACCGCGAACCCTCGCTCTACATCCCGACATCCGATCGCGAGCCTTCTCTCTACATCCCGACATCCAACCGCGAACCTTCCATCTACGTCTCCGATGACTCTGACTACGCTAGGAGCATTCCCAAGGACGACGATATGGGCCTCGTCGATCTCAACCTGGCCGAGGCCAGCGGCACTATCCGCCCTTCCAACGGCCAGGCAGGCCTGCGGCTCAACACACATCAGTCTTTCAACAGCGCAGACTATTCCGACCCGGAGTTCCTCACACCTCAGCAGGCCGCGCAACCTACCTTCCCTTCAGGCATCCCGCGGTCAACAAACAGGGGCTCTGTGCCGTTGCCGCTGCCGCCCCCTCCAGCGCCACCGTCAGTGGAGGTTATGCAGGGCTCGGCCAGCGCGGATGCTGTGAAGGAGGAGCTGAGAAGGATGGCCATGAGTCTCGGCGAGCACTTGAGCCACGCGAATCAGTACTTTTCCACGCTGCCTGTGCGTAGGGGTGGTAGACAAGATGTGGTTGGTGAGACCGCGTAAGAAGAAGTGGTCCGAGGCTAGATTTTTTAAATTTGCGTCGCAGTATAGGGATATACGAGGATAAGGACAGGCGTTCTGGGGCATTGGTTACGGCGTTCACGATTTTCAAGGACCAAGGCGTGTACGATTTGGATGCTTGAAGCGCATGGGATCACCCCTGATTGTAATGTAAAAGCCACTGCCATGCGTCGTCATGAAGAAGAACAATATACACTCCTTTGAACACCGTTTAAACTTTCTTCTCTACGCGAACCCAATCATGTCGCCGAGCAGCAAGGCGCGGTACTTCTCCGTCGCCTCTTGTAATTTGATCAGCACCGCGGCAGCAAGCATCTTGACATCATTCTCCTCCCCGCCGTCCTCGCCACGCGTGCCGTTGAAGATGCCGCTTACCCACTCCTGCGTCTCGACGACCTCGCGGGGATGCGCCTCGCAAAGCCGCCGCATGTCCGTCGCCTCGTTAACTTCCAGCATGGCCGCGAGCGCCACAAGCAGCGCGTGCGTTCCGGGAACGTCTCCCGCAATATGGGCGCGCACACCGAGCAGCAGATCCCACAGCTCGGCGGTCATCTGCGGGAGAGCGAGGGTCGCGGGGCCCGCGGAGTGAATGAGAACTGCTAGGGTCTTAAGGTAGAGCGACAGCAGGTGGGACTGAATGAAGACGCCGGAGCGGGCGGAGGGCGAGCGTAGGGCGTGTTGAAAGCGGGCCGTCAGAGGGAAGAAGAAGGACGTGCTGAGCATCGAGGCGGTCGTGTTCGGGATGGAGCGAAGGCCAGTTTTCTTCTTCGCGTTCTTGTTCTGTAGGCGGGAGGTAAACGTCGAGAGCTTGAGGGCGTCCGGCCCGGTTGTTGCGTCTGCCGCATTGGCAGCGATGGGCGCCATGAAGGCGGATGTGAGGGAATTGGCGATGGTATCGAGCGCGTTAGAGGGGAGGGCCTTGAGATTCGAAGAGGAAGGCAGCTGATTTGACGCGGTGGACGGATCGAGGTAGAGCGCTTCCATCTTCTCGGGTAGACGCTTCGAAGGGAAAGACGCGGCGGCGGCGTACTCTGAAGAATCGAACCCGGCAAGCTCGCGGGCGCTGAGGCCGAGGACAATGATGACCGAAGCGCGCTGGGAGACAGAGTAGTCTCCGTCGAAGAATGTCTTTGCGTACCATTGACCCATCTTCTGCGGCTGGGCGACGACGACGGCCACCATGCCTTGGAGGCGGAGATCCCAGAAGTCTTCGATCTCGAACTTATCCTGCAGGCCGACGAGGAGGGTAGCGAGCTCCTCGGCATGGGAGGTGACTTCGACGCCGAAGTTTGCTTTGCGGCGGATGAGGGATGGAGCAGTTGTTAGAGCGAGCTTCTGCTTGTCGTAGTTGTCTGTGTCGCGTAGATAGGCGATGAGGTCGCGGATGTAGACCGGGGCCTTGGGCTTGTCGCGGCGGATGAGGGTCGGGTCGTCGTCCGAGTCTTCCGGGTCATCGTCTGGTTTGGCGTAGGGTACGAGGTCTTCGTCCTCGCTCTCTGAGTCGGAAACCTCCTGGATGATGAACTTTGACGGAGCAGCTGGTTGCTTCTTTGGTTTCGGTGCGGGCTTTGGACGTTGTGTTGGTTTGACTGCCGGCGGTTGCTTTTTCTCCTCGACAGCGGGTATCGTGATGAGGGGATCAATAGGGCCAATTTGATCTGCAATCTTGATGAGGTCTTTGTAAAATTTGGCCTCATCGGTTTCCATTTCTTCCATCTTGAAGTTCAGCTTGTTGTCGCCGCCGTCAACGAGGCCCGAAAGCGCCTCGCCAACCGCCAGACCAAGAAACCTCGCCTTTTCTTGAGATGCCCCGATTCTGTTGGAAATTGTGTTCAGGTACCCGGCAGACCGCATCAGCATCTTAAGCTTAAGGGGCGTGAGTTTGTTGACGTAGCCAGCGCTGAGAAGGAGGACTTGGGCATGAGCCTGCTGTTGTAGCATCGGCGAGTGCTTGATGTAGAGCTGATCACCGAATTGGTTGATGCTCTTCTCCAACACCAGGTTGACACATTCTCTGTCCTGCGCCAAAGCAGCTAGCACTGCACGTCTAATTCCGATGCCATCTCCAAGACCAGCGCCGGTTGAACTAGTCAACCACGATACCAGGTGAGTTTTCCGGCTTTCATCGTTGGAGACCATTCCTTCCATAATGCCGGCGGCGGCGGATATGGTTGAGTTTGGCTTTGCCAGTTCAGAATCGTCCAGCTTGTTGAGGAAAGCTTCGGACAAGTGCTTCAGGACGGCGTATATGACCCGTTTTTGGTCTAGTTGAGAGAACTGGCTGAATATCTTGAAGAAGGCATTGCGGTTGTCTTCTTGGCTGAGGAGCATGTCTCCAATGAGCTGCTTCATCAGTCTATCTACAGATGAATTAGCAGATGAGTTTCTAGAGATAAATGCCTTTGACTTACCTGAGTAGCCGAGGCGGAGAGCCCTTGTGAAAACTTCGGCGCAAAGTTTGACATCTTCTGACGGAATGTCGCACTTGGCCCAGTAGGCGATGCTTCTACCGAGCCACTTGCTATATTGCTGTCCATCTGCGATCCAGGAGCTCTGCCTCGCGGTTCTGTCCGTATTTGCAATGGCGTCTGCCTCAGCAGCAACCGATACAAGTCTTCCTCCTGCTACAAGAGCAGCAAACTCATGAGCCATGGGGCGCCTCTTCGCAGGAACATCTTGGCCGGAGCTGCTCGCTATCCAGAGCGTAGCTAGGTGTTCATCCTTTTCGAGTACAGCTGAGCAAACCTCAATGAGGATGTTCAAGTTGAGTGCCAGATCTGGTCTTTTCACATCTTTGGCATTGGCCTTAGACTCTTGTATCAGCGCCTTCAATCGCGTTAACACGGCGTTAACCCCCGTGACGTTTCTCAAGCACTTCAAGAGCAACTCCAGGTCATTTGGACTGTCGAGGTCGCAGATCCCCTTAGTGGAGGAGGCATCCTCCTTCAACAGTGGCCAGTAATTCGGCACAATCTCCGATACAATGGTCTGGATGATTTGCGCGGCTTCAGGGCTTGGTCTCGAGAGTTTGAAGCCTGAAGCGAAGATAGGTCCGTAATTGAGGGACTTCAAGACGGCGATGAGGGTGTCGTAGTTCGGCTGGCCTTTCAACGTCTCCAGCGCCGCCTCGACAGACTGAATTTCGCCATCTTGAACGGCCGGTCCAGTTTCGTGTGGCCGCGGCTCATCAGGTCTCGCCTTCAGGTAGGTTGTGCTGACAGGGGTGAAGAAGTCGTCCATTGTGCTTGAGTCACCTTTCAACGACAGAAATATTACTGCGTTTGCATTATCTCGGTGTTGGGACACGATATTTCCCAGACTGGTATTTTTCGTGGTACTGGGATCTTGTTCAGCGTCTGATTTACCTGCAACTCAAATCACCAAACACGCAAAACGAGATTTAGGAACTCGTCATTGCTAGTGCTCGAGATAATTACAGGCAGCAGACCTGAAAGATGCCGGGAGAATGGCGCTCCACCCACCCCACCGCGCCTGGAACACCCTGGATGGCACCCCACCATCTCGATATCGATAAGGGCCCGATAACGCTTATCAACTAAGGTACCTACCTAGGTAGGCACTGGAGATCCCGCCCGTCCATGACCTTACCAACCCTCAACTCTACCTCAACTCCCCATCCTCAAAACAGCAGAACACCACCCCGATCACGTTCGTTACGAGGCTGACAGGCCTGCACCCGAAACATGGCTACCGCAGCAGAGGCTTCGGTAGCCACTGGCTCATCGTTCACTAGCACGGTGGACGAGAGCAAAAGATGGTAATTGCGACCCGAGCTTGACAACGAATCGCATGTTTCGTTTGCTAACGACTGCTTGATTCCAGGACATACCTCGACCACATCCGCAAGAATCCAGGCCCTTTCACCGATCCCGATGCCGCAACAGATGGATCTTTCGAGCAGTTCGATAAGATGAAGCTCTTGTAAGTTGGGAAGATGTCCATTGTGGCTATGTAGCTGCTAACATTGCTCCGCAGGGTTATGTGCGTGTCCTGCCGGTCTGCTGTAAGACTGTCCGACTAACGAAATTCCAGCGGTGCTGGTGGTCTAGGCTGTGAAATCCTGAAAAACCTGGCGATGTCAAAGTTCAGGGATATCCACGTCATTGACATGGGTATGTGCAACTGATTGCGAACGAGCGGGCGAGACTGACTGGAGTGGGTTAGATACCATTGACATATCGAACTTGAACCGACAATTTCTCTTCCGACAATCCGACGTTGGCAAGTACAAGGCCGAATGCGCGGCTGAATTCGTCATGCGCCGTGTCAAAGGAGTCAAGATCACCGCCCACAACTGCCGTATCCAAGACTTCGATTCCGATTTCTACAAGCAATTCCAGTTGGTGATTTGCGGGCTGGACAGCATTGAAGCACGAAGATGGATCAATGCTAAGCTGGTAGCGATGATGGACGATGACCCCGATTCTATGATTCCCATCATCGACGGAGGCACGGAGGGCTTCAAGGGTCAAGCCCGAGTGATCATCCCCACGTTGACATCCTGTATCGAGTGTCAGTTGGATATGCACGCGCCCAGGGCCGCCGTTCCTCTCTGCACAATCGCTTCGATCCCCCGCCAACCCGAACATTGCATTGAATGGGCGCATGTCATTGCATGGGACCAGGAGAAGCCGTTCCCCCAGCTGGACAAGGACGACCCGACCCACGTATCGTGGCTCTATCAGAAGGCCCTCACTCGTGCTCAGGAGTTCAACATTACGGGTGTAACTTACGCCCTCACTCAGGGCGTGATCAAGAACATCATTCCAGCTATTGCCTCCACGAACGCCATCATTGCGGCAGCGTGCTGCAACGAAGTGTTCAAGCTGGCAAGCTCCACCGCGCCGGCATTTGGTTTGGAAGATAATTACATGATGTACTCGGGCAACGACAGCATCTACACTTACACCTTCAAACACGAGAGGAAGGAAGAGTGCCCTGTTTGCGGATCAAACTCACGGCCACTGGAAGTCGACCCCGAGATCACTCTTCAGGAGCTTCTGGACTCATTCGCAGTCCGCCCGGACGCGCAACTCAAGAAGCCGTCTATCCGAGGTGACAGTCAGTCTCTCTACATGCAGTTTCCACCCAGTCTAGAGGAACAGACCCGGCCAAACCTTAAGAGAAAGCTCAAGGAGCTCGACCTGCAGGAGGGACAGAATCTGATTGTTACGGACCCAGCCTACCCTCTCCAGTTCGACTTCTACCTGCGGTTCAAGAGGAAGGCATAATGTATCGCGGACCTCGAGAATCAAAGAGGGACGGTAATGAGAGCACGATGTGTCACAGACGGACAAAGCATGGCGCGCGGTGTGCCCACAAAATAGGAGTTAGATGAAGCATTAGGAAAATCAACCATTCAGTGCCATGAATTAACTTTTTTCTGTCCATTGCCAGCCAGCCCTTACAAATCAGAAACCACGGGATATCTATAGGTATGGTACATGTGCAGTGATGCTTCATCTAACCATGTTTATGACCTGCTGCTCAAGACGGATACACCTCGTCTTGAACTGCTTAACTGACTCCAAAAACAATGCGTCGCTGTCCCACTGTCCGGTGCTCTCAATAGAGAAGATGAAGTGATCACGCTGCCGGCCCAGCTTGACCTTGCCCTCGAACTCGGCGTGGCGCAAGCATTCACGGCTCACGGTGTCCTTCATGGCGTCCTTGACAACGGCCTTCTTCTCGCCCTCGTGTCCCTCGTACCCGCTTCCGGCGGTCGCGGCCTCCTTCTTCGTAACCTTCTCGATACCGATGACGCCCTGAGGGAAGCACTTAGCAAACTTCTCAGCGTCCTGGCCCAGAATCGGTCGCGTGATGTTGATGGTGGGCAGGAGACGGTACGAGGCGGTCGCGACGGGCGAAAACTTTGCGTGGTCGGAACCGACGCCCTTGTGCATGTGCATGTCGAGCTCAATGCACTGTCCCGGCCTCAGCTTCGCGATGAGGATGTCGGGGTTGACGGGGCGGATGATGCCGTCGCCGGTGAAGAACTCGACCTGGCGACCCGAGGGGATGAACTGGATGTCCTTGGCGTAGACGTTCGCATGGTTGAACGCGATGTTCGGGTCGGTCTCGTTGGGGCTCGCGTCCGGGTTGCGTGTGCACTCGACCTGCAGGCGCAGCTGGACGGTGTTGTAGTCGTAGGTGCCCTTGCCGCCCTGTTCGGGCTTGCGGTACCACTTCAGAAACTGATGAATGCCCTCGGCGTTGCCGGTGAAGGGAATGAGACCGAGGCGGTGCGCAAGGACTTCATCCTGGATCACGGAGGTGTTGTTGTCGATGTAGACGTTCTCGATGGCGATGGTAGGGATCTCGGCGATGAGGATGCGGCGGAAGGCGTTGGCGATGGCGGCGTCGACCCCGATGAGGGAGAACGAGGCCTCGTGCTGAGCGTTGTGGTGGAACTGGACGCGGAAGTTGTTCGCGAACTTCTCGAGGTCCCAGGCGTGATCTTCGCCTGGCCAAGTTCCTGGGTAGTCGGTCGAGGTCACGTCGGTGACGGTCTCCTTGTTGATGCCGACTATCTGGAGAACACAATGGGTTAGATAGACCGACGATGGGGAAGAGCGTCTTCTTGACTTACCCTCCGCCGGTCCAGCTCGGCTTGACTGGGTGTGATGGGCGCCATGGTGGTGTGTCACTATGGCTGAACTGCGAAAAGTTGCGATCGATAAGCTGGGAAATTTTTTGAAGGACCCCTCTATCTACACCGAGAGTACGCGGCTTACGTACACGCCCAGTGACATAAACTCACCCCTTCTGGAAGGAAAGAGTGGGCATTACTCACGGACCCATCGGAACCACGACAACATCCGGCGACGCTTTCTCTTCCACGATGAGTTCGATTCATGATCATGCATGTCATTCGAAGATGGACTTATGATCTCTCGCCCTAATTGCAATTAATGGAATGACATTGTTCTATCACCTCATAGGGTCTTACTCTGAAAGCGGTTGCCCATATTTGTCCTTATATTTCGGCCTTCTTTTCGCTCCGCACCAAAGTTCCGGGTACTCTGACCAGGGGAGTCGAGGCAAAGAACCAGAGCCTCCGACTAATCTCTCAGTTCATGCTGATCTCATCGTTCCTTCGGGACCAGGATCAATCTACAACTTACAAGCCGGCTATATGTGGCAGCACATGACCATTACGCGGCTTGGTCCTCTTGTTAGCAGCCTTTGCAAATTTCAGGAATCGGCCTCTACTGTGAGATTTATGTCGTTGATCAATTCAAGCCCGGCGCCCACGACAATGAGTTGCTATTTGTAATGCGCAGGACATATCGTAAGTCCATGATCATACATTGCCGTAGCTGAGCTAGCTGGCTACTCAACTGGCTCACGAATGGCCACATCCATGTTATGCTTTCATGGTTCCTCAATGGCGACAGGCTGCCAGAAAAAAGGGTTACTCGATATGCGTAGATACTAGTTCTTATAAGTTTTGCTAACGTCACGCAAGCCTCTGGTAGATAGCAGCCTTGAAGCGCCGTCGATATGCGTTGCCGGGAATCCAGGAGCCGCATCCCATTGCAAGTACTGACTTCAATGAAACTGAGGTCGACCACTCGCAAAAGCCGTTCTTATCTTACTGTTGTATTGCTGCTTTATGTCTCCTCATCTCTGATCATCCTGACGATTCCGACACATGGCGGCGTCGAGCTTCATTTAGCACCTTCCTTTTTGTCTGAAGATACTAACGCGTTCCTGTAGGAGGCTACTCGGCCTATGTGTTTTCAAAATCAAGCAAATCAGTCGCTATGTCTTGTAAAGAGCAGGTACCAAGATGGGTTTTCTGGCGAGCACCAGGTCAGGTTTAGTTTTTCCAGGCTCAGAGCCCCCCTATCACTATGAAGACTATACACAATCTTGCAGCTGTGTAGGCTGATCAAGGGCAAGTAAGTATCATCAGCTGTGAATCGCTGGTGTAGAAAGGCTTTTGCACATGCTTGCACATCCTTTACACTGGTAAAAAAAAACAGTTTGCTCAAAGAATTCTGCCAGATAATTTTGCAGCTCACACAAAATCTTTCAAAGCTCACCCTCCCACCAAAAAGGTTTTTCAATTCACCTTTTCCCAGCTTGGCAAATGGACTTTTCAAGCTTGGGCTTGCTTTACTTAACCTATTGATCTTGGAAAGATTTTCACCCACCCTTCAAACCCGGGTGCACGACAACACACCCACCATCGCCATGGCGACAACCCTCACCTCGCCCATCCAGAACCCGCTCTTCACGCTGAGCACCTCACCGTCCTGGCACAAAATGGCAGATCCGCTTGATAAGGAAAATTATGAGGTCAGAAAAAATTCCTCTTCTGAAGAAAACAAACCATTGTCATCTCTCTCGATTCCATCTGACAAAGTGCAGGCCAGCTCCCTCTCCGAGAGTTGCACTCCTCCTCCGACACCGGAACTTGGATTCGCAATTCCGATCTCGATGTCTTCCAAGAAGTACTCGACGAGGAGATTTCATTCTCTGGAGTCGGCGGGTTCGAGGCAGAACAGAAGAAGAAGCCTCTTCGCGCTCTTCGGCCCTGGCGTCGAGGAAGCCGGAGACACTTCGCAGCCAACAGCTACCACCTCTCAAGGTTCGTCGCAGTCCAGCAACATCCCAATCTCACCTACGCAGCAGCTTGATCAGATGTTGTCCATGGGCAACAATCGTCAGGCCGAGAAAGCTGTGAAGATGGACCGCGACTCGACCTCGGATGGTGCCCCCAAGCAAGCCGAGACTGGCGGCGACAAGGAGACGAATGAGCCCACTGCTTCACCCATGGTAAGTTTCACCGACGCAATAAAAAAAAAGATATGCTCATAATAGCCAGATGAAAAATATCGACAAATCATCCGAGAACAGCGGCGATGTTGGCGCCGGCAGCTCAGACGAGACCCAGTTGACCCCCAACAAGACCAAATCGCCAGTCCACCGTCACAAAAGAAATGAGACTGCCGTCAAGATTGTCGATCAGGAGTCTGCTGACGCTGTTATTCTCCCTTCTTCGCTGTACCAATCTCCTACCGAGTACGGTCGCGACACATTCTCAACCCAGAAAACGGAAGGTGCGACCCTGCCCATACATCTCAATCCGGCGGCCTACTCGTTCAACCAAGAGTCGAGGGAGATTACCTTTCTTCCATCTGTATACTACGCTAGTGGTGCTCTTCCTGCCCCTCCTCGCAGCCTTCCCAACATTCCTGAGGAGAATACCCAGCCTGATGAGGATGATGCTTCCCTTCTCCCCTCAACCTCTTTCAACACATCTGCCCCAGCGCATGGCATTCTCAAGACTCCGGTTGAGAAGAAGAAGCCGAACGAAAAGAAGGTTCACTTCGAGGCGGCCAAGGCCAGTGATCCTGAGGACGAGCAGTGCGACTCGGACGATTCCGACAAGACAGTGAAGGCGGGTGTTGGCGGAATGAAGGCCGCCCTTCCCCCTGGTCTGTCTCCTGTCATCTGGGACGAGGGATCTGAGCCGAAGATCTGGTTGAAGGACGGTAAGCCTACTCTCTTTCGACCTACCAAAGATCCCGGCTACTACACCTGTCCTCTCTGGTCTCGTCAATACCCAGAGATTCTCTCTAACGATCCCAAAGTGAACCGTTACGCCTCGAGCGACACAGACAGCATCGTCTCTCAGGATGGTAGCCAGGCTTCGTCTAGCTCTGTGACGAGCGCGAACACAGCCTACAACAGAGGCTCCAAGGCCCCCGAGAGGAGCAGACTCGCGAACTCGCCCCCAGTCACCAACACAGCCACGCCCCTCGTCGACTACAGCAACATGCCAGTCATGCCTCCTATGCCCTCCGGCTTCAACTACCCTCCCGTCTACCGGAACCGTGTCGTCCTCGAGGTCGGCGGTCGTCGCTTCATCTCCTCCATTGACGTCTTGGAGCGCAGCCCCTACTTCAAGTATTTCCTCGCCATCCCCTTCATGGATTGGTACCGCGGCGGAGTCATCCACATCGACAACGACGGAGATCTCTTCGCTCACATCCTCCGCTACCTCCGCACTGGAAGCTACCCTTTCTTCTGGGACGCTCGCACCGGCTTCGATTATGGCATGTACGCAATGCTTCTGCAGCAGTCTCGGTACTACCTTCTCCCGAAGCTCGAGGCCTGGATCATGGAGCAGAAGTACCTGAAGGTCGTTCGCACCGATGTCATGCACCGCAAGCTTGAGGTCCTCGAGGACCAAGAGTGGGTCTGGAAGCACAGAGCCGAGGGCCTCGACTCGTACGAGGTCACTGGAGTTGTCTCTTCTACCAGAGACACCAAGAGCCGTGCCGGAAAGCTGAAGGCGTTCGGCGTTGAGAAGCCCGAGAAGGACGAGGAGGAGGACATTGGCGAGGGTCCCCAGGAGGAGCGTGCGAACATGGAGGCTATTCAAGTCTTCACCAAGTCCCAGAGGACCAGAGTGAACATTGACTTGTTGCGCTGTGAGTACGAGTCGCAGTTCCCCTGAGTATGGGGATCGCTTAGCTTTGGACTTTTGGAAGATGAACAAGATGAGAGACGAACTGGATGAGAATGGACAAAATGAGAACGAACAGGATGAGAACGAACAGGATGAGAACGAACAGGATGAGAACGAACAGGATGAGAACGAACAGGATGAGAACGATCAGAATGAGAACGAACAGGATGAGAACGAACAGGATGAGAACGATCAGAATGAGAACGAACAGGATGAGAACGAACAGGATGAGAACGAACAGGATGAGAACGATCAGAATGAGAACGAACAGGATGAGAACGAACAGGATGAGAACGAACAGGATGAGAACGATCAGAATGAGAAACGCACAGGATGGAGACAAAAAGGATGAGCCATGTATATATAGTCTGTCTTGATGAGACATGCGTAGGAAAGGTCTACGTCCATAGCACGGAACTGGAAGGATGCAGAGAAATTGAGATTAGTATAACTAGCACGGCACTTCGTGTCTGATTGATCGCGCAGAGTGGCAAGCCGTGAGGTGTAGGCAATACCTGTTACTACGCAGATCCAACCCGGCGCTACCTAAGTTCTCAGCAATCATGCTCCAGCTACCTCATTGAGAAGGATTTGAGGTAGGCTTACACTGAAAGTCGACTGGTGATATTCCTCTGCCACATCATGGCAAGACTCTTGGAAAGACAGGTGGTTCAATGTGAAGCGTAATGGGACAAAAACCTTACTTTTTGACTTGTCTTTCTCCGACAGTATGTGGATCTTCCTACGATTAATCTATCGGATGGTTATTCGAGCGATCTGGACCCCTTGAGATATGCAGATGACGCTCCTACCGTCCAGTGGGTACGTTACTTCCCCGACGATCGATTCTGCTTCAACAATGTGGACAGATGTGTTTCCTTGGGACTTTCCAACCTGTGATTCTTCCATCCACTCGATGTTGAAGGCCAAAGGCCGAGTTGAGTTGGTTGGATTCTCGATTTGGATTTCGGGGCGTCCCCCGCAGAATATCATTGACATCTCGCCTGGGAGAAGCTCCCCTGAAACGTCTACTTGGGAAAGCTCAATTGGAGGTATCGTAGACAGCGCGATACTGCTGACAGACTTCACGGGATTGGGGTTCTCGGTGCCCCTGGCTTCCTCATTGGCATCAACAGCGTACTGAGCACCGAAAGTACTACCCACTTCTGCCTCCTTCTCCTCTTCGGGCTCCAACTTGTGGAGTTCCGGCTTCAGCTCTCGCTGCTCCTCTTCAATCCGCTGAAACCTGCCCTCCGCAGCGAGCGATTTTGCCTGAACGTTCTCGACTGTTTGATCCGTCTGTGAGTGGCTACGCGACGACAGCATTGCCGAGAGGGTTGATATTGACCAAGTCAAGGTCGAAAGTTCGCTTTCTTGAGGTGGGGGATGACTCTTCCTACCCGCGGGCGCCATCAATTGGCTGTAGCCAGCAACAATCCTTCTCTCCAGCTCTTGATTAAATCTCCACGCTATTTCTTGCAGGCCAGGGATGAAAGGTATCCGCCAACCCGGGTACAGTCTCCCATGGCACCGAGGCGTGTGGAGTGTCTTTCCAAGGCTGAGGAAGGCGTTGCAAAGATAGCATGCGTTCTTGCTGGAGCAAACAACTCGAGGAGGAAGGGCTGTCGGGTTGAGGAGATAATGATACACTATTTGAACCTCGGCGTGAACTTTCGCCTCCGTTAGTGTCCTGTTTGTCTGTTTCTGAAAAAGTTCAAATGCTCTGCTCTTGTCCTTGAGATTGTTGCATATTTGCAGCATGTCTTTCTCCCCGCCTTTGATGATTTGAGTTCTTCTAGCAGCGATGGCAAGACTCGGCGTGTAGCTCGGATCGATTGACCTATCGAAAGCGGTCTTCGGGAGATCGACCACGCAAACTTCCCCCTGTCGGACGATACGAAGTCTTCGCGCCGTTCTGTATATGTGCCGGGAGACCTCTCGGTAACGCGAGACCTTCTCTATCATGTTTCTCAGGCTTTTTCTAGAATCCGGATTCATCATGCTATTCGGAATTTCGCCAATGATTCGTTTGATATCCTTGACGCGCGACAGGCGAAAGATTCCATTCACGAGAGACTGTACCGACGACGGGTGTTGGTACTGTTTCCACGAATTGACCAGTTTCTCAATTTCCCTGGCTTCTCTGAGAAACTCTGAATAGGTCGGCCCATCATGTAGCGGCAGACTGTAATAGATGATGGCTGTTTGGAGTAGGACCTGGATAGGCTGTCTGTCCCTTTTCCGTTGGAGTCGCAGCCGGCTCAAGATCCGCTTTGCGCACATGATTACAATCGCAGTGAAGACTTCGTTCTCTACATTCGAGGCTTTGGCATGATCTGCTGATCATCAGGCATTTAAACCTCAGCGAAAGGATGGAAGATATGTGAGACTTACCGGCATCGCCATGGTTCATCTTGGACAATACGCGAAAGATCTCCTCGAATCCGATCTTGATCCTTTCCAGAACCTCAGCGCAGTCCGTTGCCGTCTCCTTGTTCATCGCAAGCACCACATTCAGAGACTTGTTCTCTGGTCTCTCTTCAAGACAAACGGCCGGTATATGATTCGAATCGTCGTCGATGCTGGCGATGAAGGCAAACGCGCCGCATAAGCTGCGCTCCCGGGCGAAGGATAATGTCCTCCCACTTTCTGAAACTCGTTCCTCAGGGAGGTGGTTCCTCGTTGGAGTATCTTGAATACAATCTAGGAGATGAAGAAGGGAAATGTTTTCTGCGCAAACGACGGCGGCCGAAAGTAACTTTGGCGATGGTGGATGAGGGACGAGAGAAGCAGCCTTCCCTTTACCTTTCGCCTTCTTGCGCTTGGGCATATCTACGGAAGTATTCAGCAACGATACGATGAGTTTATGGAAATACGCCGACAGTAGAAGGGATAGATAGTGCGGTGCTTTTGAGGGAACTCATGCCAACAGCTTTCGCTACTCATCCGCAGCCTGCCTCACAACAAGAGGCTGCGTCCCGCCCAATGATAGCTTATCTGCAAATGCACCAACAGCTCACGAACACCGTGCAGGTATCGGCTTCGTGGGCTATGGGCCTGCATCCTGCGACCATGTCTGTTGGTGTCGAACTTGAACATGAGTGGTGAACAACTGACGAATGGTTGCCATCTGCAACCCTACAACCCCGAATTTGGAGACTCTCCTGCTGGAGGCCGACGACGTCGTGGCCTGATGTCGAAGACCGGCCAATATACATCTCAGTATCACTAATGACACGATTCAATGGGGGCCCGAGGCAAGCCGGCAGGCCGGGACTCCGTAGCTGGATGTCAGATCCTATCGAACGACGTCGGGTCCGGCATTCATGCGGCATCAACCCTCGCACGACACCTCCACAAAAGGAAATCCAGCGCCGAACCCTCCGTATCCGCATCCGCATCCGGATCCGGTCCTCGCTCGGGGCCTCTCTCGACTCGGTGGGACCAAGCGGCGCAGGCTGCTGCTCCGCCGACGACCTCAGCCGATGCAAACGAAACATGACGTCGCCCCCTTCCGGCTACGTAAGCGTTCTTGCCCCCAAGACACTCACTTCCATCATACTGCAACCGCGGAGATTCCACGCCGAAGTGATGTTAGAATAAACTTTCCCCCAACCTGCGGGGAGGCGCTGGGGCTGGCTTCCGGCAGCGGAGGTCGTCTGGTGGTGCTTCTCGAAGAACGTACTTGTGCATTCCCGCCTTGCTCACGTATGGGCCCGACCCACGACAATGCGGGGGAGAACGAAATGTTTCTCCAATTCAATGCCTTCAAGGTTGTGGAAGAGAAACATCACCAAGAAAAAAACAATCCACACTCCCTCGCGTATTCGGGTCCGTGGGCCAGGAGTCGTCTGATACGTTGAGTGTGTCACATGCAACTTGATTCGCGCAGAGCAGGCGGCCTCTAATTCGTAAATGCGAGGCGGGCCGAGTAAACTTCACATTTTACGTTTTCTTTGTTTGCGACGGATTTGTATTTAAGTGAAGTCGTGGACCTACGTTTCTTGGCGGCTGTTTGTTGTCAGCAAGCTCACTCAATCACCTTTCATTGTTTTGGATATCAACACACAATTTTTGGACATACAACCGCGAACTACCAACAGCGCTGCTTTGAAACAAACATACACCGACAAAAGCAAACAAAATGCTCAACACCACAGTAACTCTCACCCACGTCACCCCGGTCCCGTCGGGAATGTCCAAGGAGGACGCCATAGCGCTCCTCCACGACGCGGAGCACCACATCAAGTGCGACCCCAACATGAAAGACTACACCAAGCGCAGCCCCCAGATCCCGCCGACGATCCCCAAGGACGTCGAGCCGATCGCGGAAACCCAGTGTTACTCGGTCACTGACAGCGTGCCGACGTTGCTGCCCAAGGGCGTCTGGGACAGGGATGCCGTCAGCGACTACGACTTCACCTTCACCAAGGACGGCAGCTTCGTGCGCACCAGCTGCCCGCTAAGTGTCGTGCTGGAGACGCGATGGACCGTCCGGGACGCGAGCGGCGGTGGGTGCGAGCTCGTTGAGGTGGTTGAGATCAACTGCTCAAAGTTCCTGGCCAGCGTCGTTAAGGGTCAGTGTGATGCGCACTGGGAAGACTTCCACAAGAGAATTTTGTCGGGAAAGCAATGATAAATGAGAGATGGTCGATGAAGAGGGAAGCCTTTAGGCGAGAAGAAATATATAGTTCTGTAGACAGCAGACATTATATGGCATGAATAGATTCATATTCAGGGCGCCACATTTGAGACTGAAGCGCCCGTCGTGAGACTCGGGATTTAATGAAGCCCTCACATGAGACTGCTTCGCCCACCAATTTCCATGCTTCCTTGACCATCCCTCATTTCACCACTTCGCCCAACGACGAACTCTCTGTAAATCCTGCCCAGTCTCGCGCGTTCCTGCGTACTGATACTAGATCTGGTGCTATCCAGCGCCTTCATCAGGTGTTCCAACTTCACCACAACCTCCTTGTCGTTAACCGGCTTCGCCTCGCCATCGGGACGTTGAGCATGCTTAACCCTCTTACGGGCTTGTTTAATGCTTTCCAACTTGGCCAAGATTGCGTTGTTTTCCACCAGCTCGGCCGACCGACTGACCGCCTTAGTCGTCGGTGCGGCGTCTTCCCCGTAGCGAAATTGTACAAAGCTGGGGATTGAGCCTTGGGAGGACGATTTGCCATTGACCTTGCCATTGGTTGCCGGAGTGTGGCCGACATTGCCCAGCACATCATGGATCGCCTCCAGCTGAGAGTTGGACACGAGAGCCTGCAGATCAGCTCCAGAGAACCCTTCCGTCCGCCGCGCAATCTCGGTCCAAGCTTCGTCGGACTCGGTAAGTTCTTCGCTAAGCTTGACCTTGCTGGAAAGTGACTTGAGGATGTCCACACGATCTTCCAGTGTCGGCATGTCGCAAAGCAGAGACTTGTCCAAACGACCGGGACGGAGAAGAGCGGGATCGATCAAGTCGGGCCGAGACGTTGCTGCGAGGACATATACTCCAGAAAGACCTTCCGCACCGTCCATCTGTGTCAGAAGTTGGTTGACAACACGGTCCGTCACACCCGTAGAATCATGTCCACGCTTCGGCGCGATGGAGTCGAACTCATCGAAGAACAGCACACAAGGTTTGGCAGCCGACGCGCGCTCAAACAGGTCGCGAACGCTCTTTTCCGACGCACCGATGTACTTATTGAGAATTTCGGGTCCCTTGACACTGATGAAGTTAAGGCCACACTCTCCTGCGACGGCACTTGCGAGAAGCGTCTTTCCACATCCAGGGTAGCCATAGAGCAAAAGACCAGACCGCAGCCGGAGTGGGCATTGTTCGAAGATAGGGGCGTACTTGGTCGGGTATTGCAATGTTTCCAAGAGAACTTGCCGAGTTTCTGTCAGACCTCCGATGGAGCTGAAAGTCGTAGTCGAGCTCTGCAGCGAGACGTTCCGAAGGGAAGCTGGTGTGAAGCCCTTGAGGGCGCTGTCGAAGTCCACCCTTCCCAAGTTGACTGCCCCTCCATCGTTCTCCTCGCTAACCGATCTAATGATTGCCTCATTGCGAGCTCTCGCGACGAGCAGGCTGATGTCCCCGGGCATGTATCCATCTGTGAGACCAGCGATGTCGAGGAAGTCCAGGTCGTGATCCAAAACAAAGCCTCCTGTTGTGCCATTTCGTTGTTCTCGGCTGCCTTGGCTGGCGGCATCCATCCATGCGCTGTCTTCACCTGCGGCACTGCCATCGGCGGTCGGTGGCCGGCTCCCATCATGAGACTTTTGTGGAAGGTCCTCCGGGGAAACCGCGTCTTGCCTCACAATAGACTCCATTACCTTCCTCCTGGCTTCCTTGTTCGGGGCCTTCAAGTCGATAATCTCGCGGACAACGTGGCCCCCAATTATGACATTATTCAAAGAATCTTTGCCTTCCGCTGTTGCCAGAAGAACCACTCCGCTCTCTGTGTTGCAGTATTGGCGAACAATGGAGCCAATTATTTCACTGACTTGACGGCTTCTTCCGTTATCATTGCCGACCTGCAGTTCAGTTTCCACAGGGCACAACTTGTCCAAGTCGTCCAGAACCACAAGCGCCTTACCTCCCAGTCTGGCGCCCCAGCTTGCCGACATAAACACCTGATTCAGAGTGTCTTTAATCGTGGAAACTCTTGTCTCGTCATTGACAAGTTTTCGACACGGAAAGTAGGTAGTATGGAACAGGAGGTCTTTGCCAAGCTCATGAGCTAAAGACTTGGCCACGGCCGTCTTGCCAGAGCCCAGAGCGCCAGTAAGAAGTGTTGACGAAAGGTGGGAGAGGTGACTTCGGAGGTCTTGCAGTAATTTATCGATACCCACAAGTTGGCCATCATAGGAGGGCTGGAGCTCTGCTGCACCGTCGTCGTTCATCCACGGCGGACGAGGGACCGGGTCTCGAAACTCAATAGTGATTCTGTCGCTCAGACCCAGCACCCACTTTGTTGATGATCTTAGTGGATCGCTGTTCATGGCAGTCGGATCGAATTTGACGACGCCTCCTTCCCATCCCTGGGGAGCCTCCAAACCCTCGTAAAGGCCAAGTACCGACCCGTCCGTCAGAGGACCACTGAGAAGGGACGAAGCATCTTTGCGAGATCCGTACATATGCTTGAATTGCTTTGAAGCTTCTTCTTTCCCGGCCTTTGACTCTCCGCCAAACTTCAGACCCTCCGTCGACTTCTGAGACACAGCAAAGGGGTGAATGATCAACTTTTGGACAGCATCGAGCGGCCATTGCTGAGGTGCAGGCTCGATCTTGACAATGCCACCAACGGCGGCAGTGAAGCCCAACGTCGCGCACAGGGGTGACGAAAGTGCGATCGTCTTGCTGTCGGGAGGATCATCCCAAGCGCGCAAGTGGGCAATGACCTTACTTGCAACTTTCGAAGCGCCCGATGCTGCCTCGGCGTCTTGCTGCGGTTTTTGAGGATTGGTGCTCGGTTGCGGGGTCGGGCGTAAAATATTGACTGATACATAGTTGACTCCTCTAAAATCCTTGGTGTAGAGAATGTCGCGATCTACCCACACGCTGAAGTCGTGATCGGTAATGTCTTCATCGAACCATTCTCTGCATGCTGTTTGGTCGACACCTCTGAGACACAAGGCAGGCTTGCGCTCTTCACGGGCACTTCGCCTACGGACGGTGCTCGCGCCACTCCTTTTAGACTTTGAGGTGCTGGCCACGCTGCGGTTTTCTCCTAGGGAATGCGCCGCCTTGGCACGGGTTTTCGGCGCGACAATGACTTCGGCGTCAGGGGACATTTTAACAAATGGTACATCGGTGGCCGGCGCGGGCTCGAAAGAGACGACCTTGATGTTAGCTGTCGAAGTTGGTGACAGGTGTAACGTCAAGGCGTGCGGTTGGACTATCGTCCCGGAGCTCGAGAGGAAGTTCGGGTTCGGCAAGGCGCGGACTTGGTGTTGGAGGTTAATCTCGAGGAAGGCCGCATGAAGCTCAATCATTTCCCAGTCTTCCGGAGTGAGGGGTTCGATGTTGATAGTATGCGCGACGGGAGGATCGACGTGTATAGATGCTGTGATCTTCTGTCCGTCCGATAGTCCAAGCGTGTTGGCGAGTGTCGCGTCAATCTCGACCTGGGGCACTTCTTGGTCGCGACCACCACTCCTGCCGCCGTTGATGCCATCTCTTCCGACAGCTGGTGCGACCTTGCGCTTACTCGGCATGCCTGTCCAACCAACAAACACAGACTTCTGTTGTGGTGCGCCGGACCCGGAGGCGCTCGCGGGGGAGGGTCGGTAAGTGAGCTCGACGACGACATTCTGCGCAGGCTGTTTCGGACAAGTCAGTTTGATCCCCTCCGTCGAAGAGCGACATCACTTACGGTGTTGACATTGACTAGGAGCGACACCAAAGATGCGGGGAGGTTGACCAAGCAGTTCTTGAGGTGGGCGAGAGAGATCTCCGCCGGAGTCGATTGCGCATTCCGCTTAGGAGCCATGGCAACAATTGAGTGATCAGCAGTCCATGAGAAGAGACAAAAGAATGGCACGCTCTAAGCAAAGAGCAAGAAGTATTCGCAAAGCGTGCTTGGCTGCGGCGCGGGTAATCGGGAATGGAGCTGTTGGAGCTGAAGATGGAGATGAACCGAGACTGTCAATGGGCATGTGCCGACGCCGAGGCATTCCCGGCATGGAAGGGACCTCCACCCCCATTGGGTCCGAACACGGGGTAGCTGCAGGGAACGATACGTAGCTTTCCCGAGCGTGTCCAGTTCGTTGGACCGGGGCGGATATTGGTGTTATCTGTGCCACATGTGGCTAGGTAAAATCAATTAACATGTACCTTGTCCTTGACACGCTTGTGTCGCGAAAAGGCGCGTAATACCGCGTCTTGCCCGGCCAATGCCTCCCCCTGGCGCATTGATCATTTTCATCAATTCTGTTCCCAGCCCCCCACCCGGTGCCAAACTTCAATCCGATAGCAGCAGAACCGAGCCCGACACCTCCCCGCTGCCTGTCGCAAGAACGAATTATACCCCATTCATCACTACAGCTGCGCCGGCCAGAATAGGTCATCGAGCTTCGAGAGACATCTACCTCTGACCCCCGCAAATACTGTCACGATGGCGCTTCGTCAGTTCAAGGCGCCGGTAGCGTATGAGGCGCAACAAAGTGAGCGAGCACTGTCAATCCAGCTTGACACCGCTTTGGCAACATGATGCTAACTAGTTGACGTCAAGCCGCCTTCGAATCCTTCCTTTCAGAGTTCAAGGCGTCGCCCGAACAAACGATCGCACACGCTCTGGGCAACATCACGATAGACGAGAATGACTTCAGCGACGATGAGTTGATGGAGGATGATGATACCCGCCAGACTCGCCGTCAGGCCAAGAGCGCACCAGGACCCAAATACAAGGAAATGCTGCAGGAGTTGGCAGACCGTAAAACTAACGAGGTTATGATCGACTTGGACGACCTCGCGACTGTGCGTTTCCCGGATGTCTTCGTCGTCGTTTCCAGGTGGACTGATTTGGCCTACAGTTTGAATCACAACTTGGCGACGAGCTCAAGTTGGTCGAGTCCATTGAGATCAACACCAAGCACTACGTGGAATTGATGTCAAGAGCTGTGGACAAGCTCATGCCTAAGCCTAGTGAGGGTGTCAAGTATGCCTGACCGCAACGTCCTCATAGGTTCATAGCTGACGATGAACAGCTTCCAGGACGATGTTCTAGACGTGCTCATGGAGCGAAGACAAAGGAGGAACGAGGCTATCGAGCGGGCAGCTACTGAGGTAGTTGACGGCCAAGTTCCTGACCCCACTATTGCGGAGGACAAGTTTCCTGCTGAACTCACTCGGCGGTACACTCTCGTCTTCAAGCCTCGATCCGACACCCCCTCCCACCCAGTCAAGGCCTATGCTGTGCGTCAAGTCAACGGCGACAAGCTTGGTCACTTGATCACTGTGCGCGCCATTGCCACGAGAGTTTCGGACGTCAAGCCTGTCGTGCAAGTCAGTGCCTACACTTGCGATCGATGCGGTTGCGAAATTTTCCAGCCTGTCAACGACAAGTCTTACGGCCCCTTGAGCGCATGCCCATCCGAAGATTGCAAGAGGAATCAGGCCAAGGGCCAGCTCCACCCCTCTTCAAGAGCTTCCAAGTTCTTGCCGTTCCAGGAGGTTAAGGTACAGGAGCTTGCTGAGCAGGTTCCCATCGGTCAGATTCCTCGCACTTTGACTATCCTTTGCTACGGCACGTCAGTGCGCAAGATCAACCCCGGCGACGTTGTCGACATCTCCGGCATCTTCCTCCCTACTCCTTACACGGGTTTCAAGGCCATGAAGGCCGGTCTCCTGACAGACACCTACCTTGAGGCGCACTACATCGTTCAGCACAAGAAGGCTTACTCTGAGATGATTGTCGACCCCAGTCTGGTTCGCCGCATCGACCAGTACAGACAATCCGGTCAAGTCTACGAGCTCCTCGCCAAGTCTATTGCGCCTGAGATTTACGGTCACCTCGACGTCAAGAAGGCCCTCCTCCTCCTTCTCATTGGTGGTGTTCACAAGCAGGTCGGTGACGGCATGAAGATTCGTGGTGACATCAACGTTTGCCTTATGGGTGACCCTGGTGTGGCCAAGTCCCAGCTGCTCAAGTATATCTCGAAGGTCGCTCCTCGTGGCGTTTACACTTCCGGACGTGGTTCCAGTGGTGTTGGTCTGACCGCTGCCGTTATGCGTGACCCTGTCACCGACGAAATGGTCCTCGAAGGAGGCGCCCTCGTCCTTGCCGACAATGGTATCTGCTGTATCGATGAATTCGACAAGATGGACGACAACGACCGCACAGCTATCCACGAGGTCATGGAACAGCAGACCATCTCCATCTCCAAGGCCGGAATCTCCACCACCCTCAACGCCCGTACCTCCATCCTCGCCGCCGCTAACCCTATCTACGGCCGCTACAACCCCCGCATCTCCCCGGTTGAGAACATCAACCTCCCCGCCGCCCTTCTCTCCCGTTTCGACATCATGTTCCTCCTCCTCGATACCCCCAGCCGCGAGACCGACGCTCAGCTCGCCAAGCACGTCACCTACGTTCACATGCACAAGCGCCACCCGGACATCGGCACCGACTCCGTCGTCTTCTCACCGCACGAGGTCCGCTCCTACGTCGCCCAGGCCCGCACATACCGCCCCACCGTCCCCGCCGCCGTCTCCGAGTACCTCACCAAGACGTACGTCCGCATCCGCGAGCAGCAGCGCCGCGCCGAGAAGAAGGGCGAGCAGTTCTCCCACACCACCGCCCGTACCCTCCTCGGCATCGTCCGTCTCGCCCAGGCCCTCGCCCGTCTGCGCTTCAGCAACGAGGTCACCCACGACGACGTCGACGAGGCCCTCCGCCTCATCGAGGCCTCCAAGGAGAGCCTGGTCGCCGAGCAGAGCAACTCCGGGCGCACGCGCCTCAACGCCAGCAGCAGGATCTACAACCTCGTCAAGACCCTCGCCGACAGCGGTGCCTGCCGCGCCGACGACGCCGAGGACGAGGACGAGGAGCTCGGCGTCGAGCTCTCCCTCCGCAAGGTCAAGGAGCGTGTCATCGCCAAGGGCTTCACCGAGGACCAGTGGCTGGCTGCCCTGGAGGAGTACAACGAGCTTGATGTAAGTCTTCCATCATTAATTCACAATTCGTCTGGAGCAGTGGCTAACCAAGTATCAAACAGGTCTGGCAAACGGCCGGCAACGGTACGAGGCTCGTCTTCATCACCTCCAACGCAGACCGCGAATAGGTGTAGTTGGAGGATAGGTTTGTCGGGGTTGCGTAGTGTGTTCTTGAAAAGAAATGTTATTCTCCATATACGGCTTTACGAAAAGAAAGCCTCAGGCATTGGCGTTGTTGGGTTATCAAGGGTGTGTTGACAGATGGAGTGAGCAGTGGTGTAGCAGTAGACTTCTCTCGACCGATCTGACGAAGCAGATAATGAACTTCCAAAACCGTCAGACTCAGTGCCCTGAAGACCTCGAGTGACGTATTCACAGCATCGATGCCCGCCACGTAGATTGGAAATTCCCATGACTTTGGATCATTGTAGTAGTATAGTACAAAAGGTGTTCTTTTTTTAAACCCCTTCTAAATGCCGACATCTTGGTACACTAGTACATGCATACACTTCCTCCACACCCGACCCCCTCAGTCTCCTCCTCTACTGCAAGACACGCGAGTTGAGCAAGCTCGCCCGCTCCAGCTCACCCAGGATACCACCACCGGCAAGAGTCCACTTCTCCGAAACGGTACCCGCGTCGACGCGCGCGCGCAGCATACCGCTGGCGGCCCAGTACTCCATCACGGCGCGGGCGTCCTCGCGGGTGACGCCCTTGACGTCGAACGTCTCGACGTTGCGGACGGCCTCGTGGACGCGGTCGTCGTAGCCCTTCTTGTAGGGGTCCGGGGTGGGGACGTGCAGGTCGGCGGCGGCGGCGGCGGTCTGCGCGAGGGCGAGCTCCATGGAGGGGCAGCGGGGCGCGTTGCTGCGGCTGGTGGCGGCGATGACGGCGCCGCCGTTGGCGAGCGGGGTCTTGCCGCTGAGGGCGTCGACGAAGAGGCGGACGAGGGCGAGGTCGTGGGCGTGGACGAGCTCGAAGGAGGGGCTGCGGTAGGCGGAGATGCGCATGATGTGGGCGAGGCCGTCGAGGGTGAGGAGGACGGGGGGGCCGCCGGGGTTGGTGGTCAGCTCGGACCAGAGGGCCTGGAAGGCGGCCCAGGCGAAGTCGGGCTCCTTGGCCGAGTTGGCGATGTCGTAGAGGGTGCCGTCCTCGGGGACGTGAAGGAGCTCGGGGTACTTCTTGGTGACCTTGTGCTGCTTCAGGACGTTGCCGTTGGCCTTGAGGATGTGCTGGAGGAGATCGAAGCAATAGGTCGGCTGGGTGAACTGGAGGGGGTTGGACTTGGGGATGGGGGAGTAGTCGGTGTTGGCGTTGGTGAGATCCTGGGCTGGAGAATTTGTTAGTGGTGTCTTTGATACTCATATAGATCGAGTACGCATACCTTCGGGAATGTTGATGACAACCCAGTTGTTCAACAGAGAGTGAGTCATGGCCTGCAACAGCAACATGCTCTTACCCGCGATCTTGTCACCCGTCAGAATCATCCTCAACGTCTGCCTCTCCTTGACGGCGCCGTCGAGCCTCTTCGCGAGCTTCACCGTCTCCTCCCTCACGAGCATGTGCGGTTTCCTGAAGAGGCTCCAGCACTGCGTCGTCTTGAACGCCTCGAGGGCGCGGAGCTGGTCGACGAGCTTGTCCGGCAGGCCGACCATGGTTCCCTTGGCCGCCTCCGAGGCCAGCGTCTCGCCGGCGACGGGCTGCAGGCCCTCGACGAGGAGCGCATTGTTGTTGCTCAGCGTGATGCGCTTGCGGAACGCCTTACGCTCTCCCGGCGCGGGCTTCCTCACGCGGGGGCCGTCCCGCTTCTTCTTCGCGTTCTGGTTGATCTTGCCGCGACGGATGTGCTTTCCCCAGTACTGCACCCTGCGGGCGGGGGCGCTGTTGACGGCGTGGGCGGGGGAGGTCGAGAACGGTGCGGTGCCGGACGGGAAGGCCGTGACGGCGGCGAGGGGGGCGTAGGAGGTGATGACGGGGACGATGCGTTGCGATATCCGGGGGACGGCGGCCGTCGTGGGCCTCGTGAGGCACCGCGCGCAGTTGGCGGAGGCCATTGTGTCTTCGGTGGTCGGCGGGAGGGGGGCGGGCCCGGGGTTGCGTCTGCTGGATTTTGATGTCGATGTGTCGTGTGTTATGAGGCCATTCGGATTAGGACGTTTGGGTTTGTTCCGTCCGAGGCAGCTCGTCGAGTCGCCCTTGGGTAGGTCGTCGTCGTGCGATATGTCTGTCCCGAGCTCCAAAAACTTCTTAATTCTCAAAATGTTAGACACACGCCCCCTGCCATCTGCCATGCAGGCCAGCTTAGCCAATTGGGATTCTGATTGGCCGTGCGGCTAACCGGCGTTGCGGGGGTAGTTGATCCGAATGCTTATCGGGCGCCGCCAAAATTTCCAGCAGAAAAAAAAGTTCTGGATATCCCACCTGCTGGGCCCGTTGCGATACTGCTGTAAGCCGACCACCAACTCTCTACACTTACAACGGTTCGAGCCGCCGCCACAACACAAACCTTTCATAAACAAAACCACGAACTCGCGAGATATCTTCACACGCAATGGCGCTTCCGATTTCGCGCCCCAAGCTGCCCGTGGCAGTCAACAAGCCCACGCCGTACAACTTCGACCTCGGCCTGCTGCTGGCCAACGACCCCAACCCCCTCGAGCTCGACAAGTCCGCGATCGAGGAGTCCCTGGCCGCGACGGCGCGCGACGGCGCCCAGGCCCTCATCAACCAGCTCCTGACGACCTGCCCGCTGCAGAGCAGCTCCGACGGCGTCCTCCTGACGCTCCCGGAGCCCTCGACGGAGCTGCCGCGCGAGAAGCCGGTCCCCAAGGCCAAGGAGCCGACCAAGTGGGAGCGGTTCGCGGCCAAGCGCGGCATCAAGCCCAAGACGCGCGAGCAGCGCAAGAACCTGGTCTTCGACGAGGACACCAAGGAGTGGAAGCGCAAGTGGGGATACAAGGGCATGAACAAGAAGGGCGAGGACGACTGGGTGACGGAGGTCGACCCCGTCAAGGAGATGAACCGCGCCGAGGGGACGACGATCCAGGGCGACAAGCGCAGGGAAAGAAAGGAGAGGATCAAGCGCAACGAGAGGAAGATGAGGAAGAACCAGCGCGAGGCGGGTGGCAAGCGGTAGAGCGGAGTGGATCGGATCGAGACCCAGGTTGTGTAATGCTTCAGGTTCGGCATGGTACGGCGTTTTTTTTACGGTGGTTATACATATCCAGTCTCTATGCTTGGGCGTCGGATTCTCAAAAGGAATGGAACGGCTTCAGGGGCCGCACTTGTGGCTCTGACAACATCGATTTTGAATTTTGGTTGTGAATGGGTGGTTTTCATTTCCACTGCGGACTTCGCTCGCCGCACTCGTCGTCCCCTTGTTACATACAAAACTCGTCATACTGTACACAGATCCCACCGTCCCCTTCCTCATATTTATCGTGAGCTGTGTCCATATCCCCTTTAACCAGCATTCGTGGATGCTCCTCGCTCACCCCTGCCTGCTATGCTACCAAAGACCAAACATCGCTAGATTCGTAGCACCTCACAAGAGCGCAAAGAAGAAAATTAGGTACCCAAGTCTGGGCTGCCAATAGCGCAACTGCTCCATGTGGCAGCCCGGACGCGAGGACTCTGCTCGTTGATGCAAAAAATCGACCAACGGACAGTTTCCTGAAGGAGTAAAATCAACGGCTTTTGTGATACGATTCGATGCCCTGGGGTATACCAAATAGCACGATGCTGTGTCGCAAACGAAGCGAGACCCGGTCTCTCCAGGCAGTCCGTCAGTGAGGCGTGACCGCCAGCGCGGAACTGCTTTTGAATGATCCATAGGTCGGAAGCGCTCGAAAGAGAAAACGAAAGTCGTTAACGGCGTAATGTCGTCGTCACTGGTGTAGCAATGATGTGAATGCCGCCGGCGCTCGGGCTACGCCTGGGTATTCGAAGTGGAAAGAAGTATTGTTAATCTCCAACGTCTTGGTTTAGAAGCCAAGCGGCGAAAGAGGCTTGATGGGTGACAGAGGTCGTAAGTCATTCGAACCTCTTGGCTCACGGCCGCTGTCGATCGTCAAGTTTGTCGACGCCGTCGTGTTGGTTGCGACGCTGCCGTTGGACTCAGAGAGTTGGAGGGGCTTTTTTTTTAGCCTGCGGTCTTTGGTGGGTTGCTCAGTACTCGCGTTGGAATGCTTGCTGCTGTTGTCCGACGACGAGCCTGCTCTCTCAATGGTAATGGAAGGCTCCTCTGGAACTGTGCCCTCCTGTATTGTTGTCTCCTTTGACGGCTTACGCGGCTCTGACAAGCCCTTCGGAGGTGGCTGGTCGAAAAGCTGATACTCCTGCTCAATGTACTTCGCCTCGTTCTTGCAACCCTTCCAGCAGTCTCGCCAGTCGCATACCAAGAATCTGAAGCAAAAGGCATCGATCTTCATGCATGGCTGGAAGCAAATGCAAAGATTTCTGAAGTCCATCTTGTTCTTGTCGGAATGTGCCAAGAGCAGGCTAAGGTGACAAGTAATGGCGAAAAGCAGATAGTAGTTGAACGGCGATAGGTTGGAGAGCTCCTCGACCAGCAGCGGAGGGACCGTCTCGTAGCCGACACATTCCCTCGCCACACGCTCCTGCGCCTCTTTGGGGAACAACTCGTCTGGCAGTTCTCGCAGCCAAGCTTTCAACATGGAGCCGATGATGTTGATATCGTACAAGTCGGGCTGCTCGAAGAGGTTCACATCGTACTCTGAATGGTGGTTAGTCGACCATTGCGGCGTCGGTAGTGGGGATATCAAACCTTCGTCGAATCTTCTCTGCCACTTCTTGATCTGGGGACCACTGCCTGGCACACGATACAAACCCTCAACATCACAACCCTTGTAATTCAAGTAGTCAATTGCGCGCCATGGGAACGCTGGCATCCAGAACTCGGTCTTGTCTCTCGAATCCTCCAAACGCTTCGAGATGCGTGTGCGACGTGTCTGCTCGACCAGAGGTAGGTTGATTGTCTTGAGCACGTAGTGCTCGTCGTCGATGACGGGTTCCCTCTCTGTCGTGCTGCCACTGCGTCCGCCCTTTCCGAATAGGCGATTGCTGATCATGTCTCTGCCACTCTTCAGGCCACCGAAAAAGCCGCCGTTTTGCGACGACGAATTTTGCCGGGGATGATGGTCCTTTTCTCTTTGGCTCTCCTTGTTCCCCCTCTCCTTGTGGCTTTCCTTGCTGGCCATGTCTCGTGGCGACCCGCGATCTTCTGAACGGTTTCGGACCGTAGAATTCACCATCTCCTTGATGGACCTGTCGGATGCGGGTGCGGGTGCCGACGCCTTGCGCGGGTTCGGGTCGGAGGCAATATGCGATGGCTCGGGTTCGCTGATCGTTATAGGTACGGGGCTGGGTTGCTTGTCCCTGGAACTCGAGCCGTCCTTGTCGCGGTCCTTGTCGCGGAGCGACTTGTTGCGGCTGAGGAGACCGAATGGCTTCGACTTGGACTTCTTGGAGGAAGATTGTGCGGCGGAAGGGTCGTAGTCGGCAGCGGAGGCTATTGAGACGTCGGACGCGGACGGCAGAGTGGGTGCGGGTTTTTGGACGGCGTCTCCAGCATAGGATGCATCCGCTGATAAAATGGCAGACGGGTCAGCGGCTGAAGAAATGGTCTCACGATAGGCGAAACGGGGGATGGATCAGGTGGTGGGCCCCGGCAGCACAGGCAGTGGGACACTGCGGTCTCAAGAAGGAAAGTTATCCTCGTACCTGAAGGTTGGGTGGGTTGGGTGCTCATGGGAGCACTGTCGGGACCCCTCGACATAGTTTCGCCTCTCGAGTCAGGGTTCTGGATCGGGTTCTGGAGGTTGTTCTGGCGCGTTGGTGGTTGCGGTTGATTCTGGTGGTGGTGGTGGTGGGATGGCGAGGGTGACGAGGCGGGTGAATGGGACGACTTGTTGGAGGCCTTTGCGAAATTGAAAAAGAAGCCGCCCTTGGATGGCTTGCTGCTCGAGCTGCCCGGGGAGGGATGGTCGAGGCGGTGCTGAGAACCGGGGCTGATGGGGTTATGTTGGTGATGCTGGCGAGGGGGCGTATCTTCGGACGCGCGGTGCAGTGCAGATGAGATTGGGGGATACTGCTGAAATTCGTCGCCGTCGTCGTCAAAGTTTCGACGTTCGTCAGTCAGCTGCAGAGACTGTTTGCGACTGGAGCTAGGTCTTCTCGGAGTGAACCTAAAGGGAGAGCGCGGAGATCTGGGAGAAGACTGCGATTTGGAGCCAGCGCTTGGAGGAACGGCAGAGGCGAGGGTTTCAGCAGAGCGCGGAACGTTTTCCTGCTGCTGGTCGGGGGGTTGAGATTCAGACAGCGTCAGCGGCTGCGGTGCATGCTTGCGACCCATGGCAGGAGATTAATGTGCCTCGGGCGGACAGCTGAGTAAAATAGCAGTTTTGGGGGCCCGGTCAAGGACACTGGAGGCGACACAAGGCGGCGTATGCGTAAGGTAAGGTAGGCGAGGTAAGGTAGGCGGATGTGACGGGCGGCAGTGAGAGCGCCAAAAAGGAGGACCAGGAGCTGCTTCTCTGAGCGAGGCACGGTCGAAAGCCAGCAGCAAGAGTCCAGGTAGGGGAATCTGTACCGTTTGAATCCGAGGTAAGGGACCTCCAGTCTTGAGATGAGGTGTGCCAGCTAAGGCAGAGAGATTGAAGGCAATGCAAGGTACCGGCAGGCCAGGCTCTCCAGGCTGTAGTATGTAGCTGTATGGCGGCAGCAAGAAAGCAGGATGTCATAAATCCACGGCCCCCAAAGTCCTTCTTGCTCTCAGTGGCAGCAACAGAAACACAGGCCACAGGGCAAGTCAGAACGCAGATCAGGATGGGATGTGAAGGGGGACGGACGGGCAAGCCCAGCAACGGTCCCAGTCCTGATTCGCTGTCTGCCGCAGGAGGGCCAGTTGTAGCTGTTTCGGTGTGTGCACTGGGATGGGGACGGACGGATCACGCATCTGTCGGGGATATAAAAAGGGGGGTATGAGGCCTTGGGCCTGTCCTGTGCAGTGGATGTACTGCGTAGGGTGTGTGTGAACAAAGGTAAATGAGTGAGTGATGAGTAAAAGATGAGATGGTCTCTCCTGGATAAGGGTGTGGGTGATGAGAGCAGGTAAAAAGGAAGAAATAAAGAACAGAAGTGTAACTAGTTAGAGGGTAAGACGAGGTAAGAGATGAGAAATGAGGGCGAAGGTAACAGCAGTAAGAGGCCAGCAAAGACTGTTGTTGGTAAGGAGGTAGTAGATGTGGACTGTAGGTAAGGTAGTCCGTGAAGGAAGCGAAGCGCCAGGGAGTCTGATGTAACTATGAGAATTGGTGATGGGGTTTTAGGCTCCAAGGACCGGCCTTTTGGCGTACTCTTCTGGGTTATTCCCTCCTTGTGCTTCCACGTACGAAGTGGCTGGAAATGGTCCAAAATGACGGATGGATCGAGTGTTTGGTTGGTGATTGTTGATATGGAGGGATTTGCCGGGGTGGAAGATGATGACCAGGCAAAAATCATTGCTCAGAGAAGAAAGAGAAGGAAAGGGAGCGAGAGAAGGGAGTCCAGCACTTGCTAGAATTGCCCGCGTACCACCGCTCAATGCCAGTGATGCTGCTGTAGATCTGGTCGCGGTGTCATGTCTTTGCGTGTTGCCCGTATCCGTACTCTGTACCAGAGAACCAATGGCCGTGGCTGCGATATGCAAGGTTCAGGTACATGCCCTGCAGCGACACTGGAGCCCCTCAGAGAGCCCCTCAGAGCGGGCAGCAGAAAAGAGTGGAGGAGGCGGCAGGCGGCTGAGGGTGGTGCCGATGTTGGTGGACGACGACACTTTGCGGAGGGGAAGATGGAAGGCTTGAAGGGCGTTAGCTGGGCGGGTAATATGGGTGCGGATCTGAGACTCGCCAGGTACGTATCTTGCGGCCCTGCCCACCTCACTCACCTGCAGGCTGCAGCATAAAATGTGAGTCCATGACACTGGACGTGGACTGACAGGAGGGAGTGGAGGGGTCTCACTGGTGTGAATCAGGTACGTGCTGGGTGGGAACATTGGGCAGAGATCGCGACTGCCTTCAACCGACTTCACTTGGGGCACCTACCTTACCTGGGCAGGCTTCGAATGACGCTAACGTAAGCTGTGGGGCATCTCAGGCTTAGCGGCCCCGGGCTGTGTTGAATGACCTGAGGTGGGCTCCTTCTTGTCCGGCTCCAATAAGCCATGATACGGATTCTATGGATTCCATGCTTCCAACAACCTAACTTCTCTTCGTCCGTCCTACACTACAGCACACCAGATGCCATGAATAGCATCTCAGCCAGCACACGTCAGCTTGTTACCCAGCATCGGCCGTATTTTCCCCTTCGCAGTCACACCTGTGAGCATGCCATCCTCCCGCCTCGCCTTCCTCACGCCTCAAATCGCCTCAAACGGCCTCCGAATCCCCCAACATCTGCTGCTTGCGGTCTAGCAGCTTTGATGTGCTGACCGACCTGAATTAGACCAACGGTCCGGCCATCTGTGTCGGACGCGCACAGATCAGGGCCGGTAGCGATTGCGCTGCGCACGTCTGTTTGACATTGGCGTTGCTCGACCTATTGACGACCCGTGTATGCAAAGAACGACCCTAGAGTCCGTCTCGGTTCCAAAAGTTACAGGAACTTGTCGTTAGTCGACTTAGCTTCCAAGTCCATATCAAGTATGACAACCAGCCTATTCATAAACGACGCCCTCCTCGGCCCTGCTGCCCAAACGCCAGAAAACTGTCAACGCTTTTTCTACCTCTCTCTTTGACCCTGTTCGTATTCGCAACCAGCACCAAAGACGCCCCGGACTCAGAACTCGGCGATGCCATGGTCAACCGCAACCGTAACCGCAACGGCAACGCAGGGCAGCACGCGTACCCTGGACACGCGTTGGCCTCGCTCGCTTTGATTGCGGCGGCAACGTTGCTGGGTTCTCTTTGATGACCTTTCATCACTTTGATGAACAGGACGTTCCGTTGCTCTATCACAATGCCCTGTGCCAAGGCGAGAAATGATGCCTCGTCTCAATTCTACAGGGCTGCCCGCCGAACCAGACTTCTGAAACACAAACGTTTCTATGGATAGCCATGTAAGGCATTCGGGAATTCTCCCTTGCCAGGGGTCACGGGAGCTTTAATCGGATCATTACCTCATCTCACAGCCCACTTGGCTCCGGAATCTTCTGCTCCTCCGTCGTTGGGCACTGCTACCTATCAATCTTCACAAAGCATTGAGAACTCGATATTGAGGCCGTCAGTGGATACCCTCGCTCGGGCATAAACTTTGTGCTGTATTGACGGCATTTCCGTTCCCAGCCATGGCAGTTGCAACACACTCAGTTGATACCAACAATACCAAGCCCCTTTTCTCCGGGGGAATGAAGGGGCGACGATATGGAACACAACGTGGCCAGAACACCGACAAGACGAGACAGTTGGCGGAGACGGAAGACGGAGAAACGAACAGATCTGGCATGATGTGACAAATCTCGCGCTCGTCCGCAAGTTCAACGCAGCAACTTTCTCTTCGGCACTCGCTGCACGTTCAGACCCTTCCAGAGCACCTGGAAGACTTCTAATAACGGCGGGCTCGGCTCGACTCGTTGGACTTGACCTGGTGACTGGCTGCTGGTCTGGCGGAAAGGAGTCACGCTACTGCACGGTCTTCTGCAATGCACGGGCACGAGAGGTCTTCTAGCACATCACCATGCTATGCGTCGTTGAGGACAAACCAGCCAACTAGCCAACCTGCCAGACTTTCGCTCAGGATTGACGGCGACAGCCTGCCGTCGCTGCAACGTGCCAGTACCAGCCTTGCTTCGCAATCGTGCCGGCAACGTGCACGCACACTTTGACATCGAGACTTATTCTTGGGCAAAGTTTAGGATAGGACGAGACGATGGATCACGGCGCAAAAGACATGGCAAACTCTGCCGATATCGATGCCGCAATCTCTCGTCATCCTTCCGGCGCGGCCAGGATGGAAAGGACACGAGACCAATATCGTCATCTAGTTCTTTCCTCAACGTATGCGTTTCCGTTGCCTCCGGCAATGGACATTGTCTGTTTTATCCTCACGTCGGCTGTCATGTTCACGGCAAAGCCAACAGGACCGAAGCCGACACAGTGGAAAGTATGAAATCGCATCCCTCACCGCGGAACATATTCTGGGCTACCTCCATACGAGTGACACTACAGCGCGTACTACTCTGCACATCAACCACACACGGAAGCGCGGAGCTCTCTGCACCGCTGTACGTAGACCAAACCCCCGAAATGCAACTGGTGGAATTCACGCCATTTGCGCACCCGGCATGTCGTCGTTACGATAAGGAAGCCCGGGCCAACTTCATCGCGGAGAGAACAATGGACGGCCGTTTGCGGTACTAACACGACCGGCATCCGATCCGGGACTATCGAGTGGGGATCCAATAGCTACGAAGGAGGACTTGTCTGTCCTCTAGCTCCTCCAAATGGACGGGTTTTCTTCCCTGACACGGCATGTTTCCTCACCATGGCCTCCCTTGGTTCCGGTGATGGAGCGAAGAGCGATTGTTCCTGTTCTCAAAGTCTGCGGGAATAATTACAGTGTCATTCCTCACTCACAGGCTGCGTCAATTCTGAGCCGTAGACGATCTCATCGAAATTCCAACAGGGCCGAGCACCCTACGAGTGACAGCAAGGCTTAAAATGGCTTAGTTCAGGAACATACCCACTGACTCTGAAACTCGGTAGTGTTTCCTCGAAAAACAATGGCCAAGCCCGGGGAGGTGGATAAGGTGCGATTGATCGCTGGCACACTGGCTGCATTGTATCTTCACCTTCGATGGTGCCGAGAAAGGCGAGACGGGAAGGACCCAGGCCAACAAGAATGGTACGCGCACATGGCAGCGTGGCTTCTCCGTCATCTTGCTGGACTATTTCCCGCCGTCAATCATGGGTATGGCCTGTGCCAAAGCTGCGGCTTCATCTTTTAGAGTCCAGATGCGCAGATAGGGGCCAAGAAGCTCCCACTTCGCTGTAATAGGCAGCATAAGCCAACGCCATCTCAAAAAGAGTGCCCGATATGTCATAGTTCGCACCTGGGCATGAGGTTATCGTCAGGATGAAGCCTGTTGCGGCATCTTCTGTCAGTTGCCGTCTCCTGAAGTAGTTTTTTAAATCATGCGCCCGAGTAGCCTCCAGATTTTAGTGACGGCATTCGAGCATGGTAAGACCAGGCCAACGGTCTTGCGTAACCTCCGAATCATGGACACGGGGGAGGCACCATAGTCTATCGTTCCCTGTCGTCGATCTCCAAGGTCCAGATGGCCCTTCATCATCTTGATGCCAGCCGTACCCATCTGCTGCGAGAACAAAAAGTCGCCTGCTCGCAGACCCGAGCATATGGTCCCCGCCGCATCTCGACTCGTCCGTCTCCGGACAAGGTGCCGACGGAGCGAGCAGCAAGAAACAGGGCCGGAGACTCAGGGACCAGCCGGATAAGAGGACCGACATCTGGAAAAGTCGAGATCACGGTGCATCGTCCAATCTGTCACCTCTCATCGGAGGAATGGCGTCAGGCGATTTGCCCATCTCTCATGCATGCCTCGTTGATTCGGGGATGGCGCGAAGCGCGGTTTCCCGTAGTCGCATGGCCAAGCTGTGCCTGTCCCGTTCTATCAGTCACCTGGTGCTCTTTCCGCAGGCTCTAGATCCGTTCGCTCAACGATTGGCGGCTGGTCCGAAGTCCGAGCGAGCGAAGCTGGCGGCCAATAGTGTTGGAGAAAGAGGCTCTGCTAGACGTTGAGGCGTCAGTAAGCAACATCGGCTTGACAAGTCCGTTGACCGTCAACAGTTGCGGTGAACAGACACGGCCTCAGTCAGCCAAGATCGGATCCGGATAGTAAGTCTCGTACGCATCCAGAAGTTGCGAGGCGGTGATGTAGCACAAGACCTCTAAGTCGCGACCTGATCACCAAGGTTTTCGGAGAATTCAACGTCGCATCCTCTTTCAACGATCTCGGAAAACGTGGGTGGCTCCTGACGAATTGAACGGGCCCTGGACGGGACCCCGGCCGACGCTGCGTCGGCAGACGGCGGAACCTGCCGTTCCGGGATTCAACCGATGAAATTACCTAAGCGAACACGACCTCATCTTTCCTCGCGTGCGTGGAGCTTCAAAATTTTTGCTCACTCCCACTCTCAAACAAGCTCTCGATTCCCTGACCGCCACGCTTCCAAACCCTCTGACCGCAAAATCTCGGAGAGCGAGAGGATACAGCCATGGCGGCCCAGTTCGAGAACCTACCAGACGAGCTCAAGCTCGCAACGGCGGCTCATGTGAAGTACATCCAAAGCCTAGATACCCGCAAAGACGAGTACGACTACTGGCTGACGGAGCACCTTCGCCTCAATGGTCTCTACTGGGGCCTAACTGCGCTTCACCTGCTCGGCCATCCTGATGCGCTTCCCCGCGCCGAGACGATAGACTTCGTCCTCTCGTGCCGGCACGAGAGCGGAGGCTTCGGGGCCGCGCCCGGCCACGACGCTCACATGCTGTATACAGTTAGTGCTGTACAGATCCTCGTCATGATCGACGCCTTGGATGAGCTGGAGGCCCGCGGCAAGGGGAAGGCGCAAGTAGGCAAGTGTAAGTTGCATGCCGGCTCCCAACGTTCCTCTCATGAGACTGACATCTTGGTAGTTATCGCAAATCTTCAGAACCGCGAGAGCGGAACGTTTGCTGGTGATGAGTGGGGTGAGGAAGACACCCGCTTCCTGTACGGCGCGCTGAATGCCCTGTCGCTTCTCGGACTGCTTGATCTGGTGGATGTTGAGAAGGCTGTTACGCACATCGCTGCTTGCACCAACTTCGACGGCGGCTACGGTGTGAGTCCCGGTGCTGAGTCGCACTCGGGTCAGATCTTCACTTGCCTCGCGGCTCTGTCCATTGCTGGCCGGCTGGACCTCGTGGAGAAGGACAAGCTTGGCCGATGGTTGAGCGAGAGACAAGTGGCTGCTGGCGGTCTCAATGGACGTCCCGAGAAAGACGAAGATGTGTGCTACAGCTGGTGGGTGCTGAGCAGCCTGAGCATCATCGACCGTACGCATTGGATCGACCGGCAGAAGCTCATCACCTTCATCTTGAAATGCCAGGACACGGAACTCGGCGGCATCTCGGACCGGCCTGGGAACATGGTGGACGTATGGCACACGTTGTTCGGGCTGACAGGACTTAGCTTGCTTGGATACCCGGGAATGGTGGAGGTTGATCCGGTGTACTGCATGCCCAGGTCGGTGACCAAGAAGGCGCTGGGAAAGTGATGATGTCGGTGACGGACCTCGGGATACCCGTCGTGCCATTGGCGTCGCTAGCCGCGGCTTCCTTACCTCTTGCCATCTAATAACCTGCTAATTCCAATCTCAATGGTAGCAAGGATACAAGGCGAGAGAAGAGCGAAAGTGTTTGCTTTTTCATGGGCTGCGTTTTACCATCTGCGCTTTGCCCTGTGCTAGCCTTCAGACATACTCAGATACGGCTGCGGCCTTTCCAGCAAGGTCAGATACAATTCTAAAATACATCTTAATGATACCTCATAGAATCATTGTCATCGTGGACCACATTGCTCGCTATTCTACGTCGTGATGGGAGGGTGTGTTGTATTGGGGATTGATGCTTCGTAAGTGGGTGTTGCTTTGCCCTTCTCCATGCCAACAGACTATGATCCCCTTACGCCTCGGGCTGAAGAACAACAACAGCTAGCTACGCTTATTGATATCGTGGACCATGTTACTCGTTGGATACTCTACACGTAACGAGAGGGTATAGTAAATCGGCATTGTTGCTTCGTGATGGTTGTTTCTGCCCATCTTTTCCACGTCGGCAAACTACCACCACCTTAGCCCTCGGGGAAATATTAGCTGAAGCCCAGCAGACTCTTCTACCTTATTCTTCTGGTTCCATCGTCTTTTTTATTTTCTTTTTCATCTTCCCCAGGTGTGTGGGGGGCGATTGTTGTCGTCAATGGTCAAAAGAGTAAAAGACCCTGTGCGGCCCTTTCGACCTTACCTACAAGCCCAAAGAAACACAGGCTAATACCCCCAAAGAAGATCAACCAGCTGCTTGTAAGAACCTTGACGGACAACAGTCGTGAGCAGGATTGGTGCATAAAACACCATCTCGAACTGGGTCACGTGCCTGGGCCCTGAGGTGGTGGTGGTGGTGGTGGTGGTGGTGGTGGTTCGAAGACCGGTCTACAGGTCAACCTAGCGCGTCACGCTGCCTCTGCCCCTCAACACCACAACAACAAACCTCCTCCTCCTCTAACCATCCCTCACACTCTTTTTCTTCCCACCCAAGGCCTCACTTGGGTATTTCTCCCTCCCTCCCTCTCTCCCATCCACCACTGCTCTTCAGCAAACTCCCTGTTGAAAGAGGCAGTGTTCTTTTATTTTTCCTTGTTACAACACCAAGTTCCTCGTCACGACCTTGTTCCTCGTCATCGCCACTTGTTGAAGATTGACCTCGCCTACCGACCTGTACCAGATTTGCTCGACAGCTGCGCGCTCGCACAAACGCCTCTACACCTCCAGTTCAAATCGAAATTCCCACGCAAAGCAGAAGTTCTTCCTTACTTCTCCCGGCCCTCAAAGCAGTTGCAGAAGAAAAGATCCTGGTGTTGGATTTGGAGCAAGGTATGTGGTGATGGGTCTTTTGGGGCCTGGTTCTCTACTATTTTTCGTCTCAATCATTTTTCCCTCCTTCTTTCATCTGGCGGCTGTCTGTCTTGATGGGATGAAATTCGAATGGGATCGCACTGAAGACCGTCTAATCTGGATGGTCGCGATCATATGGGCCACCAAGTGGTAGGCTTCAGATGACAGACTGAACTTCGTCTTTACCATTGACGGGCTTCTACAGCCTTGTTTGGATGATCGTCAACCAAAGCCATCTGGACGGAAGAATCATGCCTTTCATCCCAGTATTTTCATCGTTTTGTCAATCACATTTTCCCACAGCACATCAAGGGGTCTTCATGTAGCCAATTTCTCTCTTGGTTCTTGTTAGTCTGTCTTTGGCACATTTGGATACCTAGGAAGCGTTCTACTGTGCTTCTTGGATGGGTTTCCAAGAGTACCGCGCTTTGGCAATGAGATTCAGGGGTGCATGTATTGTCTCCCGGTGTGGGAGGTTATACTGGCCTTCGTCCTCAGACTCCATGGATCTCCAGATCAAGGAGGTGTTGCCAGGTTTTCAAGGGGCTATCTCCTCGAATCTGAAAAGGGCGTGAAAGCATCTACTGCTTTGAACATCTTCCAATCAACACGACCTCAACTCAAGCTCAAAAGGGCACCTGCATCATTGTGGGCACTTTCAAGTGCTTCTGGATCTTGGTCAGGTAGCTCTCGCCTTTCTGGGCTGATTCTCCTGACTTGGTGAGAGCCACTGGGAATAGCACCCGCCTTGAACGCCTTGCTCAGGAAGGTGAATGAAGATCGTGAGATTCTTCTTGCTTTAAGAAGGGCAGAGACTCAGATCGTGGTGGACTCAGCCACGACTGGCTTCTCTTCTCCTTCCCTTGGCTTGGAGCCCTCCTCCCTCTCTTCCCCTTCTCCTTCTCTTCTTCTTCTTCTCTACCACCATCACCATCTTTTTGGTCAACACCAGGACAATTTTGGTCTACTCATACTGACCCTTCTGAATAGGGTCTAATTGATTCCTTGCATCTTATCCAGCATATATCAGCGACAATCGCCAGCGAGGCGCCCAATCCCAGGAGTTTTTGACAAGTTTTCGCGGACGAATCAGTCCTCATCCATAAGTACGCCAAACTTCCTTCGGACGAACACCGAGTACGAGGACTAACCGACGAAAGATTCTTCAGCCGAGGCATTCATTCCACAGCGAGAACTTCCTCGCTGCCTTCCTTGTGAGTTGGAACATCCCAAACCGAGAAGGAACGAGGCTTCTCGTCTACTTCGAATTCAGTGGAGAGCGAATGGAAAGGGCAGGAGGGACATCTGGAGCTTCACATACTGGTGCCATCTGGGTTCAACTGCTTCCCTTATGGGAATGCGCGAAGCCCGGGAAGCTGGGGTGCCTACCCTCTCTGGCAGCACAGTGTCCAATGTCTAGGTCGGCTCTGCTGCCCTGGGTCGTCCCCGACCAGTCAGCTGACAGTTTACCCGTACTGGACTTGGTCTGGAGCTCTTGGTGCTCTCTCCTGTTCTTTCCTGCATCGCACGAAGCTTCGTTCCTTCATCTTGAATCTGGTTCCAAATACTGACGATACGTGGCAGCTATCAAGCAGGATCACTCGTCGTCCATTCTTTCCCTTTCCTCCGATCTCACTCTCTGGTACTTCCCAGGAAATTGGGACGTAAGTAGCTATTATGGATAGTCTACTGCATCACTCTTTCCAGAATGGCGCCCCGTCGTCGAGCAGCTCTTGCTGCCCAGGCCGTAAGTCTCTCTTTCCCCAGAGCTGTTTTCTGTCCCTCCCAGACTACAACGTCATTCGACTTCATGTCATCCGTTCTTTCGTCGGATTCCCCGATTGCATCCCTTTCCAACGACAATCATTGTCTCGTCCCATTCCTCCTCCCACATGCCCTGCTCAGTTCGGTGGCATCTATTTGCTTGCCTTGCTTGAATCTACCTTTCCCGTGTTCTCGAGACCTCGAAACACCAGTCGTTCTTTGCCTTGATTCACTCCACCACATCGAGGAATTCCTGCCCTCTGGCTTTGCGTTTTGGTTACGACAGGACATCGGTTCCATTCTCCATCACACTCGCTTCAAATCTGGAGATGAATCGAGTCAGTCACGACTGGCTTCCAGAAACGCACTCTGCTTGACCTTACTAACCATGGACAGAACATGGCGGCCTTTGCGGCCCAAGACACAGAGGCCGACATCGAGAGCCCTGTCCCGGCGCCCAAGACGCTGAAGTCGGCCAAGATACCGAAGGCTGCGAACGCGAAGGTCTTGAAGCCATTGAAGAAGATCAAGCCAGCCAACGCCAAGGCTGACAGCAAGGGACCGGCCTACAAGCCCGCTCAGCGAAAGCAATCCGAACCCAAGAATCCAGACGGAAATCCAATCCCTCTTCTCTGCTGCGTTTGTCCCAGCACCCCGCGCTTTTCGGACGTCTCCCACCTTCTTACCCACCTGAGCTCCAAGGGACATCTCCACATCCTGAACACCACGAGACTTACCTCTTTGGCCGACTTCTCTGCTCTTCAGACAATCACAGACTTCGACAAGTGGTACGATGCCAATGGTCTTCACCAGCTGCTGGCAGAGCGTCTCAAGGCGGCAAAGGATGGAAAGGAGAGGGGCAAGCGTGCCGGACAGCCTCTGGTCCAGGTACACATACACCCCAGATTTCCTCGGTCGTTTCGGATGAGCTAACTTTTGCAGCCCCTCAAGAAGAAGAAGACCCTTGCATCGGTCAAGACCGAGATTGACGGCGATGCTCCTTGGACTCCGTCTAAGGCGAAGAAGAATGGCAGTTTCGCGCACCAGCAGGACATCACTTTCTACGGAGATCATGGCGAAACCTCGGTCATGTCACCCACCGAAAGTATTCCGGATAACACGGAGTATATTTCGGAGGCTATGCGACTCAAGGGTATCGTCTGGCCCGGCATGAGTCTGTTCGATGCTGCGACCCCGGAACAGAGGAAGAAGAGAAACCAGCGCAAGGACGCCTCTGTTATCCAGCAGATGAAGCTCGACTCTCAGGCCGTGACTTCGGTGGAGTTGGTAGCCAACCTCACGTTGGAGGTCGAGAGAACCCGTGATGTCTACGACGCACCATCTGTCGAGGGTACTCCGGTATGCAATTTCTTCTCGTTGTGCCTGATATGACACATGGATAAGCACTGACTACTTTCTCAGCCTGCCAAAAAGCCTCGGGGACGCCAGAGGCGTAACAACGTCGCCCGGGAAGAAGATCTTGGCAGTCCCGTCAAGCCGGAGCCAGAGTCGGATGATGAGCTCCCTAAGCAGACTACTCGCGCCAGACGGGGACGAGCCAAGAAGGAGTTGAAGGTGCAAGTCGCGGCCCCCGAGCCCAGCCCCTCCCCTGAGCCCGTCTACGAGTATCAGTCGGAGAGGTTCGAGGTTGCCAGCAACGAAGGTGCCAGTTACCATGGGTCCGAGACTGCCCCCAGTGCCGACACGAGCCTTGTCGCCGATATGACGGCTGATGTCGGCGGCGACGCTGACTCCGAAGACGAGGCCGAAGTCGACAGCTTTGATGCAGAGATGAACACCTCCGAGTTTGCGGAGCAAATGAACAACTTCACCCGTTCCTTCACCATCCCCGAGTCGGATGTCTTCCACGATGGTTCTGCAGGACGTAAGTCGCACGTTCCAGCCAGCCTTCTTCTCATACTGACCTGTTTGCAGAAATGAGAGCCCGTCCCGAGTACATGCAGCAAGCTAGGTCGGCGTATGGCCTTGGTCGAGAACTCTCTTTTGATACGGTATATTAATGTTCCCTCTTGTGCAGATTCGATCTCCGCAACCGCATTCCCCTCCAAGCGATGAATCCGAATTCGAGCATGAGCTTGGCCTCCCCTACCCCTGCTGCCAAGCAGCTTTCGTATCGAAACTTCACAGGACATGAAAATAACCTTGGCTTGCAGGACCAGGGACTTGGAAACCACAGTTACATTGGTGGCCCAAACACCCACTTGAATCAGAGAAGACTTCCCATGGGTACCATGAACAACTTCAACAACTACCCTCAGCCGCACTCGCCCGACATCGCCTACCAGCAAGACTACCCCAACCATTGGCTTCCCCTTGCCTCGCGTGGCCCGACCGCTGGATTCAACCCCATCAATGGTCACTCGAACCAACAGCCTTTCTTCGGCAACCACTTTTTCAATATCGCAGCCAACACCTTCGCCGACAATGACCATAGCCAGGCCATGAGCATGTTCAGAGATGGTGTCTGATATGGATGAGTCGTTGGCGACATTGCTGCGAGGGCGCCCAAGTGCGCCATGGATCATTCTCCGTTTTTCTCTTTCGTTTTTCCTTTTTCCTTTCAAGGGTAAGTTTTAACCACACCTTCTCATGGCCTGAGATCTTTCTAACCCAGAACAGCTGTTTGAGTATACCGACATGCTGAGGCATGCAGACGCGTTCGAGGGATGCTCTTCCACGTTTCACGAGTCATCCAGTTTCTCTGGGAAGCCGAGCCCGACTTCTCGTGGTTTTATAGATCAAGGACGTCAGGAACAACGGTATCTTTGGGACTGGAACGGCTATCATTGGGATGGCATGTCTCGAAGACATAGATGGCCACTGACATCGGTGGAACATATATACGGTGGTTCTTTGGCACAGAGTGCGAGACGTCGAGGCCTCGCCGACTTTTAGGACTTATCCTTGAGTATTTTGATTCGGATGCAGGGGACTATTCTTAGCCCGGTTTCGGCTCATCGAGGTGGTTATTTCGACCAGGTCATGCTGCAAAATGGTAGCTTGTTAGAGTAATAGAAGCCATTCATTATCATATCTTTTGGGTGTTTTGTACAGTGATGCTACAGCTGCTCTATGTTCGAAACCAAGTGGTCAAGCTGATCTGGATTGCTTTCCAATACATCCGAGAGAAGACGTGCAGTGCCCCTCAACCTCCGTATCCGTACATCCTGCTCCATCTCACGCGACTTTTGCGCAGCGACCTCGATGACCCTCCGAGGAATGCGAGCGAGACGAGCGACGTTCAATCCGTACGAGCGGTGCGCAACGCCCTCGCCGACTTCGTACAGGAACGTAATCTCCTCGTCGACACCGGCCTCGTCCTCCCCATCGTCGACGTCTTCCTTCCCGTCTTCCCCGGCCCTCCGTGTGGCTGTGAAGCGCATGTGGACGTTCTTGACGAGGCCGTTCCCGATGCCGTCGGCGAGGCGGGCCAGGTTCTGGTAGTGCGTGATGAAGAGGGTCAGGCACTTGTTCTCGCGGACGACGTGGTCGAGGACGGCGTGGGCGATGGCGGCGCCATCGTGGGTGGAGGTGCCCCTGCCGAGCTCGTCGAGGATGACGAGGGAGCGCGGGGTGGCGGAGCGGAGGATGCGGGCCGTCTCGGAGACCTCGACCATGAAGGTGGACTCGCCGGCGGCGAGGTTGTCGCGGGCGCCCATGCGGACGTGGATGGCGTCGGCGAGGGTGAGGGTGAAGGCGTCGGCGGGGACGAAGGAGCCGATCTGGGCGAGGAGGACGAGCAGGGCGACGGCGCGGACGTAGGACGACTTGCCGCCCATGTTGGGGCCGGTGATGAGGTGGGCGAGCGGGGAGGGCGAGGAGAGGGAGGTGGTGAAGGGGATGTAGGGGTCCGAGAGGGTGTGTTCTGCGATCGGGTGGCGGCCCTGGGCGATTTGGATCGTGGGCTGGGCGGGGGCGGCGAGGAAGGCGGGTTTGGTGTAGCCCGGGAGGGAGGCGACGCGGGAGAGGGAGAGGAGGCAGTCGAGGGTGGCGAGGGAGGAGACGGCGTCGCGGAGGGGCTGGTAGGCGTCTGCGATGTCGCGGAGGAGGGAGGTGAAGGCGGCGTCGCAGGCGGCGGCGAGGGCCTCGCGGTGCTGGTCGCGCTCCTGGATGAGGCGGACGGCGGTGGGGGTGTGGAAGCGGGAGAGCTTCTTGGTGCCGGAGATCTTGATCCAGGAGGCCGGGACGGACTTGAGGTCGGTGTTGAGGACCTCGATGAGGTACTCGATGCCGGAGACGGTGACGTAGTCGACTGGTTTCTTGCGCTTGAGGGATGCGGCGGCCTCGGCGCGGTGCTCGTCGAGAGATTGCTCGACGGAGACGATGCCCATTTTGTGGTCCTCAATGTCCTCGGTTTGCTCGGACTCGCGGAAGAAGTTGTACTTATCGTCCTTGCGGGCCGCTTCGGGGTTGATCTTTTCGAGGTGGGAGACGACGAGATCGAGGATCTGGGGGAGGGAGAGGACGGCGGAGGAGATGAGGGGGGAGGTGAAGCCTGTTTCCTCGGCGGATTTGACGGTCGAGTATTGCATCGCGATGCGCTGCAGGGTCTGGAGGACGGAGAGGAGTTCTGGGCGGGTGCACTTTCCGTAGTAGATGCGGATGAGGCTGCGCTCGAGGTCCGTCTTGATGCCGGACAGGAGGGTCTCGAGGCGGTCTACCTTTGTCGAGGATTGTTCGTCCAGGAGCTCCTGGACAGCGGCAACGCGGGCCTCGAGGCGGGAGACGTCGAGGAGGGGACGACCGACCCATTTACGGAGCAGGCGTTGGCCGAAGCGGGTAGTCGTCTTGTCGAGGGCCCAGAAGAGGGAACCGCGCTCGGAGTGGTCAGTGGCGTTGCGGTAGACCTCGAGTGATTCGAGGGTTGTTCCGTTCAGGAGCATGTGCTGGCGGGCCGAGAAGCTGGTGAAGTTCTTGGTGAGGTCGAAGACGTGCTCGAGGCCGTACTCCTGGAGGTGCGTGATCATGGCACTGAGGCAGATCGTAACCGGCTCGGGGAGGTGCAGGATCTTTTCCAGAAGAGCAGAGGCGGCCGCGTCAGGGGTAGCTTGCAGCTTGTCGGCGTAGAATTGCGTGACGTGCGAGTACGCTTCGGCGGCCATGGTCTTGGAACGAGGGACGCGCTCAACGCGGCTTCGATCGCCGAAGACGTTTGTGCTGCTTCCCGAAAGATGCTGGATGAGCTTATCGGAGCCCTTCGTGAGGTCGCCCACGATGACGAACTCGCAGGGTGAGATGTGCAGCAATCGAGTCTCGATCTCGCTCCGCATGAAGCCGTCCTCGAATGTGTCGTAGATGATGTCTCCCGTCGTTGGTTGCACGGCTACTATGCCGACCTCCACCTTCTCATCCGTCCCTTGCCCCTTGGTAGGCAATTCGGTGATGCACAAGAGGTAGCCCCCTGAAGGAGCACCTCCGTCGCCAGAGGTCTCCAGCTCTCCGTTCTCGTCAATGTATGTACCCTTGGTGTAAACGTTGGTCAACTTGCGGACGAACGGCGCGTTGCGGTTGTCGCCGGCCTTCTTCAGAGCTGCAGTCTCGATCTGCCGTACGACTCCGACCTTGTGTCCCGCAGCAACCAGTCGCCTGGCGTGGACCGGTAGTCGATGGACCGGAATGCTTGCGGAAGCAAAACGGTCCCAGTGCGCCTCCGAGGGGTGCTCGTCATAGCGGTACTTGCCCGGGATGCAGACGATGCTGAGCTCCTTGGCCGCGATGCGTGCGTCCTCGCCGAAGAATCTGAACTTGTAACCGACCTCGACGATGAGGACGGTGTCGAGGTGCTTGCGCTTGATGTCGAGGAATTGTATCTCCATTGGCGTGAGCTTCTTGCTCGCTCGGGCGCCGCCCTTCTTCGCTTTTGGTGGCGGGGGTGCTTCGTCCTCATCCTCGTCTTCGCCTTCTTCTCCCTCGCCAGCGTCTTGTTCTTCTTCCCGGTGGCGCCGGCGTAGCATGCTGTCCGGATGTCCCAATTTCCTCACGAACTTCTTGTGGAGATCCTCCTTGTGCTTCTTTGTATGCGGGTCGTCATCGTCTTCTTCATCATTCTCGTCTGAGCCCTGGCTGTAGACGAATCGTCCTGTCCTACTTCCAGACGCAGATGCCTTCGTCCTGGGCTCGTGATCGGCTTCCTTGCCAGCGCTGGAGAAGAACGAGCTCTTTCCCTCATCCGTGACATCCTTCTTCCCTGAATTAGTGCTTCTTGACCGCTTGTTGGCATTTTCTGATCCATTGTTCCCCTTTTCCGCGTCCTCCTCTAGCGGCCTCTTGCGCGAGCTCTCCGGCGACTTGGGCGGACTGTTCTTGGCCTCGGCCTGCGACTTCTGGAATGCGGCGGCGAGTCCATTGACGGTCTTGGGCTTGAAGAAGCTCGTCAATGATTGCTGCTGCTTCTCGGGCGGTCTCGATTTCGGCGCCATGGTGAAATGGCGGTTTGTTCGCGAAACTGACGCTGGGTGGTTCTTGCGGACTTTCGTAGGAAGATTTCGGTGATGTCAATTGGGAGGGCGACCCCGTCTCGTCTCGTCCCGTCGCGTCTCGCAGGCGTGAGCGCGTTGAGTGGTCCCCACTGAAGCTGGGAGCTTACAGGGGTTTGGGCCGCTAAATCTCCAGGGATCGAGCCTCCCCGGTTTAAACTTTCTTTTTACAACATCACAGCCACACGGCGGTATCTTTCTGGCACAAGCGAGGCAAACGTGTTTGTCAATCACGGACGTTGCGCCGTTTTACCGCAGCTCCTTGTTCTAACTTTAGTCTCTCGCGGCTAATTCTATTGGAAATATTCGAGAAAGATAAAAGCACCCTGTTTGAAAGAATCCTTGAAAGCAACGACTCTCAAGCCAGCAACCATCGGAAACCCGCTATGGTGTCCTTCGCAATCTTCTTGCTTGCCTCAAGCTGCGGGAAAAGCGCCCAAAATCCGTGCGGCTGGCCCGGGTATATGTCCAGCTTCGTCGGAATGCCGGCGTCTTTCCAGACCTGGTCCATGACGAGGGTGCAATCCCTCAAAGGGTCCAGTCCGCATGCCTGGAAGTACGTATTGGGCATCAAACTGCCAAGGTCCGGTGCTAGGATGGGATAGGCGACAGGGCTCTTGGGATCCGGTTGGTATTTGCCTGTCGTACTGTCAGCTCCGGAGTGCTGTGTATCGTCAAATGGTCTTACTGATGATGAGCTTCAACGCCTCCTTCGTAAGGATGGGCGCGTGAGCGTTCTGCTCCATGCTGAGAAAGTGATCTCTGTACTTCTCGGGAACTGCCTCCTCGTTGACTGCGAGGGACACGCAAGAGAAGACACCTGTCAGCGGAGGCGTCGTCTGCTCCTTTCCCCAGAGATAAGCAACACCGAGGGCCAGGTCGGCGCCGGCGCTCTCACCGCCGATGATGAAGCCCTTCTGCAAATTCCCGCCCAGGCTCTTTGCGTTTTCGACCGTCTGGACATCAGTCAGCCAGTTGAGCTACATTCGCAGAGGGAATGGCTTTTACCCATTTCACCGCATCGAAGCAGTCGTTGACGGGGATGGGAAACGGGTGCTCCGGAGCGAGTCGATACTCCACGTTCACCGCGATGCCTCCCACGGAGGTGAACTGCCGGCAAAGCGGCGATTGTTCCTCGACGGATCCTACGAGCCATCCGCCTCCGTGAAAGCCCACGAAGACGGGACAGCCGTCCGCAGGTATATCCCTGGGCTTGTGGATACGTGCGACCAGAAGAGCACCGTCTCTCACCGGGATCTGGATGTCCTCTTTCACGTACGGCAGGTCTGACACGTCCGGTGCTGCGGCGCGCTTCATGGCGTGCACTTTGGCAATCATTTCCCTGAGTTGATTGATATCAGTCTCCATCGTCCAACCGCCCACAGGGACTGGATTGGCTTTTATGGCCTACGATACAGGTTAGCCAGGTAATCGCAGAGTGATCATCGGTTGCGTTACCTCTTCCCACTCAGGGGAGGGCGATCCGAGGGCGAGGGTCTCTTCGATGGACAACATGATAATTCTCAAATCTCACTTATACGGCCGAATTTGGTTTAAGTAGCAAGCGATGTTGATGCTCAAAGAACGACAATGCTCAACGAACGGGATAGCAGGCGGCAGAGAGGGTATCTTATATGCCGCGGGACGCCTCCGAAACTGTTTGACAGTCCAGCTCAGCGCTATCACTGGCCGTATGCAAGACATTCAATGATGATTCAACAAGACCGAAACACATACCCTTTCCGAAAGAGCAACGTCCTAAACTAGTCAAGCCTGAAGGGTGACCACTTGTACATGAGGTACGGTGTTGGAGGAGCACCACCCATGTGCCCTTTCCAAGTACATTTTCCTAACCTGGTAACATACGAGCGCGCCCGATCAAGCAGCACCAATCTTGTGCTACGACTGTCATGCAGGCCGGCCAGGCTTGTCTCAACCGGGATTGTCAAATCGGATAACTGCACAGCTGACGCCGGTCCGCAAGATAGGCGGGGGGCCCCGGAACCCGTCCGACCCACGGCGCAGCGGGGCCAATCGGGGCATGCAATCCGTACCACCACACCGCGGGAGGACCCTCTCTCCCGCCTCAACGTAGATACCTACTGTATCCGTTCTTACGAGCACCTTCGCTTACACCGCAATTGTTCTCAGGATACAAACAACCCACGGCCTTGTTTGGGGATGTTTGGTGTCCCAGGGAAACTTATCTCGAGACCATATTACGATAGGAAAACAATGTGATATATTTTGTTTGTTTTTCGGCGCCGTTTACTCCGTAAAATGAGCCATTCCGAGTCGCAAACATGACGTTGGCTCCACGTGATTTGTGAAAGGCGTGATTGGCCCGATGCCGAAAGCTTCCCGAATGACAAATGCGACGGCCTCGGTGACGCCAATAGTAAAAAAAAAGTGGACTGAGGTCAAAAGATTAAACCCATCCTTCCGCCGCGACCCGGATCGCAAGACGCATCCCAAGCTGACAAACACTCGCTACACGTCCAAAATGGCCTCCCAAGCTTGCGAACTGCGTAAGGAACTCCCTCGCGACAATGCGCCTCTGCTCAATTGCTAATAAAAGCCCGTTTTGCAGCCTCCGTTTCCTCGCCGGCCGCTGCCCCGGCTGCCGCCGCCGTTGACCAGCAGGCTTCGAAGCCCAAGGTGCGCAATTGACGACAAACATTCCGGACCCGCGACACGTGGCGCTTCGAGCCCCTGCTGACGATCCATCGCGAATAGCCCTGCTGCGTGTGCAAGGAGGAGAAGGCGAAGCGCGACGAGTGCATGCTCTTCTCCACGGCCGCCGACCCGGCCAAGGACTGCCTGTCCACGATTGACCAGTACCGGAGCTGCATGAAGGGCTTCGGCTTCACGGTGTAAGGGACGGTCGAAACGATAATAGAAAGGGGGCGAACCACCGATGCGACGATACATGTACAGTACGACCGAAGCATAACCTGGCGTTGGGGAAAATAAAGCACCATCACGACTCTGTTACGAACACGCGATGCCATGTACGTTGGATTGTGCGCTGTTACTGGTATGTATGTGGTACGGAAGGGGGGCTACGCTATCTTCGCTGTGCTGTTTCCAACCCCGCTTCGTGACATCCGTTGCGTAGCAATCCTGCTCGACGACAGTGCGATAATGACCGATCCGATCTCACAACACCCGTCCGCCCTCGTCGCCCCTGGTCCTGTCGGTTCCGCTGTTGCGGGCATTGGGTATCCTCTGGCATGTATTACGGTGAATACTACCCGGACGCACGACCGAACCTTTCTCTTAGGATAGCTTCTCCTCGAGATAAGAATTCCGCCAGGCTGTCTTTTGTATCCCCTTGAGAGAAGGAGGCAGACCGCACGCGTGCTTGAAGAAGAGGGCGATTCAGGAATGGGGTTGCTGTGTAAAAGACGTAGGAGTATCTCATTCTGCACTGGCGGTTTCGTCGGAGGCTGAGTCTGCAATGTTCTATGAAGCGAGTGTAGAGGCGTATCCTGTCGAGGGTTTTCCCGGTGGCAATCTCTCTCAGCTTTTCGAACTCGTCAAGGCGTTCAGAAAGCTGGCGTTCCTACTCCTCCATCTCGAGCTCTCTTCTTGCCATGGCGCCGTTGACGTATTCCCAAGCAATACCTTGGCTACCGTTCTCGAAGATCTCTCTGCATATTCGGTGGAGAAAGTCGAACTGGTATTCGATGAAGGCTTGCTGCTTTCTGATGTCCTGTATTGGGAGTGTCAGACTGTAAGTGTAAGCCAGATCTGAGGACGTTGAAGTACTCACTCGCATGTTTTCAGGAACAGCGATCGCGCGGGTTGCTGCGAAGGCATCCTCAAAGTTGACGGCCATGTTGATACTTGCTGCTTTTTTGATACTCTCCTACAAAGATGCGGATGGTAGGATATTGGGCCAAAATTCCAAAAAGAATGTTGCGGAGTCTGGACGTCGTGGAATACTCAGAAGACAGGGAGAAGTGGCTAGGTGTTATGGAATATTTAAGAGACGAAGAAGAGTGACTAGAGGTCACGGAAAACAGGAGATGACCTTCCTGCTTCCAAGGAGCACAGTTAGGAACTTGGTATGTGGAGAAAGGGGAAGCATCGGATGGGAGTCAGTCCCTGGGAAGGCGCCTTTGAAGGTTGAGGCGGCACCGTTTCTGCCCTCCATCTTGGATGGGGAGGAAGGTCCTATATGAACTCCAACCCTTTCGCCTAGAAGGCGCCTCTCGGTAGGAGGTCAGGTCAGACTGGATAGTGTGGTCGCATGAGGGAAGTGGTCCATTACCCCCCATTGCCTAATCGATGACAGGCTACCGTACCTGAGTTCGAATCGATAAAGCGCCAGACATCTGGCTCCCACACCGAGTCGACAGTGGGAGTGAACTCTTTTGCTATTTGATTCTGCCTTTTTTAGTTCTCTCTTCAATGTTTCCTAAAGCCAATACGATCATGTTAGTATGATCTAAGTCAGCTGTATCATTCATTACTCTCGGTGCTTTTGCTACGTTCCTGTTGTCGTGATGCGTTGTTGATGTTTGGTGTGGGCCTCTAACAACACTCGGTGAGCTCGGTCAAGTGACTGGTCCGTGCTGCAAACTGAAAGATGCAGGGATGCGCCACATTCCAGTCTGGACCCCACTAAAATTTTCTGCGACTGGATCCCTCTGTGCATCTTATCGCACCTCGAAAACTCCCATCCCCATCCAAGAGGTCACCACTCCCGTCGCCAAACAGCAAAGATGGGTCTGGCACAGCAGAAGACGTAAGACACGCTATTTGCTCTCGATCGTGACAAGTGACAGTTCATTAACTTCGTAATTTGCAGCCGCCGCAAGATCGGCAAGGATCCGAACAACACGAAATGGACCAAGGACACCGACTCCTTCGGCCAGAAGATCCTGCGATCTCAGGGTTGGGAGCCTGGCCAGTACCTCGGCGCCAAAGACGCAGCACACGCCGTGCACCACACCGCCGCCAATGCCTCCTTCATTCGTGTCGCCCTCAAGGACGATATGCTCGGCCTCGGCTTCAAGCAAGCCAGGGATGACAGGGTCACGGGCATGGACGTCTTCGGCGACCTGCTGAGCCGTCTGAACGGCAAGTCGACCGAGGCTATCAACAAGGACCGCCAGACCCGCGCGGCCCTGCAGACCACGCTGTACTGCGACAACAAGTTCGGCCCTATGCGGTTCGTTAGCGGCGGCTTGCTTGTGGGCGAGGAGATCAAGAAGGAGTCCGAGGAAGAGCCGAAAAAGGAAGAGGATAAGGACGACGTCAAGATGGAGGATATCCCCGCTGCGGAAGCGTCCGGCAAGAAGTCGAAGAAGCGCAAGGCCGAGGAATCCAGCGACGATTCATCAGAATCATCCGAGGACGAGAAGGCTCGGAAGAAGCGCAGGAAAGAGGAAAAGAAGGACAAGAAGCGCAAGTCAAAGGCCGCGAAGGAGGACGCATCCGACGATACCCAAGAGAATACGGACAAGAAGGCGAAGAAGGACAAGAAGAAGGACAAGAAAAAGGCCGACAAGGACAGTGACGCAGACAGCTCCGACGACAAGGCGTCCAAGAAGAAGCGCAGGAAGGAGAAGTCTGAGTCTGAAGAAACCGATGCCGACAAGGCTGCGAGAAAGGAAGAGAAGAGGCGGCGCAAGGAGGAGAAGCGTGCCAAGAAGGAGGCGGCTCGGGAGTCCTCGTCGACACCGGCGACATCAACGCCAGCAAGCGGTACTTCGACACCGGTGCTGAGAGGTCATCACGCAGTGAGGTCACGGTGGATCGCGCAGAAGAGAATGGCGACTATGGACGACAAGGCGCTAAACCAGGTATGTTGTAATCTTGATCGCTTTGACGCGCCCTTCGCTAACCCGACACAGATTTTCATGATCAAGTCACAATCATGAGTAGAATATACAAAATAGACGTTTTAATGACAAGTTGTTCCTCGGGCATTCATTTTCTTCAACGCGCCAAGTCGGGAGTTGGCTGTGCACTAGGCGATGCTTATGGATCGCCAGTTTTTTGTCACTGTTGGGAAATACCATGTCTTTTGGTTCAATTGCTGGTCTCTCTGACCCAGCCCTACGTTATTTTGGGGTCCCTCGGATGGGGAGGCAAATTATGCAAGACCATCTCATAAATCTTACTTGGTGGAGCGATGCTGCCTACCAGTCAGCCTCATGGGATTCCGTCAAACTAGCGCCTGCCTGTCGCCCGATTTGTTCGTGAGACGGCAGGCAACTGATACTTTATTAGCACCAGCGCCCTTATTTTAGAAGCCAGTGTCCTCACCTCGTCCAGCTGTCGACATCAACCTCACTTTTTAGTTGTTCGCTTCCAACATCTAAGTTCTTCGACCACGATTCTGCACCGAATTCACGATTGAAACGACAGCGATGACTTGGCAGCCGCCGAAAGACAACCCAGGCCCCCATACAGAAAACATGTCTTCATCGACAACCACCCACCCAGCAGCCAGCCAAACAACTACCAAACACGCACACGACGCATTCATAGGCGGCCCCAAGCCCATCCAACTCCACCACAGCCGCCTGCAGCACTGGCTCGTGACCAACATGGTCTGCTGGCTCATCATCCGGGCCCTCGGTTCCGGCAAGGCGACGGTCTCGCTCGACGCGCAGCGCACCATCGGGATGACCGCGTGCATGTGCTTCTTCGGCTCGTTCCTCGGCGTCATCGTCATGGCCGAACGGGTCTGGCCGCGGACCTTCAACGTCCGGGGGATCGGGGGCATGGCCGTGTTCGCGCTGATGATGTCCTCCGCCATTGGGGGCAACGGCTGGAACAACTGTTGGCACCGCATCTCGTTTGCCCTGAGCGGCTGGTACGTCGGGTATGTGCTCGAGACGGTGACGGGGGTCTTCGGCATGTGTCTGCAGAGCCTTGCAAATTCTGGGGAGGAGCCGGATCCTGAGGTTGTTAAGGCCAAGGCGGCTAAGGAGACGGCAGGGACACGGGGGGAATAGGGGTTGATGGCGGAGAGTAAGGGATTCTTGACGCATTCATGGCTTCGGCATAGGGTAGGAGAGAGGCGTAAGGGTGACCTATACCATTAATAAGTGAGGTTCTTATTATATACGATATATCAGAATGACATCAAATATCTTTCGTTCCAACACCCTACTACGAAACCTCAAAAGTGGAATAAGACTACGTAACACCCTGTTAAAGTCGATCTCTAAGGGTTGTTGTAGGCCACGCAGAGAAACAAGTCTATTGTCCAAAAAGAAAGGATTCTCGCAAAAGAAGGCAAGCTGGACAAAAATGTTCAACCCCAGGTCGGGATCGAACCGACGACCGCCAGCTAGCTGTCCCGTCAAGGGTTGCAGGCTGTTGCTCTACCTCTGAGCTACAAGGGCATGTTGAATCAACTGTTGATTGCAGAAGCACTCGGAAACGTTATGACTGATTACCGTTGAACTCATCTGTCGTGACTCACTCAGGGGTGTTGGTCATGGTGGCTGGCCAAGCTCGCGTCTGACCGCGGATACGGCCAGCTTGCTTCCTTCCGCACCGCCCCTCGCTGGTTACGTACGATTTGAGAAAAACAACCTTGATGACAGCAACGAAGTATTTGACTCTCTGTGTTCATCGAGGACCAAGAAATACGGTTGTGTTTAAAATTGTTCTCCTGACTTTCACAATGGAATTACATGCCTTTTCAGCGCAGCTACTAGAGGCCGTCAAAACCACGGCCAATCTCTCCGTAGACGTCGGAGTAGCCGTGAACCTCTTCTTAAAAGTCCTATGCTTCCCAGTCTTTGGAAAATACGGTCTTTTGCTGGCTGTGTCCAGTCTCGTCATTATCCTCTTACAACCGAACTGGGTTTCTAGAGTTGAGCTGGGCCGTGGCGCTCGGCACCCCAGGCGTCCTCTACCAGCCGGGTACCTTACCCAAGGGTGCCCTACGTATTTATCACTGAACGTCAATGGAGACAACTCAAGAACGATAGGAAATGTGAAGCTTGAGGAGGGCTCGCGGTTGTGGTTGAGCTTCTTTCTCCCTGTGACCTTTGCGGTTTTCGCGTCCTCAGCCACGATGCCGTACAACCTTATTTCGACAGTTGAGACCGGAGATACTCTAGTTTCTCAGCGGAAGACGCGTTTTCAAAGGCGTTGAGCTAACAACAACGGAGAAAGGAGTGATATGGTTCCCACTGTAGGATCGAATAGGGTGGTCAGTGGCTGGTGCATTATACGAATGATCTCTTCACAAGCACCCAAAGCGAAATGCGACAGAGAAGACGGAGAAGATCTCGAACATAATCTGCCGCGACCCAAGATCCAACAAGGTCTTCCAGGAGAGTCAGAGTAGTCCACGATTCGACCCAAAATGGACTGCGTTTGAGGGAGCCTTGCGTCCTAAGGATAACCCATCAGGCTCTGCGTAACCCTGTAATCTTCAAAGTCTATATCCTTTACCATTCCTGAGAAACTGCGTTTGTCTCTTGTAGACCTTTCTCCGTCACTGCAGAGTGATTGCCAGCACCGGAGATGGGTTCACAATTCTCATAAATGACCGGGAATCCCACCACATCTGGAGGAGAACTCTGGTAGAGAATCAACAAATTTCGGATCAGACCCAACCGAGTTTCTTCTTACACGCCGAACTCTCCCAGCAAATACAACACAGGTCCAGCTATACGCTCGACCACACTTATACAACACTTTCCACGCAATCTGGTCCGGCTGCGTGCTCGACCACAATCTTATAGTACTTCCCACGCAACCTCACAACCATGCCCGTGGATATTTCAAAACAAGTCCGCTACTGGCGTGACCGCTCCCCCTACCCCGGAGCCTCATCTTCTCACCATTCCCGCAACTCTACAGAGACAAACAAGCCCGTAGAGCCCGTTCAGCCATCAACACGTACTCGCTCTTCCGAGTACACGCGCAACGCCACTCATCAGCATGATTCCGAGGGCTTGGTAGTCATGGCTTCGTATTTCCAGGACAAGAGAGACCCCGAGCCCGTGGCGACCTGCGAGCCGCAGACCAACACCCCGATGAACAGGTCCGTCAGCTGGACCCCGGAATCCTCGCCCGCGCACCAAAAGGCCATGAAGGAGCGCGTCCGCTCCGCGAGATCGAGGACCCTGCCGTCGCAGCGCGAGCAGGAACTCCACAACAAAATAGTCCGGGTTCTTTCCGCCTCGACCCAGACTCATCCCGACGCCAGAAACAGACCTCGCTTGAGAATCGAAATTCCTGAGAGACCCGCAAGCAGAATCGTCGAGCAGACGGGGACTCAGATCGAGGACGGCATCAGAGCCCCCCATACCACACCCACAAAAGCGTGGATTCAGCTCGATGATGGCATTCGAAGCCCTCGTATGGTCGAGATAGATCCGAGCTCGTATCGTGGCGCCTCGTTCATGACGGCCATGGTGGTGGAGCCGGAGCAGCTCGACTGTATGCCTCCCCTGAGGCTGGGTTGTCCTGCCATCAGACCATTCGGGGCATCTTTCCAACAGGTCTCGAGTCACAGCAACGGTTCCTCGCCTGAGAGTTCAAAGGACGACGGCCGTAATTCTTCCGCGGAAGAACAGGATACCCGGAGTGAAGACTCGTTTACCTTCGTGGACGATGTTAGCACGGATGGCGAAGGCGTTCAACTGGTTGACGAACTCGGAAGCGGAGAGAGTAAGGATGAGGAAGAGGATGAGCACGAGGCTTACGAGGAGGATTCCGAAGCCCATCAGCAAGAAGCTGATGAGGAAGAATCCGACGAAGAAGACGGGGACGATGAGGCACAAGACGAGAAGATGGTCTGGTACCGCGCTGACCCGTGTTGCCGTTGCGACAACTGCTGCCCCATCAAGCGCATGGGCAGACCGCGGGACCGGTGTCTCAACGCCGAGAGGGTCCCCCTTAGCGACGCGCTGAGGAGGGAATCCGACATGAAGTACAATCTGGGACTCAAGGTGTTCTTGGGCATCTTGGTTGTGCTGTTCCTGGTGCTCGGCGCCAACTTCCACTTGGCCAGCTGGGAGAACGCAATCGCTAAGGGCAAGTACTGGCGGTCAAGATCGTAGGGGTTGGCACCCATGTACGGTACCTGTGTATATGGCGCCTGCATAGACGTTGCACGTACATCATAAGTTACTCGTATATACGTTGCATGTATGCAAGCTGCCTAGCAAATGAGGTATATTGTAGCCGTAGAAAAATGTGCTTGAAATTGCTCCAGTTCCCGATCTTCCTTACGCCGTGCTCAGTTGAAACGATCCATATCTACAAAGGGTATAAGAAAATGATTTGATCTCCCGCCGCCGAGTATGCCAAACATGAGCTTCTTCAATGACGCCGTGCCTTTGTATATCTCCAGAGCAAGCTCGCACCCTCCAATGCGGGCATCACCCGCGGCCGAGGACTTCCGGGCTGTCCTTTCTCCACCAGATGCATAGACCTCTGAAATCTTCGTCTAAATCGTCGCCAGTCATCGTTGGTCGGCCATGATTCGTACATATCCGACTCGTCCTCCAGGTCATCTTTGTCGAAACAGTCATCTTTGTCTTCGTCTATGGCCAGCGGGTAATAGAGGAACTCGTTCGAGTGCGGGTGACGGGGTTGCGTATAGTTGAGATGCGACTCGATGTCAAACTTGAAGCGATATCCCTGGTGAACCTGCTGCGGGCGCAGTGCACCCAGATTGTTCGACTGTGGTGCCGAGTATGGGTAGTGGACGTCAAAATCGAACTGGAACTCCTGATGGACGACGAAAACCAGCTTCCTCAACCTCGGGAACTTTGCTAGGCGGGCCAGCAATGTCGCCATATTCGTCTTGGAGACTTTCCAACTGAGCACGGGATGGCAGATCCCGGTGTACAAGCCGTACGAGGTTCCGAACGCAAGCCGACTGAGACTGTCGCGGACGAGAGGGATCTGGCTGAAGAAGTGCAGTGTTCGGAGCAAGCGCTTGACCAGCAAGTACGGCTCGAGCAGGAGGATATCGCGCGACAGATCGACATATTTCGTGGTGACCGAGAGAGTGAGGGGTCTGTAGCGCTGCAGCACAAACACCCTCGTCTCGTGGCAGACGGCACCCAAGGCCGGCGGGGGTTCATCGCGAACATTTGCGAACATGAGCCCCGCCGCAGCAGGCGTTCTCTGGCTTGCATTCGGGGCGTCCATGACTTCGTACACACGAGATTCGGGCAATGCGTATTCCCAAATCATCAATCGAATTTCCACCGGCAGCTTCATGACGGGAAAAGGTTGTCCGCTCCGTGCATGCCCGAGGGACTGCTTCTTGTAAGTCGGGAAAAGGTTCGCCATGATGATCGTTGTGTGACGCTGAGGCCGGGTTGCATCGCAGCAAGAGATCTTCAAGGCCCTGTAAAGCGGTTTGCGAACCTGGCGGGCGATCTTCTTTAAGGCTGGATGATCTCGGCTGGGGAAGGTCGAATGATCGGCGGGTCCAATCACTTGGACTGCGACCGCACGAAAAACGTTCTGGCCAAAATATCAAAGACGACGCCGCGTCTGCACGAAGGATTGGAGTTGAAATATAGGACCGAGATACCCACTCGTTTAACGTTTCGACTAGCGGCCCGAGAGATCTCGCATAGATGAGGGAGCGAGTTTGTTTCGAGGATCCGCCGGGATAGAGGTTCTAGGTGGGCGGCGCGAGATGTATGTTTGAGACCTGACAACTCCCCCAGGTTGATGACCGGGACGATATAGCAGCACCAATCGGAGAACAAAACGACGTGAAGCGGGCAGTTTCGAGCCCTTGGGCGAAGCAGCTCCCGATTTTGCAAGGAAGAGAGTGAAACGCAAAGGAGAAGGCGAGCCGAACTCCTACCTGAACGGCGGTGGGAATGTAAGCTGGTTTTGTGAGCTGTCCGGAGGCTCCCCATCACACTGGTGAAACTGGGGCTAGTCCCGATCATCTGATGGCTGTCAGTTTGGACATTTGGTCTAAAGGCATGGTCATCTACCGTCCCTGCGGTGCCGTTAGTGGACAAAAGCAACGTGGGATGCCACGACGGTACGCCGCAACAATGGAGCTATTGGGCGCCATGACTGCCACATCAGGTAGTGGTGCCGGCAGTGAATGACGCGCTGTTGTCAGAGCGGGCGATGCACCCTCGATATCCGGCGAGCTTGGGGCTGGGCAAGCAGACGAGATTTACTACGTGAAAGGGGTTTCCGGGCGTCTGACGAGAGGGAAGCGCATTCCATTGTTGGGAAACGCATTCGGCGGACTGGGCGTCTGGATTCGTCGGGAGGCGCGATGCACACGGCGCGGAGTTCTAATTATGGCACTTGGCCGAGGCATGCGGTATGTAGTAATATTCTGGCGACGGGTTTCGTGATCCCATCAGCTGGTGATGGCCAGCGAGCTGCCGATGATTGGAAAGCAGTCGGGTCTTCTTCCATCATTCGAGCCCGTTGTACGGCATAGCACGGTGCCGGACTGCCACGCTGCTGCAGGGTGACCGCAGCGTTCCAACGAGATGGCAGATGGGTAAGGTGCCAAGACGTTGGCCGGGGGTAGGGTCGGGGAAGTGGTGGCATCGGAAGAGGGGCGGGTGGCCGTCGCGAAGAGCTCGCCGAACTTGACAAACGGGCGGAGGCCAGGGAGGCAGAGGGGCTTGTCAGGTAGGTTGGACCTTGTCTGATACGGGCCGGATATCGGTTGCTGGAAACTTGGGTCGGAGAAACAATACGAATGCGGACAAAGAAGTTTGGTTTAAGCATATTGCTCTGCTCCTGGCACCTCCTCGCAAGTCGCAACTGTCCCCTGGGCCCCCTTCGTGGGTTCACCTCAATCAACTTGAAAAGGGCAGAACCAGCCACTTGACGACGTTGCGTGACCATTTGGTCAAGTCTTCCGCTCATCTGTCGCATTTTAACCCCTGCGCGGCCGGCCAATCCCCTCCAAAGGCTTGCCTAGACCCGTGGCAGGAGTCAGCCCTGGTCGACATGTTGGTTCCGCTTGTTGCGTAGCCCGGGATGCGCATGTTTCGTTCGGCGGTTGGCGAAAGGGGGGGGGAAGAAGCTAGGCCCACGCGATGGCTTGAGGTCTGAAGCAGAAGATGGTGTGTTCATATGGTGCTGGCCGTCAGCGTGGGCGACTTTGGATGACGACGGGGGTCATCTAGTTGGCTCAAGACCGATATGCTTCTCGTCGCACACTGAGTGAAAAAGTGTGGGGACGGGCGTCGGTGTGGATGCAGCCGGGACTGCAGGCGCACAGACCAGATCCAGGTCAGACAGGATGACCTTCGGCAGAACGGTTCTTCCGTAGGGCTTGCATTAGCGCGGGTCGCCCCACCCGCGGCGACCGTGCTGCGACGGGTTGCGATATAAAAAAGATTTTTCGAGCGCGAATCTGACGAAGACTTCCTTTTTTCTTCTTTTTTTCTTCGTGCGGCTGGCATGATAGTTTACAGTTTCCCCTGTTTGCTCAAATCCCATAATCAATGGATTTCATAGCGTCAATCATGCCCCAGATCGAATTTAATTGCAGCCTGCCTTTCTTCATTGATCCTGATGGTCCTTCACCAACTGGATCGCGTTTGAGAGGCCGGACATACCACGACTTTTGAATAAAATTTTGAGACGGGGGATCACGAGTAGCAGCATATGAGGAGCGTTCATCTTCTCTCAGGTTCAAGCAGCTTGCTCGTTGCCAGCGATAGGCGCTTCCATCTCGACGACTACGCGTCTTTCCGAAGTGATCTCCCATGTGAAAAGCTTTCGGTTATGGAGCTTTTGGTCACTGAAAACTGAAGAATCGCGAACGCAGCTCCTGGTCATACTCGAATTTTAATGCTTCCTGCGCGGCTAGGTACTCGGGGGGAAACCTCTATGGCTGTGGTTCTATTCATGTCTCATTGCGTGGGCATCGCGGGAGATTTTAAGGCATCTCTACCGGTGTATTCTGAACCATGCGCACTCTACTCTCCGGCCTCGTCGCCGATCTTCTCCAGCTTGCCCATCTCTCTCTTCTCTCCAGACTCGCCGATCAGGCGCACTCTGTCGAGACGAACCTTCTCGCCGTCGCCATCGCCCCTCACGACGTAGATAATCAAGCTGTTGATGTTCTGGAACTTGACGAAGCGAAGACCAATGTTGGCCGTTCCGTCGTCGTTCCAATCCTTGTCGGTGAGAGTGATCGCTTGCGTAGGAGGGGTATCGTCGGCCTCGCTGAAGTCGAGGTTGTGAGGCCTGTTCGGGTAAAGGTGAATGGTGCCAGGGCGCATTGGCACCTCATCGTCATCGTCGTCGGCAGGAGGGAGAGACGTGAGCTGAGAATTGATTGATTAGTCATGAGCTGCAGCGACTTCTGTACGAACTTACCTGAAGGGTGTGCAACTTCAGCATGGACTGGAACGGCATGAAGAGCAGAAGCTGGTCATCAGCACCGCTCTCAACCCAGTCCTTGACTCCGGTCTTCTTCGCCAGGGCACTGGGCTTGGAAGTGTCGAACAGAACCCGAACGGGACCGAAGTCTTCGTCGGCATTCAGAAGCTCGCAGCCCTTGGGCTCGACCTGATCCGTGATGTCGGTGTAGCCGCGGGGGAGCGCGGCGCCTCTCCAGCTGCCGCCGCTGGAGCTGCCGGAACCCTCGCCAGATCCAGAGGCAGATCCGCCCTCGACCTCCTTCACCAACTTCTTGACGACTTCCTGGAGCTTTCGGGGGTCGGCGCCCTGGACCTTCTCGATAATCGTGCTTTCGCGAAAGATCATGAAGGTCGGGAGCGAAGTGACGTTGTAGGCGGCCGCGATATCCTTCTGAGCTTCGACATCGATCTTGACAAAGGTGACGACATCTTTGCGGGACAGGCTGGACGACAGCTGCTCGTAGAGGGGCGCGATGGTTTTGCAAGGACCGCACCAATCGGCGTAAACTAAGCCGGAAACGATTAGCAAGAGGCGAAGACACTGACGAGGGACTGAATAAAGTGTAATCGAGTCAACTGCGGCAAGCCAGCACAGCGTGCCAACACTTGGAGTCTCGACGTGTAGAGGAAGGGGTGCACTTGTCGCGGTGACTGGTAGGGAAAGCGGAGGACTCACAGTCTGCAACAACAATGCGGGAGCTCGACAAGAGCTTCTGGAACTCTGCCGGCGATTTGATGTGAATCGTACTCATCTTCGCAGTTGGCAGAGGTTGCGGCTCTGTGTTGGTGGACTGCGGAAATGATGTTGATGATGGAATCTGGAAGAAAGCTCCCCCGCGACGCAAGGCAGACCACCACTGACGGAAGGTAGGTAGCTTACCTACCCCGCACCATGCCTCTTTGGGACTAGCACAGATCTCAGTACGCACGGATCATAAGACAGGAGCTTGCCTGTTCCAATCACAATATGTCACCATCAGCAACATCGTTTCCTAGACCCCGTCATATTTTCGATTTGATCGAAGCAGATATCTACCTAGTTTCTTGACCGTGGTCTTCGTCGCATTCTGATTGGTCTGTACAATCTTGGTTTCGTCGGTGTTGGTACGTGCCTGGAGATGACCTCCTTGTAAGGATACTCTCCTCGAGATTGGCGAGAACCAGCGACTTTATCCGACGCCATCCTAAGCAATCCGAAGGTCTCCAGCTTTTTCGATAAAGTTGTCTGGTTGTTTCCAAAACCGTCTTCTTGTTCAATCCTACCAATTTCATCATGCTTATCTCCTTCCTTGGCTCTCTCTCGATCGAGGTCGACTTGCCACTGCTTGATGTAGGCATGGTCAGGTGCGTCCAGCCTCTCATAGACGCCATGTAGGCATCCGTCATCGAAAGTTTTCGTGTGGTTGTATAGTGTGTTCGAATTTGCGGCATACGCCAAAAGCGTGTTCAGATGTTTGGTGGGGCTCTGACGGGAATTTGTTGGTGAAATCTTGTGCTTTTGATCATCTGTTCCTAGAAACTCGCGTGACGTGACTTGAAATCTCTCGGAGATACCCTTGACGTCTCGATAGTTGATTTTTGCTTCGGTTCTGTTGGAGGTACCGTCGACGGGTGTAGTACGTGGTTGGAGCGTGTTTTCTTCCATGCTGTGGATGACGCGAGCAGCATCCAACATTGATACAGGTGCGTATCCAGGTGTTCGGATCGAGATCTCATAAGTAGAGTAGTTATGAAGTAGATGTAGGACGACAGATGAAGGGAATTTGGAAGGCAGAGCACCCAGATGTGTACGAGGCATGTGCAGTACGGGCATTATGTAAAGAGACGAGCATACTCCTGTACCTAGACAACCATCCAGGTCGTCACCTGATTAATTCCGTATTGTTCGGGCTTGGGAATCACGGGAGAGGTGGCGCGAACCCGGTTATTGTGGCTTGGGGTAATACATGCTCACTTGTCGCCTCGTCGAGAGCGCTTCAGGATGTCATGGCTCGCTGTTATCTATATGTATCTATGTAGGCGCTTGGCTCTTGGGGGCGACCTATCAATTCATCCTTACCATCCTCAGAGTGTTTGTCTCCGGCCAAATGTTGTCCTAAATGCTACATTCCTCATGCGATTCAAGAGCTTGGCATAAAATCGTGGGCAATTCAGCTTCAGTAAGATGCAACCTTTGAAGAGTACCGCTGCCAGACCAAACCCCACGAATGCCCTCCCTGAATTGCTTCCAAGTAACAGGCCCGTCCTTGAACATAGTGTCTCCTGGAAACAATCTCTTGCTGGCAAATCTCAGGTCCTCGGCCATACGGAAGACGATATCATCGTCTCTCGGTTCATTTATCCTTGAGCCATGACTATTTCCATCTCTCAGCGTATCGATAACCACTATGCTTAAGCGACTGAAGTCCAACAGTTTGCAACTGACTATCAATTTCAGCAGCCGGGTGCATTCCTTAGCCGTCAAAAGATGGTACCACATCAATCCAATTAACCGAGCATGCCGTATTTTATGACTCAGTATCATGGTTTCGTGGGAAAAGAGCACAACGTCTCTATAAGGGTTGAACCAGACGCCGACGAAGGTTGAACCTCCTTCACAGAACTCGAATACCCCGTGGGTTTGAGTTACCTGCCAGGCTTCTCTGCAAGCTCCTCTAATATTGGGTGGTTGGGGGCGTTCCCACGATCCCCTGAACGATCTCGTCATGTAAGGGTACCTGCCAAAGGATGTCCGAAAGAGACGAACATCAGGTAATGCCATTTCCCAAACTTTCAGCCTGAGTTCGGCAGGCAGGCTTTTGAAGTTCGTGAATGCTGTCGTGGCCGATTCTTTGGTATCATTGCACACTGCGAGAGATTAGTTTAACTGCCAATTCGCAACTGTTGAGATATATTACCAGCCATCTTGCCGGTTGCAAGCTTGTTTTCAGTGTCCGTGATTTCTCTCAGAGTGAAAGGCATGATTTTCACCCCAGATTTGTGAACGCTTTGGGTACAAGTTGACTGCTCGGTCATGATAATTCCGGGTTACTGGTATGAGTCTTTTGTGAGATCGTCGAGGGTTTAGATCAGACCACTGTTGCATTTATGTCGGAAGAGCTCGATTAAAAAGATGACGATAGCAGTGAGCCAGATGCAAGGATTTTATATGACTATTCATCAAGGTAGGCAAAGTCTACACCAGCAAAATCAGGGGAGTTAGTAAAGAGGTGACACAGCACCTTAGAAAGGTCGAACTCTGTTCAGTTTCCGCGTAGCACGTATTCATATCCGCAGTATCTTGGTCAACTCCTTCAATACCGATGATCTTGTCTGCCTAAATTGTGCTCAAGGTACGGTTGATTACGTTCAGCTGTTGACGGCTTAAACAATAGACTGCGAGAACACAGATAATGTTACCGGAAACGTCTTGCAAGTAGATCTTCTAGTGTGTACAAATTTAGATTAAAACTTTGGAAATTCATCGGTAGAGGTTGCGGCGAAGAGAGTGAGCACTTGTGGCCCAGGAAAGGGGGACCGTTTTGAAAACTAGACCGAGGAGCGCCGCCTTTTTTGAGATCCTTCCACAGACGGCCGGCTCCTGCGTCACATCCAACTTTTTCCACCTTTACACCACAATTTCATTTTCATCACACAACACTTGACCAGGTCGTCCTTCCACCCACAAAATGGAGCAATTAATCGACCTGACCACGGCAATCGCAGCGGCCGTATCTCAGCAGTCCAAAGCCATTGCTGCATTGACAGAACTATGTGCCGAACAGCAACCCGCAGCCGCTCAGTTGCGAGCTCTCTCTGGTGAGTACCCCGAAGATGTCCTCTCACAGCACACGCAGAATATTAATGAAGAGCAGAAGCACAGACAACGATGACGAAGGCAATGGAGATACAGGCCGAGATTGTCAAGCGACAGCGGATGACGATTCTCGACAGCAGAGGCAGCAGCTTGCCTTCCCGTACGTATCCCCATCGGACGGTGGTCATCACATAGCTAAATTTGATGCATGCAGCAGGTGGTGCCTTTACCCGTTTCACTCAGCTGCCTCCCGAGATTCGGAAGATGATATGGGAGATGGCGCTGCCCGGCCCCCGCCTCTTCTACCTTCACCGCGACTCGGAAGACACTGTCACGGTTTCCCCGATCCAGAGACCACCGCCTATGCGAGCCGCTTGCAGGGAGGCTTGGTCTGTGACCGAAGGCCATGGATACTTTGAGTTCGGCTTCAATGCGACTCGGACCTGGGGTATCTGGTTCAACCCGACGAAAGACATTGTTTTCACAGACTACTTGGACACGCCGTGGGAGTTCCCGAAGATTCAGAACATCGGATTACATTCGGATTCGTTTTTCAGCCGAGGCAAGTGTATTTCGCAGCTCGAGTTGGCCATGGAGGGGTTGACGCACTGCCGCAAGATTGTGGTGATCACTCGGCCTGGGTATGACGAAGAATATGAGCAATGCTCCAACTTGCGGTTCTTCAGTCTGCAGGATGATGACCTTATCTGGTCCACGGATTACAGGCCACACATCTATGAAGTCCAAGACAACGGCGTGACCTGGGGAAGCATGAAGCAAGGGCTGACGCAGCTGTACCACGAGGAGGATACCCTCAGACGCCTCGGCATTGAAGAGAAGGACCTGCCTGAGATCGTGGGAATGGAGGTCCTTATGACCAATAAGGGCAGTTCATAGCCAGCATTTTAGATTCAGGAATACACTACTGTTCACTGATCGCCAGTCTCTTTGACCTTTTGTGCCATGCCAAGTTGGCGCGCCCCTTCTCTCTGCCATGATTACTTCTGTTCAACAGCTGCTTCACCGTCTCCAAGCTTTGTTAGGGTTCCCCTCTTAAGATTATACAACATGCTTGAGAACCGGCTCTCCCTAGACCTGCGTTTCTTGTGTCAACAACAAAAAGGAGGGGAAGTGACCTTGCGTTCCTAAAGGAATACCCCTCTCACACCACTAAGAAAGAGGGGAAAACAACAATACAACCTTGCTCAGTATAATTACTCTGTGTTTCTTGCACTTTCCTGCAGATATAAGAATAAGATTTCACAGATTCCTTGCTCAACTGTGAGCTGTTGAAATCAACAGCTTCATTACGTCAACACCACAATTAAAGAAGAAGAAAGAAGGAATGTAGTTATTGTGAGGATCGTTCTGAATTTATTGTATTGTTCTTTCCACACAAACTGCTTTAGACGATAAAGAGTTTGTTGAAAGAAGTATCAAACGCATTGTCGGCGGCTGGGCATCATTGTCTAAGTCCCCTCCTCTCTATTGCCCCCTTTCCAGTCACCAGCTCTCTTCTCATGCTGGGATGCATGCCGCAATCCTTCCAAAGTCCACCCCAGACCAGCCTATCAAGCATAGAATTGACGACCGGCATTTTCCATGTATCTAATGATCCTTCCCTCAACAGAAGGAATCCGGTCCCCGCGTTCAGCCTTGTTGGCGGCAGCAGAGATCTTCAGCTCCTTGTCGAAATGCTCTCTCACCTTCTTCCATTTCACCTCAACTATTTCGCCTTCAACCCCAAAGTCCCCCACATCAAAGATGCCGAACTGGTCGGTGTCGGTGTCGCTACCAGCAAAGCCCACGTGGTCGTCGTCTGAGAGGTGCTTATGGGTCTGCGGAATCAATGGAAGGGACGAGACGTTCGAGGATTCGGATGTGGAAGTGATTTCCAGACAGAGCTCCCATTCGGTATAGAGTTCCCCATCGTCATCAACATCCTCAAATCCCTCTAAATGCCAGTCGCCCTGGTCATTGTATGCAATGACGATGCGGTGGCAGCTCGGCATGATGTCCCAGAAGTGGTCCAGAAGCCTATCCCGGGCGTCCTTAACGGCAATGAAGTCGATGGGAATCGTGATTGTTTGCACACGCGACAACCAAGAACAGCCGGGAGAGGTCTGCTGTAGTCCCTTGTAGTCGAGGAACAAGTCCTTCTCTGGGTTAAACCAGAGTCCAGGAGAGTGGTACTTGTCTGCACCTGCGCCAAACATGAATCCGATTCGCTCTGTGACGCTCCACGATTCATAGCAGACAGCGCGGATGAGCGGTTGTGGATAAGCTTTAAAGGGCCATCCAAAAGTGTAGAAAACTTCAAAGATGCGACTGCGAGGGGTGGCGAGCTCCCAGATTCTCAGCCTGATCTCAGCTGGCAGCTTGCTGAACAGAGTGAAATTGGGCTGTTGAAAGTATTCTGAGGGGTTCTTCTGGCCTAGATTGATATGAGTTAGAAATATGCAGAAAAAGAAAGACCCTGTTCACTTTCCAATGAGCGCGCAGTTGCCGTTTCTCATCTCGGTCTCAGCGGCTGGCTTCTTTGCCTGTTGAGACAGCTGGTGAGGCGCGGGGCTTGACATCACAGGGTCGGGTGGGCGAGAGTCGGGTGCACCAGTCTGGAGATCCATTGTTGTTGCTTTTGTCGAGTTTGATTGTGGTGGTGATGATGTGAGCTGTTGTGAAGAAAGTAGATCTGGGTTTGCTGGAGGAGAAAGCGGGTGAAAGGTAGAAGTGAGGTGGTCGTTTGGTTTTATTTTGCAACTGAGGTGGTGAGGATTTTCACCCCTCTAGAGCCCTACCAACTGAGAGCACCAAATCAGAAAGTGCTCCATTGCCTAGATTGTTATGATTTTACTGCTTACCTTGTATCCTGTGATGAATTAAGTAAGCGCTTGTTGGACCTCACTTGAGCTCTGGATCAATGTAAGAAAACATTTCGAGGACCTTGGGCATTGGACTTATCCAGGACTATCCTGGGGATCAGTTACTTCTCTTGTAGTGTAAGAACCTGAACATAATGTAAGGTAGAGGTTACAAGAGGAGCGGCAGATGAATTGATACGTGAGAATTATAACCAATTAGTCCTGGGAAGGGCAGCCATTGAGATTATTCAATAACATAGAGAGCAGGGTATTAGCGCCAGTCAAAAATTAAGCTTAATTAGAGAAAAGAAGAAAAGGCTACCTGACCAGATGGCGGTCAGAAATGAGCATATGAATCAATGAGGTTCCTCACTTCACACTACACCAATCTAAAACTTACATGATTCTGCATGTATTAATATATCTGCACATTCTGGTCTCTAGCAATAAGAACGTCCTTTCCCTAGATGAAGGAGGAAGCGCCTGCCAATCTATTTAGATATCAAGACTCCTTCCCTTCATTGCGATCTCTCTGTTATTATAAATTCAAACTTCCTCCCGCTACAGCAGCTGGAACCCACCATCTACAACCTTCCACCTCTAAACAACAAGTGAGTTGATCAAGGCAGGCAACAACTCACTTGATCACTAGGAGTTCTTAAATAACATCTGTCACAGAGTCTCATTCTCCCCTTCTATCAGGCCCCAAAAACAACAGCTAGCATTCTCATCGGCCAACTTAAAACTTCAACTAAGCTCAGCTACGACATCGTCATCTCAAACCAAGTCACACTTCACGCACCTCAAAGCCTAGCAGGTCAACTACTCTTTCGAAATGAGAGTCAGAGCTCGTCACTCCAGATGTAAGTGCTTTCCAATTTCAGTCACCGCAGTCATCTACTTGACATCACTTAGTACTAACCGCTCGTGAAGCTTCCGGCCGCAACTTCGAGTTCCACGGATTCCCAAAGCTTCCTCCCGAGATTCGGCGCGCAATCTGGGAGGCCGCGCTACCTCCCCCAAATATCTGTCAGCCAGTTGGAGAGCGTCAGGCAGCCAGCGACTGGCACTCAGAGAGACCTACCAAGTTCAAGAACACCTGGAAGCCGCCTACCATCAGAGCAGCTTGTCGGGAAGCCTACGAAGTCACCATGTCCCGCGGCCGTTTCCGATTCGGCTACTACCACGACAGCGGCATCAGAGGCTTGTGGTTCAACGACAGCACTGACGCGGTCTACATATCTCGCCCGCAGCAGCTCGAATACAACCACTTTCCTGACGTACATAACATCTACCTGGGTGCATGTCTAGCTCTGGACTCTACACTCTGCTGGAATTTCATCAACAATGATGAGTTCGATTCGTGCCGTCGTCTGGTCATCGCCCTCGATCCCAAGGGTCCCGTGGGCTTTGTCAGGATGATGACTACCACGCCCAAGTTCTGGACCATGCAGGATCATGATTGCTTGGGCAAGCATGCTTTCAACGGAAATGATTACCCTGCCGGAGCTAAATCGAGGCACATCACACTGGGCCAAGCTAGACAAGTTCTCCTCCATTTCTTCAAGAAGCGACAGGAGTCGCGACTTCAGATGGGAAGAACAGACTTCTACCAAGGTCCTCTGAAGGTGGAGGCGGTGGAAGTCTTTCGGTAGTGGCGAGCACAGCTTGGACAACTTCGATCTGGTCTTGGAGCGAATGGGCTGCGTCAGTGGGAGAAGGACGCGTCGGATGAGATGCATAGGCTGGCACAGGACCAGTTGCATTTCCGCATCATTAGAATCTCAAGAATGTAGAGTAGAAAACATCTGAGACGGATCAGCAGAGAAACTCTGCAAAAACTTACCAGAGGTCGGGAGTGCTTCTCCCAGCAGCCATAGTTTAGGCAAACCAATTCAAAGAAAACACGAACATTGGTAGAAGCCATCTGTTGTTCTATTAAGCTATGCATCGAATAATATCCCTTCCAAGCCCAACACCTCGCGTCCTAATGTCCGCCTGGATATACGTACCAAAGTCTCAGTTGTAAAAGGGGAGTCGTTCCAAGAAAAGCCGGCGCTCCCTCAACAGGGACAGCTCCTGAACCACTCTTCTATGCTCCCTCAACAAGAGCCGCTTCTGAGCCTTTCTTCTATGCCCCTAATCAAAGAGACCGTGCCTAGCTCTTAGCATTTCCATACCCACCAAGTTGGGCAGCTTGCTCTCGCTGAGCCCCTTAACCTCAACCACGTGCTCCCTCCACAGCAGCTCGACGATGCGCTTGACGTCCCTCCAGACCGCGACGTTTCCTATCTCCGTCGACATCTCCATGGGGTAGTCGTGGTGGCCGATGACGTCGTCGTCTTGCAGGCGCCAAAGCTTAGCTGGCATGCGCGGGTGGGGAAGACATGAGCGGCCCTCCCAGTCGACGGACTGCAGCATAAAGACCTCGCGGCAGGATGTGAATTGGTTGAGGATGGTGTCGATGGTGGCGGTGCAGCTTTCCTTGTTCATGAACCTGGTGTGCGGGATGGCGACGCGGAGGATGCGCGACATGTCGACGTTGGTCCAGTTGGTGGGCTCGCCGCGCAGGAACAGCACGTCCTTGGCGTGGTTGAACCAGACGCCCTTGTACTCACCGCCGAAGAGACCGAACTCGAAACCGCCGGCTTCCTTAAAGGCGGTGTTAGCCTCTCGACAGGCAAGGCGAAGCTTAGGCGTCTTGTGTACGGTGATGCACATGTCCGGGAGCCCGGAGGCGGTGCGGGCGTTGGCGAGGGACGTGGTGGTTGCGGGGTCGGTTGTGCGCATGAGGCGGTGGAAGTGGACATCGGGACCGGTGACCTCGAAGATCCTGCCGCCCGGAAGTGCAAGTTTCCAGATCTTCATCCGGAGCTCGAGCGGGAGCTTGCGAAAGAGGTGGAAATCATTTCTGGATGAAGAGCGGGAGCGACTGGATTCGGGCGCGTCGACGCCGGAGAAGGATGAGAACACGCTTCTAAGCGCCTCTTGCTTCTTGTCTCGCTCTGCTTTAGAATGTTAGCATTGGCAGGAGTGGCTAAAGACAAGAGGAAATCATGCGCTTTCGGGTTCGAGTATCCTTACTCTCGATCTTCTTGATTCTATCGGTGAGTCCCCGGGTCTCCCGGAGGGCGGCGTCAAGCCGGTTCTGAATAGTCTCGGTCTGAGTGGCGACCGGGGTCGGTTGCTGGCGGGTCTTGCCCACCTCCGTTGCAACAGCCGCCTGGACGTAGCTCTGAACGGCAGTCAAAAGAACCTGCGTGGCCGCGGCCAACGGGTCGACCGGGGTGTCGGCCATGATGCCGGATGGTATCTAGATGCGATGAGATTATGTTCGGTGATGATGTTTGGATACCTCGAGGGACCTATATGAGTGCTCACCTGGTGATTTGTGAAGTGAAGTTCCAGCAATTAGGCAGTCGCGATGAGTGCAATTATCGACAGATGGTCGCGATGAGAATAAAAGATATGAGCCAGGCGATCTGTTTGTATCAAAATAGAAGCAAGATGCCGATGACGGTGCAGACAAGGCGCGTCGTTGATGGCAGAGCGATGGTGGCGGTCGAAGCAATTGGAGGCAGGAAGTGTGTCAGATGACGGCTCCGCTCAGATTCGGGCAGAGGACGACGTCTCTTCGGCTTGCCTTCCTGCCTGGCGCCTCGCGATGAATGGAAGGCGAAGAGGAGCACTGAGGTGAGGTGGAAGCGGGCTGAGGACGACGAGACCGAGGTGAAGTTGAAATTGGGGGCCTGAGGTTACCTAGAGGGATGTTTGCTTCCTCTTGCCTTATTGTGGTTGGCCAGCTGCTAAACTGGTGGTGCTTTTGGAAGGGGACCTGGAGGGCGCGGGAGGGAAGGAACACTGGAACACTGGAACACTGAAGCCCGCACACCGGTCAGGCGTTGTGGCGTGCGCTGCGGCGTGCTTCACCTTGGCGAGCTCCCCCCGCCATGTGGTGGGCAGGGATAACACAGCGACGGCGGGAGCGATGCTAGCGCCCGGGGAAGGGGAAGGGGTGCACGGGCCTTCAGTTCGGCTGATTTGATGATTCGGTGAGGAAGTCTACCTCATCACAGGTATTATCAGCCTGCTACTACGTAGAATCATGGGAGATGATGTGTCTATTATGTTATATTCTCCTCGCCATAAATCCTAAAGTCGAGGTTCGCTTCATGGAAATCCGGTGTTGATGCCGTGCTCAACGTTCCTCACCTGGAGCAAGCACCCCTGAAGCATACAGCACTCCAGCAGTCCAGTCGACATCTGCTGCCAGACCGTACGATTACAAGCAGCTCGTCTACATGCAGCAATTCTTTCGCAAATCCCAGACATTCATTGTTGAGTTGGGTAATTGCCGGACATCGGCCGACCACCAGCGACCAGTGACATCCAAGAATGCACCCACCCTTCGAATCCATGCCGGCAAGCTGATAAAAGAGCGTGTCCAAAACACACCGGCAAACGGAAGGACCTCCTTCCTAGCCAATCCTGACTGCAGCTACGCGGCACGGAACCGTTGACAAATAAAACGGCTTCTTCTGGAACGGCACATGCCCAGCGCTCAACTTATGCAGCGATTTTTATGTACCGATATGGAGTATTCCGCAGGCCATGTCTACCTGACGAATTAATCTAGGTAGATCGACTGAAGGATGCTGAAAACAAGTGGGTTTAATTACATCGCAGCATGTAAGCTTCGGACAGCTCCCTCGCCGTTCTGAACATGTCGTTGATTTTAAAGTCGGACCATGTCAGCAATGTGACCTGTCGCTTGATCTGTACCTGACAGAGATTCAGGGACAGATCTGACTTGCTGATGCCTCCCATCAGCATCCGAGCGCGTTGCACATATGCAGCCCTCAAGCCCAGGGTTCCTGCATAACAGATATCGACACACGCGTGATCGAAAGTCTCATCATTTCAACCATGTCTATTCTATCCTCTATGTCGAACGCAGAGCTGGGAATCGCTTAAACTTGCTTACATATTTCCGAAAGACAATCAGCAACAATTCACCACGCCCCGTCTACCAAGGGTTGGGCGCGATGACGGTGTAGTTCCTCCAACCACCGTTCACTCTGGCATGCTCGATCGCCTCATGGTGCTGGTCCAAGGAGAACACGGCCAACTCGCTACCGCTCTCCTTGCCAATCTTCAACTGGCCGCCCTCTATCATCCTGATAAGCTGCTCCAGCGTCCTACGCTCGCACATCCACTTGCCCTGCAGCTTCAGGTTCCTGATACTGAAGGGCGCATACGGGAGCGTCAGGGTCTCGCTGGCGCCGCCACTGAGAATGATCCTGCCCTCGCGCTTCAACACGCGCAAAGCCGCGCTGAGGTAAGGGGGGTTCTTGAGTTCGCCGGGCGTCCAGTCGTTGTAGACTTCGGCGCCGGCACCGTTGGGGGTCGCCGCGAGAATGGCGGCCGCATCCGCGTTGTCGTCGCCGGTCATGGCGACGGTCTTGAGACGCGGGTGGTCGTTGAGCTTCTTGCGCATGGCGGCGAGCTTGTTCTCGCTGCGTCCAAGGGCGATGACGTTTGCGCCGGCGGTGAGAGCAACCTCGACGGCCAGGCCGCCGAATGAACCGCCAGAGGGGCCAATAATGACGGTCTCGGCGACCTTGACGTCGGCCGCTTCGAGAAGAGCACCGGCGGCGACGGAGTAGTGGGCAATGGACTGCAGGGCAGCTGGGTCGTAGCCCAGTTCGGTAAGACGCTTCTCATCGAGGAGGTACACGTTCTCGAGAGGAACCTTTTGGTATTGCTGCAGCGATCCGTCACGCCACTCTTTGGTGAGTTTCTTTCCCTCCTCGCCGTGACCACCAATATGTCCGATCATAATCATCTTGCCGGGGTCATCGCGGCCGCGAGTGGTGGCATCGACGTACACCAGGTCGCCCTCCTTGACCTTGACGGCGTCGGGGCCGACGGCGTGGATGCGACCAATGGCGTTGGGGTTCGGGACGTAGGGGGGAGGCATGTTCATGGCCTCGAACTTTCCGGCGTGGACGAGGTGGGTGTAGGGGACGATGGGTGCCGCAAGGACCTTGACCACGACCGTGCCTGTGGGAGCTTCCGGGATGGGTAGGTCGATGACCTCGGCGGGCTCCGAGTAGGAGGCCAGCCAGAGGGCTCTGTTCGTGCCGTTTGAGGTGCTCATCTTGAAGATCCGAGTTCTTTGAGGTTTGAAAGAATGGGATGACAGAGGAATGAGACGATCGATCTCGTCTTTATAAGCTGCTGGCTACGCGGAGAGGTCGAATGTCCTTCAATAACGGCGGAAGACTCGGGGAAGTGTCATCGTTTCTCGGGCCGGATCGAGAGTCCGAGTTCAGACGGGGGACGGTGGAGATGGCGACCTCACAAGCGCACACCTGTTCGTGTCCGGCGCCCGTGAGACGAACCAAACCACGGCGTTGTCATGTTTGAAGATGTGTCGACGGACTCCGCTTTTCCTTTCGGTTGCTCGCTTTCGTGCTCGGTAGATTTCCGGTGCCATCGCAGGTCTAAAACACAATTCTCGCGCTGTTCTTCTCGTACATGCAATGTCTTGGTTTTCGGGAGAAAACTAACAAAAAGGGCAAGTTCGACAGAATCCCGAGTTGAGACATCCTGCGCTACTGCGCGCGCTTGAGTCCACCTCCGATGGAGCACTGCCGTGGCCGCTCCGCAGGGCGCCGGGCGAAATTGGTGACGGCTGTCCAATCCATGAAGATCGGCTCGGGAGTGGGTCTGATCGCTTGACCGAACGGGCAGTTGGCATGACTAGCGACGACCGGGGTCGTTTTCACCTTATATCGCTGTTGCCCCAGACAAGTGCACCTTTTTTTGACGGCCGGACTTTTTGGTGTTTTCCCCTGCTCCCGCTTATGTAAGGCGGTCGACGACACCAACTGATTCGGTGTTGATTCTGACACCAAGGTCTACCTCGGCCTTGGGATGTTTTGGAGGAAAGATGCGTTGCTTGTTGTAACAGCTTCGAAGAATTATCGATGCAACGTTGACTCGACTTGGCGGCCCGGCTCGGTGACCCGGCTCGGTGACCTCCAGCCGGCCTTCTGCCCTTCAAATACGGCCCTTGCAACGGGAGCAGATCTTTGGATTGAAGTTGGTGCTCTACCTTAGAATTCAGATCAGCCAAGGTATCAAAGTGTTTCGACCCATTTACGAAGAATTTGGTTCTGGTTTCTCTCAGGGAGGGTGTGGCCCAGTTGCCGGTTGACCAACAAAGACGATGTTCATTGATGTCTGTTTGTGTAAGACCAACGGTCGGGCAGTGGATCCTGGCTTCTTCAATCAAATGCAGGAAAGAAGCGACCTGAAAGACGTCAGCAGTGGGACCTTCCTTTTCCTGCTTGTGTGTTCTAGCATGTTATGGTTGTCACTTCATGCATTACCTTACCCAAGCTGATTCTGCAAGCGAGCGACTTCATTCAAACTGGAGAACTCTTTATCTAAGCCTCATAGCCCGCCCACCAGGAAGGCAATGGTTCTCTCTGAAAAATGCCACTTTCAGCGGCTGTCAGATCGGAAAGCTTCAAGCAGCATGTATCAACCTCGTCAGTACATCCCTCTAGACATAGCATGTCATGAGTAAAGTATCAGAACTCCAAGAAGTGGCCCAGTTTGGGTTGAGAGGTTGGCTCTTTCCTCCTGTTTGGGCGGGCGCTGATTTGAGGTGAGGTTGAGACTGCAGTGAGGTAAAGTCTTCTGTTCACCATCAACTCATTGTTCACATGAACTTACTGGTAGCTATTTTTTTTTTCCCAGCCTAAGATTTCCTTTTGTGCCTCTCCATAGGTGAGCAATTCTTTGAGACTTAAACTTGGTCTTGTGCATCTTAGCATTTTTGATCCTACCTGTTTTTCTTCCCGCGCACACCTCACGCCTTCTTCACTTCGCAGATTTTGCAATTCTCGTCACCATATTCTTGCGACTCTCTTTGTCACATGTTGAACCAGTCTGCATGTCAAGACCACTGTTGCGACTAACATATTTGTCTCCTAGTAGTCTCCTCATCACCCGGCTACTGTCATTTTCATCATCACTATCACAATGCCACCAAGATCCTGGGCCCAGATTGTCGGCAGCGGCGCTGGTATGAAACCCAGCCCGCTGCGACAAGATATCACAATCAACATGTCTGAGTTCCCATCTACCTTGAGTACAGTGCCCGTCACATCTTCGGCAACCCTTGCCATTGCCCATGGCACCTGGGCTGATGTGGCAGCACGCCCAGATTCTGAAGTCTCCGCTTCTTTGGCCTCCAGCGAGACTGACTTGAAGACTGAGAGTGGTGTTGTTGGAGTTGGTCTCACAACTTCTCCCAAAAGCGAGACTTCTTCCTCCTCCTCCTCCAACAACACCACCGCCTCCTCGGGCCCCTCAATATCCTCCACTGTTGCTGCCAACACAACCACCAGAGCTCCTATAAGCAACATCGACATGGTCAGCAAGAAGCGCCAGGCTGCGCAGGCCAGCAAGGCCAAGGCTAGGAGGTCGATGAAGCAAGCCGTCGATAGAGCCATCGGCGTTCCTGCCATTGTCGAGCCCCCCTCGCCGTCCGCAGGCAAGAAGAAGAGGGAGAAGAAGGTCAAGGAGGACAAGGGCAAGGGAATCGCGGCCGACTCTTCCGAGGAGGAGGATTTCGACGGCTTTTTCCCAGACGACGCCACCACCGCCGAGGAGAAGGCCGCTGCTGCTGCCGCCGCGGCCAAGAAGAGAGAGGAGAATCTTGCCAAGGCCAAGCGGGCTTTCGAGGCTCTCGAGAGAGATCGCCGCCGCCAGTAAGTTCTTACCCGAGATTGAAAAAATTTTTGTCAACAAGATCGCTAATGATTTTTCGTTCCAGGCTGTTCGAGTCCAGCGATGGTTTCGATGTCACCCTCATCTTCGGCAAGGACAAGACGTGCTCCCTGGCTCATCGAGAGATCTTGATCGCAGAGTCGACTTGGTTTGCTGAGCACCTTCCTCCTGCTGACGAGGTTAGTCACAGATGCCTGCTTTAATGAATAACTTTTAACTTTTCTCTCACTCGCACAGGACGGCCAGACGACTCTGTTCATGGAAGGCTGTTCGGCCCCGATGGTTGGTCCTGTTTTGTCCTTCCTCTACACCGGTGGTGAGTTTCTGTCAACAGGTCAATAATGTGAGGGATCTGGCAGCTCTAACACAAACACTAGTCCTTCCTGGCATGACCTTCGACCCGGCTCGCAAGTGGGACCTGCGTTTCGTCGTCTTCAACGTGACCAACTACCGCACCTCCGCCAAGCTCGAGATCAAGAGCGGCCTGGACCACTTCCTCGGCAACATCAAGGCAGCCGTCGACTACTACGGTCCCCTCCTGGGCGGCCAGTTCTACCACTACAAGTTCTACAAGAAGGGCTCCATGGAGAGCCTCGAGATCCCCCTGCGCATGTGCTACATCAACATGTACGAGGAGGAGGAGAAGCCCGCCGAGATGCGCGAGCTGAAGCTGCAGGTCGCCCGGCTGTTCATGGTGGTGATGCCCTTCGTCCTCCGCCAGCCGTCGTTCAAGGGCCCGATCAAGCAGTACTGGACGTCTCTGAACTTCCCGTGGCGCGAGGACATGAAGGGTTTCTACGAGGAAGGCCTTCTCAACGAGTACGCCCAGATGTTCGACCGCAACGGCGACTGGATCGACGAGGAGGACCCCGAGAGCGAGCCTCTGCCGGAGTGGCCCGCTGTCCCTGGACCCTCTTCTGCTGCGCCCTCTCACTACGCTGCGTCCATCGACGAGATGACCCAGAAGATGAGAGATGCCGGCATTGCCAACTTTTGAGCGGAAGACGGACCGCGTCGGTTTCGGTTGGATGTGGTGTTGCTGTTGCTACCTCATCCGGGACCCGAAGGCACTCTACACATCTTTCGACTCGACTTTCGATTGCATACACTACTCGCATCAGCATGTTCACAGCAGCCGGCTCGAAGACCACAAGTATATCGGGATCCACGTGGATAAGGAGGGAAAAGGTCTCCTCGCCGACGCTCTGTTCTCAGCAAAGAGCTTGCATATGTTCACTGCTGATTTTGGACTCTTCGTGGACCACAACTGGTATACGATGGATCGCACTTCTTTGGCCAACTTACTGGCTTACTGGCTTGCTTTCTTTTTGACACCATTGGACGAATAACCTTGGACTTCTCGACCGACTGAGTCGCATATTGGACCTCTTAGGGCTGACTATTGGGACATGCACGGTCAGGATACCTTGGTTTCTCAACTTTGGGTCTTTCTGTTGTGTTGTTTTCTTCTCCATCATTGGGACACTGAGATGCCAGGATTGGGTTCGGTTCACGGGAAGATACCCCTCGGTCTCATTTCGCAATTGGAGTTCGGGGACAAAGGAAGGATTACGACTTTTTCTAGCTCAGGTACACGGCCAAGACGGCTCTAAGGAAGAGATCTGACCATCCAACGCTTACCCTCCCGTGACGAATCGTGAAGCCATGTGTCCCATGTCGATGCCGAGATAAGCGGGAGTCGTCAATCTTAAGAAGCAGGCACAATCCCCGTAGCATCAAGGCAGGGCACCAGGAACGACCGTCTTAGCGTCCTAGTGGCTGGACGTCCCGTGTTGACCGCTGAAGATGGCAGGGAAACGCCGTCCCGTACCTGGAGCTACAGCGCACGGAGGTCCCGCACGCCCACTTGGAGGGCCTGGTGTTAGTGCCGGCCCTGCCACCGTGAATGCGACGGGTGGACGTCTTTGGTGGCTGGCCCAGCAATCCGGCTGGCTGGGCGACATTTCTGCAGCGTCCGCTATTTACTTAATTGTTGCAGATGGCGCTCTGAGATGACCCAATATGGAGATTGAGGCGTTTGGCCGTTGGAACTATCGATTCTCACTTGCCATTCGAGGAAAAAAGAAGAAGAATACTAGGGTGCGACTCAGACGACGACGAGCACTTACACCACCGCCAAGAACTTGACACTGTGCCAACCCAACTGAGCAAGAGCACCGGTCACAGTGCGCTTTCTCTCTCTCTCTCGGAAATGTACGAACCGCCGAGGGAACAGCGCTGTCGAGGCCATTCCCTGTTCCCGTCGCGAGGTTCGGCGCAAAGCCTCAGAAGCCAGTACAGGGGCGTGAATCTGGCCCAGATGATGGAGGAGTTCCGGCAGCAAGACGACATCTACATGCCCGTCCCGCCGACGCCACCGCCGCACGCCATCACTCCCCGGAGACGCCCCAGCCGGTCCTCGCTGCTCCAGTCCACCGTACGCTTCGCCTCTCCTCTCGATACCCTCACGCAGAGACTGCAATCAAGAACACCAATGAGCACGCCCGCTTCGCGCCAGCAGACCCCGGTGTTCCCGTTTGCGGTCCCCGAGGAGGACGAGGAAGAGAGGGAGTCGACGCCTCCGAAAGAGCCCTCGCCGCTTTCCGTGTACGAGAGCGCAGAGGGAGAGGAGCGGAGCGTGGACCTGGAAAGGTTTCCGATGCCGCCCGAGTTCGCGGGCAGGGAGTATCTCAGTCCCGTCCGGGAGAGCGACGACTGGGTCGACCTCGAGGACGCGACGGGAAAGGTGTACGCGTTTGACCCCGCGCGCAGGTCGGGTGACCGCTCGCGAGACGACGACGAGGGGTCTGATTTGGAGACGCCGTTTTCCGATGACTCTACCCTGAGAGGGGAGGAGCCGCCGCTGAGCAGGGCTTTCTACGTGTATCAGTCGAAGTACACTGGAGATGGTGTCCTTGGGGGGTCGCACTCCGCGGCGCTGGAAATCGTTCATGATGTGAAGAGGAGGCGGCAGTCGCTGTTTAGATGGCTGTAAGTACGGCGATATGGTGGGTATTCTCAGGGCTGACGACTTCGCAGGCATGTGCAGCAGGATATGATGAATTTTGATGAATTTACGGTGCGTACTGTCGACTTCATCTCGGAGTCTCCTCATCATCTTTACTGCTGATTCTACCGCTACCGAAGATCTGAGCTGACTTGGATCAGAATGAGATTTCGCAATCACTCTCGGAGCACGAGCAGAACGACATCCGCAAACTGCTTTCTGATGTTAGAAAAAACTACTCTAAGACGGTTCGAACTTCCAGGCAAACGACGGTTAAACACATGGAACCGAGTTACCTCCAGCTTCCCCTGCAGGGCGGAGACTCGTCAAATGGCCTGAAGACAAAGCGATCGGCGACTTGGCTCTGTATCCCCTACTTCTCGCTCGAAGAATACTCCGGGATCCAGGCCGCGGACAACCCAGGCGCCTACCCGCCTCAGACCCTGCTTCAAGCTTCCTTTTCCCGCAACTCCGAGAAGCGCGATATGCTCCAGGCGACTCGTCAAATCGGGAACGGCGATAAGGGAACCTGCTTCCATGTTCGCCAGCTGTGGTGTATTGTGCTGGACAACTCTCTCTTGATAACATGCGGATCGATGACGGAGTCGGCGCTCCGGGGCGACACTGTCAGTGTCGTGTCAGAGCCGGCAAGAGAGCCAACACTCGGCGTGGAGTCTGGACGAATACTTATTCAATACGGCGCCTCGGTGCTGTGGTCGTTCCCGCTTCAGGAGTGCCAGACTTGGTTCGCATTCATCGCTCACTTCTCCGACTTTTGGCCCAAGGCGGTGCGTTTCCAATTCAACGGCCGTTTGCTCACCGAGGCCCGTTGGTGGAAAGTCTTGCAATTCGCTAGGACTTCTCGCAAGAACGTGGTCATCATGATGGAGACTTGGTAAGTTGATGTCTCAAAGCTCTTTGGAAAAGTCTAACACGACTTAGCACACCGCCTCAGCTTCCACCCAGTGGTATACTGCGACCTATCGGACAAGCAGTGAGCAGCATAGAGGCACATCCAGGCACCGGCCTCCAACCCGCGCCGCTATCTCCAGGAAAGCATTTGAGCTATCCCCCGGGACATGGAAAGGCGAACGACAAGTTTCACGTGTTCAGCTGGGCTGACGGACATGCTCCGAGCCCGGTCGATGGGCCTAACTTCATCCTCCTTCAAAGTCAACTCTCGGAAGTCGAAGATTTCTTAACCACCGAGACGAATGGACCTGACCGGAGAGCTTATCTGGATTCGGAAGTGTCTTCGCGTGATGCCGTGTACGCGTATCTCGAGCGGCAAGGGGCGGCGATCCAGGAGCTGAAGAACAAGCCTTTGAAGAAGCAACTCTATGAGGAGCGTGTTGACATATTCAACGCTGCCGATACCCTGCTCAGGTTCTTCCTGCCGCCCTTGTTCGACGGGCCGACGACAGAAAGGTTCTGGGGTGCTGTGATGAATTTGGTCTGGGTAAGTTTCCGTGGCTTCTTTGCGTCGAAACCATGCTAAATGACATACTAGATGCCTCTATCCGACGTTGCGGACAACAATCCCGTACAGCATGAACTCGACAAGACACGGCGCGATGTCGTCTTCGCCAATGCATCAACTATTCGAAAAGCCCTGCGACAAATGGCTCTTCCAGTCATGGCATTCAAGAGCATCCTGTCTCACGCCGAGCCTAGCGACCGTCTGGAAATCGATGTCCCTCTTGATCTGATCCGGGCGTGGCTTCATCTTGTCATGGGTCTGATCTATGCCAGTCACGAGACGCACTTGTGGAAGGACCACCTCGACGTGGCCGACACACTCGTCAAGAGCGGCATGAAGCACATCATGGAACGGCTGTCAAATCTTAATCTCCTGGAACGATCCTCCGTTCTTCCGCTGGAGGTTGTCTCCCTGATTGGGTACGGCCTCCTCTCCAACACCTCTGGAAAGTATGCCGGCATTAGCGATACATACTCAGAGTATCTCAGAGCTTTGGAGAACGAGATTGCCAATGGGGCTTCGGACATGACTTACCAGCAGCGGATAAACTTTCTACGCCAAGAGGTTACTGTGATTAACCGCACAATAGCTGCGCAAAACACCGTCTTCAACTCTATCCTGGCATCCCGAGACGAAGGTTCATCCGCAGCCCCGAAACACTCTCGTCTGAACCGGGCTCGATTTGGCGAGGCGAGAAGGCGTGAGGGCGATCCCTTGCGAACTCATCTGCGCATGGTGAGAAACCGACACGCGGACGACGACGAGGCGGATCTCTTGTTGGAAACCGTGGGCGAGGTCTCTGACTTTTACAAGCTCCCATCCACAGACGCTGCCGGCTTTAGGGATCTCCTGGCCGCGGAATGCACGCAGCTGCTGGAGAGGCGGGCGAGAGACTTTGACGAGTATGCCGAACAGGCGGATATTCTCGAGCAGACGGTAAGACCAGCAACTCCGATGTGTGAGCCTGGTAAACAACACGCTAACCACAAGCTAGAATCTGAACAACGCTGCGGTGACTAAGGACCGGCAAGAACAGGCCATTTACGCCTTCACCATCGTCACCATCATCTTCCTTCCCCTGAGCGCTGTTTCAAGCATCTTCGGGATGAACACAAGTGACATCCGCGACATGGAAGCGGGTCAGTGGCTGTACTGGGCTACCGCGATACCCGTCACCATCCTGATCATTATGGTCGGATTATGGTGGATGGGCGAGCTGGCGCACTTGTTCAACTGGGTGACTGGCAAATTTCGAGGCGATGAAGAGTTCGGATCAAGGTTTCCTACGCACACCGACATCTCGGAGAAGCCAGATGGCCATGACGCGATGGAAGTGCTCCCGCTCGCGGCTGCCGCGTACACGCATTCGCCGTCGGCCAAGGACAACGTGAGGACGGTGAAGCTGGTTAGATCAGACCGCGGATCGCGCCGGCAGCGCGGGAGGATTTCGGCACCTTGAACATCCTGGCCAGAAGACAGTTACAGCCTTGGATCGTATCGAGGGAGTTTGGGAGCTACCCGACTCGGCCAGGTTCCCCATATCAATAATCCCGAGGGCCTCAGATTGGGCAGGCCTAGACTCGATCTGGGCGGGATAAGAAGAAGCAAAGGCTAGAAGTTGGGCTCCAACCAGACGGCGGGATCCTGAATCAGGGCATCATGCAGTCTTTCGAGCCAGAGAGGGTCCAGAGATGAGATCGCGTCGTTCATCGCCTTGGCATCGCGGACGGCGCCCAACGGATACTGAGGCCAGCCACGCAGAGAGGCCCAGGGAGAAACGTTTTCTCCTTCTCGCCCAACACGGCGCTGTGAGATGGTTGGGAAGACGATGGAGCTGCCAGCGCACCCAATCTGACAAGCTCAGCCCTGCATCCCCGCGATCAGGGGTCCCCCCGAGTCCCCGGACGAGCACGATGCGCACAGCACACGTCGTCAAATGGCGGTGCGGTGCGGTGCGATGCGATCCACCGCCGTACGTGAGAAATCCCGCGGGGGCGGACAGTCTAAATCGCACGGCACACGGCAGAGCGTGCGCGACAACCTTGATTTCTCTCGTCGGCGGTGACGGGCAGCAGCTCGCATCAACACTGCAGTCAGATAACTATCTGGGCGAATGAAAAGTAGACTCGAGACCGCGGGACGTCAGCCGGAGAACCTACACCACGGCACAGGGCGCACCCCTCCTTGGTTCTTGACGGATGGCACGAGGCACACACACCCCGAATCTTGATTTTGGCGTGACGTGCCCACTGGCGTCATACGGCCCTAATTGCCCAATCGCGGGCCCCTGTCGACCACCCGAAGGGAAAGAAGACGGTGGAAGGAGGAGGGAAGGGTCTTGTTCATGTGGGAGGACGGAGGGATGGGAGTCCCGGTTTGGTTCGGGGTGACGAGGCGGGAGTTGGCGCATATCCTTGGATTGTGGTTTCTGTCGTTTTGCGGATTGTCATTGTCGTTGTTGCTTAGGTTTAGAGATTCCCCCATTGCTGTACGAAGTACTAAGTCCATGTTAGACGGTAAATAATACGAATAGACAAGAATAAGCCTAGGCTCCATACCCAGCGGCTGTGTTCCCTCCCATGTCGCTGCGGTCCCCTCAGGTCTCCTCCTGCCTGCGTCTCGGTCGGTCTTCCCGCTGCACGAGAGTCCAGATATCGTCCATCCAGAGCTTTCTGGCGATGGAGCCAGACTGCCTGCCTGCCTGCACGTCAACCCAGCCCGGCTTGGATGTCCCGTTCAGACTGGGCAGCGCCGTCGCGCTAACATTACCTGCTATGCAGTAGGGTCAGTCAACTTGGTGTTTTCCCGACCCCCCTCCCTCCATCCCTCCACTGTACGCGAGACGGGCTGGGCATGGCAGCGGTGGGTGTGTGTGGCAGTGACAGCGACAGTGACATTTCCATTCTTCACCCAACTGCCTGGCTGGCCTCTTGGCTGGCAAGCAAGCTGGGCAGTCTATATGATCTAGCGCCTACCCGTCCTTTCCCACCTTATTTAGCCTCCCACCCCCGCCACCAGCTTCTTCTTTCTTCTGAATCAGAAGCTGATCTTCGCACTCCTTGCACCGCTCATCACCGCAAAGTCCCGCCAAACAAACTCGAAACCTATTTTTGTGCTTTCGCATCTTTCCTGTTCGTCCCATATCCCTGGGACTCCAACGACGCACCGTACCCAACACTGCGCCTACCCGTCCGCGAAGACACAACCATCCGCCGTCCCTCTTCTTCGGGTTCGCTTCGACGTCGCACCTAGTGTAAGCGTAAGCGCAACACAGGCGCAGCAACTCATTACTGGAGAAGAAAGAAAAGGCGCACCAACAATGGGTACGTGTCCTGACGTCACTCTCCCTCCCCCGTAAGCACACAGCGAAAGACTAACCACCGCCACAGCATCGTCAAAGGAATACTACGAATACCACCACCACCACCGCCACCACCACCACCACGGCGCGAAGAAACGCCTCTACCTCGAGCCCCCCACAAACGGCGCTGTGACCGTCCGCCAGCGCAAGACCACCTTCATCCCCGCCCGCGAGCGGACGCCGTCCCCTCCCCCTCCTCCGCCGCCCGTCATCTGCCCTCCCCCCGTCGTCGTCGAGCCGCTGCCTCCCCCGCCTCCCCCGCCCCCGGTCGTCCTGCCCTGCCCGCCGCCGCCGCCGCCTCCTCCGGTGATCATCCCCGAGCCGGCGCCGGGCCCGATCGAGGTCATCGCGGTGGACGTGGAGCCGAGCGTCAAGAGCAGCAGCAAGTCGTCGCGGAGCAGCCACAGCCGGAGCCGGTCGCGTCACGGGAGCGGGAGCCGGAGCCGGGACCGCGAGAGGGACATCAGGGAGGTGTACGTCGAGCGCGAGAAGCTCGTGCCCGTGAGGGTGCCCTACCCGGTCCCCGTGCCGGTCGAGCCGCGGTACGAGACGTTCCGGTACGTCGAGGGGAGGCGGTACTCGCCGCCGCCGAGGATGCTCCCGCCGCCGCCGCCCGAGGAGGAGAGGATGAGGGTTACGATTTCGGACCGGAGGAGGGAGAGGGAGTATGTCCACCGGCGATGAGTCGTTTTGGTATGATGAGGAGTGACGGTTTGAGCAAGGGTTTTTCCGCGTTATGGTTTATTTTATGAAGCTGGCTCTGGACAGTCATTTCGTTTCTTTCCGGAGTTTGCTGAGATTATCTGATGGACGTTTGATATGAAGCTTGCAGAGAAGGGGGTTCTCTTATTCGTTACGAGATGAAGACATGGGCGGCAACAGCGAAGCGATCTAGGACATGCGTTATGATAGAGAGAGAGTTATGATATCCAATAACGGCCTTTTACTTCACTTACTTTCCCGTCTTGTTAGTGTGCCTATCTGGCGAGACTTCACTGTCACATATCTCGCGTGCCGTCCGCCACTCAAGTTGATCTTGAGCCGTGAGTTCTTCATCGAGGCCTCGGGGGCGGAAGATCAATTTCTGCCCCATCCCGACTTGACCATGCGCAAATGTTCATGGAAATTACTTCAGCTCTCACCGAAGCCATGTCCACGATACCCCGCCGCCTCAGGACCCAACACGCGGCGTCTATAATAAGACGCGATTTGAAAAAGAAAGATCGATCGCCGCGACGCCTGGAGGATTGACAACAGGGAAACAGAGTAAGTCGCGATCACCATCCTATTTTAAGACGTGCTTGTTTTAAGGGTCCCCCTCCAGATCTGCTCCTGTGAGACGAGACACGCCCCCCCTGAGTTGGTCTGGGGGAAAAGAAAGGACGTTACATCCCCCACTCCATCACGACAGGCCGCATCTGAGGCGGATTTTCCTGTGCGGGTTGAGGCCATCTTGGACGTCTTGGCGTGATCGATGTGCTTGTTTCTTGTTGATTGCTTGCGTGAGGTTTTCGTTTCGTGATCGCCGGGTTGTGAACTTTCACACCCCGTCTTTGCCAAGGTGATCGGCCCCAGCCGCGGAGGGCCTCGACTAGATATGTTATCTATAGATAGCTCTCTTGCTCCATGACCGTCGAAGCCTCGTTTTTGGTGTTTCTTTCTTGACTCTCCGCTTGGGACACCGGTTGCGGAGACGGTTTGACTGTAACCAGAGTTCAGAGCTACTGCGGTCCCACTGCCGCCCACCAAAGAACCACACAGCTCAATTGCAGGCGCTGAATCCATCCCGCCGCCCCGCTGGGGGCCTCTCAGTTGTGTTTTCGCGATCGTCTTCCATACAATTAGGGCGCTTGGTCTAGGGGTATGATTTTCGCTTCGCATCTTCACTGCTTCGTCTGGTGATGCGCCTTGTGAAAGGTCCGGGGTTCAATTCCCCGAGTGTCCATCTTTTTGCGTATAAGCCATCTCTTTTTGGATTGACTTGCCTGTGAAGTCGTGGGTAAGGCTTCTCGTCGAATTGTTAGACGTCTGGGTGCTTGTCCGATAGCCAGCGGGTGATGCCGATGCAAAGGATATCGATAACACACAAGGGTTGGCGACGAGGAAAGAACGTGACGACGGAGGAGTAGACGGTTGGGTGAACGACAATAATGGACCGGTCTAGCCTTGAAATGACCCGCCAGGTGAAGTCCACCACGGAAGTACCGAATCGAATCGAACAGCAAGATCCGAAGTGGGATACACGATGTGGATACCGCTCGGCGGACGCGGACACCGGCACTCGCTCCATGCGGGCGGCGGCGGCGCCGAGAAGAGGATGAACTGATAGAGGAAGAGACCTGGGGCGGCGCGACGCGTGGCCCTACGTGACTTGTTCGTAAGGCCACTTGACCCCAGCCCCAACAGCCTTCAGCAGACGGACCGCCAGTGAGAAGACAAGATATCTCACAAGACGGCAATTGGCAGCCGTGGTCCGCGTCCGGGCCTGTTTCTCTCGTAATCACCAAGACTGGGCAGAATGCCGATACTTGCGGAGCTAAGGACTTCGCCTCTCCGTAGCGTCGCTCTCGCCGTTGACAATAGGCCGGGAGAGAGTTCCGAGGCCCTCGCACGTAGTTGGAAAAGCACAGTTCTGATATCTCGGCGCTTCGGTCTCAAGATCCACAGGCCGAATTCCAGCGCGTAAGGCTGTCGTCCGTCGTCCGTCGGTTTGAGCTTGATTCTTCGGATGGCATGCCGGCCGGAGACCCCACGTCGCACGGTATACCCGGAACGGCGCCCGATACCGATATGAACGGTGGCGGACCCCGGAATGGCAAATCCAAGATGGCCTGATGAGCTCGTTCTTGAGACGACATCGTTTTACTCGCCTTGTCAGTCTGGATGAGCGTCCGTCGTAAGGCGAGGCTGTCGTGTCGTCTCAAGCCATGGTCTTGTCTGGATATTTTCCATCTGGTGAAGCATCAGTATAAGTTTTGGACGATATGCGTCATCAGCCTTCGCGTCTCGTGGGGCCTTTTTCGATTGTGACGTTGAAGCACCTTCAGGTTCAAACGTGAGAAAAGCCGTCTGATCTTTCTCGTCTTGGGATAGCGTCGATGCTCGTGGATTGGGGATACTTCCATCATCAACCAAAGCAACCCTCGTGGGGCGAATCGCTTCGCATTGCGAGGACGAGGGCACGGTGCTTCTCGCCAGAGCTGGCGTCAACCTGGCAACAACATCCTGCGACGCTGACAATCCGTGACAGCTTCAAAGTCGAAGAAGAACGACCTTCACTCCGGGGATGACTCCGGACCAACAAGCCCGGCCAACCCCTAACACCGACGGAAGCTGCGAGCCGGAACCGTCACTACGTCTGAAGGGCAGACCCGTCATCTCAACTCCGCAACGTGTCCGGCAGAAATGTTCAGTGTAAGAGCGGTGCTTCCAATAGAATAGGCGGGATCGCGCTGCGCATGAACAAGGGGTCGTTTGCGCTCACGTGAGGCATTCCTCCGTGGTGGTCATCCCAGGGAATCGCCCTTCGGCTCAATTTCTAGGTGAAGCGCGTTGGTGGTGAAGCGAGAGAGAATCTGCGACAAAGAAGTTCCCGCGAGATTGAGGGTGCGTCTGAAACACGTCCGCGACGCCGGCTGGACTTCAGGCTGAACACCAGCGGGCAGTCATGGGAGCGGGTGATTTCGTGTTTCATAGTACTTGCAGAAAAGAAGAAGCGGTTTCTCATTGGGCGAGAACGACAGAACCGAATTCCAGAAAATGCGCAGAGCAGTCGATCTGTTGCAGCAGCCGGCGGGAATCCGACTCCCTTGGACGGATTTCGTCCCAAATTGATTTGATCCCCAGGAAACCCGAAGAGTCGGCATGTCAACCGAATCCGCAATTGTTCTTCAGCCATCCCGGCTGTTTATGGACCAGTCTGAAACGATCATTGATGGTGGAAGTCGAACGAAGATGATTCCATCTTCATGGCTCGATTGAATCCTGGGGAGGTCCTGTTTCCTGCGCAGGCGGTCGACTGATTGCGGGTTAAGGAGACGATACTCAGCCAGGTGGGTGAAACCCGGCTGTTGAAGTTGTTGACGATTATCGTCGTCCCCCGTGTGACAGACCATTCAATCCTCCTCATTGATGATATGCAACTCTACCATTCCCTGTCAACAGGCAATCCTGTCCAAGAAGGCCGTCGTTGATGTCCGCAAGTTGCCCCTGTAACTTGAGCTTATTTCATAGCATGTTCTTGAGTCGACATGCATTAACTGTCACTTGTCTAAGTTGCTTGAGCATAATCTCGACTGGAGAAGACGCCACCTAACATTTCCATGCAGTGAAAGACAAGGTCTTCATGACTGCAGATGACTTCACGTCGTAAAGGCCGTGTTTGTCTTGTAACAGAAATTGAGAACCGCAACGAGTGGGTTATCACGGTTTAGAAACGATGAGCACGAGGCTCAAGATGACACGCAAAGCTATCAGACGAATAGCAAGCAGTGCAAAATCAGCTGTCCGTCTGGTTTTTTCCAAGAGGCGACTTCCCTGGAACTTGGGGTGTAACACGCGCCACCGATCTTCCAGAACTTCATGTCTTCGTGAGCCACTGTGGCGCTTCTTGGCGACAGGAGTATCTGTGAGATCAAAGCACTTGCAGGTTGCTTCCAGTTGATCGAAACGCATGCCGTCGAAGTATCATGCAGTCTAGCATGACAAAAACAATCGTGGCCAGAGCTTTTGAATGCAGTAGTCTCTTTCTCTTGAACGGATTCTAGGACTCCCGAATCTTGGCGAGACTTTGCTGAGGTTCGTCTTCGTCGGCTATGCAAGTCTGAATCACGGGACAGGCGGCCTGGCGCTGTCCTCCATCAAAGTCTCAGAGCTCTCTGCGCTTATTTCGTCGACCACCGCAACCTGTCTACCGAATGACCACAGGAATCATGGCAATCTCCCTGGTAAAACACGGCGCGGAACTCCCCTCCTGTGTCTTTCTCAGGGTCCAGGTCCCCGTACTGCATCCGAAGCTTGATTGGTGACCAGATCGATCTGACTACTTGGCGCTGAAGCGGCAGGCACAGGCCATCGATGACACTCCCCGCCTCCAGGATCTTTTTGAAGGCGTTTATCATCATGTCTGAAGGCGTCCGAGAGTATCGAATGGGTAATCGCAATGTCGACTGCCTCACTCGCTGTCGTGCCGCTGCCCTGATGTTCGACGTATGTAGCGGTACTTGAGGGTCTAGACGGACCTTGCTCCCCTCCCAGACTTCACTCCCAGAGTCGGCAGGCGCCTTCAGCGGCTCCCGGCCACTTGCGCTTGTGGCTCTAATGCACGCAAGGAAGTGGATGGAAATTACCCGATCCACCAGCAATCAGGACCCAGGACAATCCAGGGCGAAAGTCCGCCGAGGCGCAACGGGAAAAAACGACGCTGAAGAGGGGTCTTCCTGGCAGACGGGATCTTTCGCTGCGAATCTAGAGGCCTTCTGCTCCACTACGCCGGTCGAACATGATTGCAGTGCAGGAAAAGTCGTCGCTTCTGCGAGGTAAACGTTTAAATTGCCTTCTCGTGATGTTCAGAAAATGTTCGTTCGTTCCTTGAAAAGTCCCACTTTCTTCAGTGCCACCGACCCGCGATTCGACGATCCCGCGTATCGTGAGTGGTTTAACCAAGCTCGACTCGTCGATGAGAT